AATGACGGTGATGTCAATCATAAAAATTAGCCACACATCAACATTGCAGTTTTATTTAACGTTTCTAACAGGTGTTATCTTGTTATACAACAACAACAACACACGTTTAGACGACATTTTCCCCGAGATTGGGGGTTGCCGTTTGGCTACCTATGATGAAACCATTGTCACTTCTGTCATCATAAGTAATTTATTTGGCTAATTTTTACGCAGGATGCCCTTCCTTACGCAACCACAGTTATAAGCGGTGGGCCTAGCCTTTGATGATCCAACATCACTCAAAAGGCAGTAAGGGTCAGTTTAATGTCATAACCAGGACATAGGTGTTATCTTGTTATACTAACTACTAATTCCTATCTGATGGTTAATTTCCCCAAACCATACAACCAACCATATTTTTAAAAAATCCCCAATGGCCATCAATCACTAGTACTTCACTAAAGCACCACCCACTCTATCTGGCTGTCCTGTTAGCCCCATCATTCCCATCCAGTTCCAAGTTCTTTCCCTCCTTTTATTCACACCACACTTTAATCATGAAACTTGCATGCAAAATGATCAACCTTCCAACAAGCAATCTTTCCGATCTCATACATCCTTCACCAGTCTGTTGAATTTGATTAGCAGGAAACAACAGGAAAATAAACACAACACCGCTTTCCATAAAATTTTCCTCAGCTAGCAAACAAAACATTAAAAATTATATTGGTGATAATTCAAAAAGCAGCAGCAGCGGCAGACCTGGGTGCATGGCTTGCGGAGATTGACACACAGCCCATCTGCATCCTTGGTGTAGTGTTCAACGAGGTGAGACAACGTTCTGAATGTGGCTCGTCGTGCAATGTAGAAGCCCCCCTCATCCAACTGACGGATCCTATAGTGCTTCACTGTATCATCGTCTCTCACTGGCACCAATCAAACGTTTTTATATGTTATATGTGTCACTAAAATGCATTAAAAATATATTAAAGCACATTAAAAAAAATAGAAGCCTAAGAGGTGGGTGCATTGTCAAAAGGAGAGCCTTACTGCTGCCAGGTTTGCAGTTGGACATGATCAAACTTGCTGTTTTCAAAGAGATAGATGCCAACAGCTTACAACAGTTGCTAATATTCTGCTTGCCCACTAATATTATATCATCAAATACTTGTACTTCTAATGATGAGTTAGCAAATCATAATTTTATTTTTTTAAATATTTTTTTTAAATCACTATTTTTCTTGTCTGGTTTTCTTGAAAACAATTTATTGATTTATTAGTTTATTTTTAAAACTTCCTATCCTGCCACTAATTAGCTATGTTGAAGGCTAGTTATAAGATGATTGCAGATCTCAGTGACAGGTTTCCAGATGCATTAGTTAATATTATCAAGATTTTTACAATTTTTATTTTATTTTTTCAACTATGTTTTGACACTGTTGAGATAATCACTGTTGAAAAAAGCAAAAAATTAAATGAATGAAAAAATTGTATAAAATTGACAAACTGAACCAAAAATAATTTAACTTGCATTAAAGCTCAAGCTTGATTTAGTTTTAATTTCTGAAATAGCATTTTACAATTTTTTAATTTTTCTTCTGTTGCTTACTCATAGCTTACAGCAGAGTGTTAATGAAACTGAGAAGTGTCAAAATAGGTAAACAGTTATTGGAAATACAGGGATATCAAGTTTAATTAAACTTCTAATTTTGATTTGTAATCATGAATAAATTGAAATGATACAGTATCCACAAGACAAAAATCAAATACATAATAGCAACAAATCAACAAACCAGAGAGTGAATAATCATCCCTTCTGCTCTCACTATCTCTGATGAGGAAGGCCCCGTGCTCATTCTCTGGCAACAACAACTTCTTTTCTGCTTCTGTTCTTTTAATCTTTCCAAAGTACCAACTGATTGGTGGTTGTTAAATTATTTTATTTTTTAATTTTCAAACTGGTCTTATAAAGAAACATGAAAAGAGTGAAGTTTAAATAAAGATGCAACGATAAAAAGATGTTTGTATTGGTGAACAGGCATAATTTAGCTCCTGATGCTGATGAACTCTTCTTTCAAAAAATGGATAGGTTCACGAAAACAAACAAAACGAGATGTTCAGGCGAATGGTTGTATGTGGTTAATTTCAACATCTGAAGAGTTACTTAGCACTAAATGTATGTTATCAAGAATGATTCCATAAAATCATGATGTGTCTTTTATTCATTCATGTTTCTCATGCTCACAAATTAAAATACATTTAACAAACGATTTCGCTTTAAGCTACCGTGAAATAGATAAGTTTCAATGCTTATTTAAAAAGCTAAGACATCATACATGGTTTGACAATGAAACACATTAAAAATAAAAGATGTTCAAGACTTTATCAATGAACTTTGAAAGAACTGCCTCAAATGAATAAATTTAAAAGCAAAAACACCACTGACAATTTGACTGCAATCCTAGAAAACTATTTTTATTTTGTTATACATTATAAAAAAATGAACTTCACAATAAAATGTTAAGTTTTAGTGAACAAATACCAACACACATACCTGAAATTACTATCAAACACATTTGGTAATAATCTCTCAATATCACAACAAAGCTTTTGATCAGGTGCCAAGAAATGTCTTAATGGTTACATGTTAGTCTGGTTCAAATGCTATCAATCTAAGCTAAATGTGATATAAAGACATTTTGAGTATGGCAGAGTACTGCACCTAGGCAAGCAAGAACTATTTTGCACATATTGCTGTATGGTTGGTGTATGGTTGGATATGCATCCCAAATAAGACTGTCCCTGAGCAGAATGGCATATCAAGTATAACATTACCTTATCTTATCTGCTCACCAATAACACAAAATTTATTATTAAAAATGAGTTTTCAAGCAAGAAAACACTTCTTCAATAAATCTTTAGATTACTTTCTAATAAATAATTTGATAGTAAAATAAGTGAAACCTTTTTTATAATTAATTTTCTCTAAAAAATAAAATTTTTAAAAGTTGTGAGAGTAGCACTGGTAACTTAGAAGAATTTTTGAAATTAAAAATCAAAATAAGTTGATGAAAAAAAATTACTTACGGTTCAGATTCCAAACTTTTAACTTTGGCAACATAATTGGAAGGTATGTACCCCTCCATTTTTGTGGACTTGGACCTGGCGTACCACCAATCCCCTTGTGTATCGTTGAGAATTTCAAGCAGTTCCATTTTCTTGAAGCTAAGATCCTCGTCAGTCCTGGCATTGTAATCATACAACGCTACGAAAATTTTTACATTTGACGGAGACCCTTCTTGGTGAGAAGGTGACGCATTGATGGCCACCGCGTTCGCCACCGCGGTGAAGCCAACATTGTTAGAAGGTGTATCAGTGGTGGGTGCAAAACGAGAGGAAGGTGGTGACCCTGGATAGTGCTGGTGCTGGTTGGAAACGGCGTCGGTGCGATCCTTCGGAAAATTTTGCTTACGCTCGAAACAATTTCCCATAATAAGCGTTGTGGCTTTAAAAAGCCTTTACTCTTAATGGCGACGGTTTAAAACATCACATTCAACAATAATTCTCATAGAAATTGACAATAGCCATACCAACACAAATGTACAAATTGTGTGGTACGTGACTATATTCGGTCCCAAATAATCGGACCTTTTCATTCAAAACATCGCAAGCAGCAATGATGCATTTTTGAAGGGAACACTTTTTCAGATTTGCAAAAACAACCGTTTTAATATTTTTTATGAATTTCAAAATGAAATTACCTTTTCTTATTATGTTAATATTACTCTCATTAATGTAGAAACAATGTTCAGCATCTATTTAAATAAATAACATGGGAGCTCAGAATCAATCAATCAGTCAGTCACAGTCAGTCAGTCACAGTCAGTCAGTCAGTCACAGTCAGTCAGTCAGTCACAGTCAGTCAGTCAGTCACAGTCAGTCAGTCAGTCACAGTCAGTCAGTCAGTCAGTCAGTCAGTCAGTCAGTCAGTCAGTCAGTCAGTCAGTCAGTCAGTCAGTCAGTCAGTCAGTCAGTCAGTCAGTCAGTCAGTCAGTCAGTCAGCCAGCCAGCCAGCCAGTCAGTCAGCCAGCCAGCCAGCCAGTCAGTTTTTGTAAGTGATGGAGAAGAAATCAGAAAAGGAGGTAGAGAGTTCCAAAGAAAAGGGCCAGAAAATGCAAATGCAGATTTAGCAAAAAAGCGTTTAACACAAGTTAAAAAGAAGTGAGAACAAGAAAATGATCGTAAACCGAGGCGTTTAGGTTCAGTTAATATATCTGATAAGTACTTAAGAAATAATTTAAATTGAGATTTATACATAAATGTGCAAATTTTAAAAATTATTCTATATTTTATAGGTAGCCAGTGCAAGAGAACAAGATACGGAGATATATGAGAAAAGAAAGGGGCACGAGCAACCAGACGAGCTGCAGGGTTAAAAGCTTTACTTAAAGAATAGTGTAGAATCAGGATGACCATAGTAGAGCAAGTTAAAATAATCAATACTAGATAAAACTAAAAAAGTAACAAAAAGGAGAAGAGTAGGATCATCGAGAAAAGGCAAAAGTTTTTTATTCTACGTAGACGAAAGTAGGAACTTTTAACAACTCTATTAATTTAAAAAGAAAGGGAATAACGAAAGAATAGCTTTAATTTAAAGATTCAGTCTTCGTCTTGTTGATCTTGTATGAATTGGGTTATAATTTGCAAAAAAACCGGTAGGTAGGCTTTTGGAAGAACGTTTTGGATAGTGAATGTGGAGAGGTGCTGATAGTGATACTGTTGAACATTGCCAGCTCTTCTGATGTGGTTAAGCAACTTTTTCTACATACCTTGAATCTCACGTTTCTTATTTTTGAATTATCACTGAACTGCAATTTACTGATGGCGTTTCTGAGGCGGCTGGTAAAGAAACTTGCGTTCTTAGTGCTGCCTAGCTTAAGAGTTTGTGGTTTTTGCGAAAAAGATGTGTGAGTGATGCCAAAAAAGTTTTAAAATTTTTTTAATGATTATGAAGCACTTGTTAAAAGCTGATTTGATATTTTACAGTTTATTAAATATTTTTTACGAACCATTGTTTGTTCACTATCACCATCACTATCTCTTCACATTCAACTTTTTTTGTTATTGATATTGTCACTATTGTTTTAATTAAAACTAATTCTTCACTTATTATCAATCTTTATTATGTTATAATGTTATTTCTTATTGTAACACTACCAGAATTATATATACGTCTATAAAGCGTTTGAGCCATGAACTTCTCTGTAACGCTAACGGGGCACCTCTGTTTTTAACGTTACAATAGTTGCATTCACCATATTATTATTGTGAAAGCATTAATAAAACAACAAAAATAGTATTTCCATACACAAAGCCGTAGCCAGCGGAGGGTTGCAGCTATGTCTTTATATTTCTTAAAAAAATTCAATTTACATTTTATAACTTTATTACCATTATCTTTAGACAAGGGAGTAACGATGTTATCACTCAAACGATGACGAAGACTTTCAAACATTTTTATTTGAAGCCATGGTCAGTTACCGGGGAATTGCAATGGTGAACTTTTGCATTGCGGCGGAAACTGCTTCCTTTTTAAACACATACAATCGTCGTCGCCAGCCTAGGCGGTCTCGCTTCTAGCCAAGACCCGCCTCATCCCAATCAGATATCTCCGGATCAGTAAACATGGGCCAGGCGGAAAAACTATCGCGTCCTGCTTGCCAGTCTGTTAATCCGGTCTTGTTAACCGCTGTCTTCTCTTCATATTTCTCAAGTTCTAGAAAGGTCAAACAGAAATTATTATGAACTGAAAAACATTATTAAATAAATAATAAATAACATACTAACGATTTTCTACCAAAATAAAGAACAAATTCGAACGTTTTCAACAGAACAACTAATTAATAACTAAAATAAACAATTTTCAACAACGACAGTTGACAGTTTTCAGCAAAACAGCCCCTGGAAGAAAAAGAACCAACGACAAACTAACAAGCCAAAAAGAATCAGCTTGTGTTCTCAAACACGCTAACATAAATAAACTTACACACAACTATATAAGATTTACTAAGAACAAGCTCAGTCTCAAACTGACCATACTCGCATTCTAAGATATAACCAAAATCAATTCACCAGCATTCATACAATGTTAAACTATCATACAAATCTCACACAATTGACAAATCTATTTTGTTATGCATAGAAAGTTACAACAGAAGGTAGAAATGTCGCACGTCGTTGTTATTGCGCAATGATCTGGAGAGAATTCTACCCGTCAGATACTCGAAAGCGTTTAGTATTTGATTTTATGATGATTGTGCATGTGCATGTCACTAATGTGTGGAGGTTGTAGAGCCATTGATTGAATCGTAACTAAGTAAGGAATGATATTTTCCTTATACTGTTGTCTTACAGCATTCAGACTAGCTACTAAAATATTTTGATGCAAACGCTCGCCTCGCTCTCTGATGTAAATATTTATACAAAAAATATTCGTCAATTGTTTATTGAAAGCCCAATTGTCCAAGGGGAAATGATGATGTACTGTTGCGTTGTTCTGCCTGGTATGCTCGTCTAAAAAATCTTTTACTCGCAATAGAAAACTGAGAAGAAAGTGGCAAAATGTAAATAAAATTATTAGTTGTAGGCATTCCAGCAACATTTTAAAAGTAACAGTTAAAAGTAACAACTTTTTACTGTTGCTTTTAAAATTGATTTATTTAAACTTTTAAATGTTTTAAGGGTTTTTAATTCATTGGCTTCTTTCATTTTAAAAATATGAAGCAGAAAAAATTCTAGCTACTTTCTCTTATTGACCCAATTTAACATTGCATCGATTAACCCAAACAGTCAAAATAATGTTTAGCAGTAAGCGGTTGAAATGTGGCGTCATAAGAATACAAATTTCTGGTAACTGAAACAATTAGAGTTTGTTGCAGTTGGCAGGGTAAGATATTTTAAAATACGATAAATAGTTTATGGTTTTGTAGGCGTTGTTTAAAAAGAGAAGGCAGCAAAATAATTGACCGAAAAAGCGTTGATTTTGAAAATTTCCATTGGAACCCATAAATTTTTACAATTTGAAATTTTTACTCAAATGAAAATGAAAATTAGAAAAACTCAGTGAATCATCAATCAAACCAAAAAAATTGTATAAAAACATTGTGTTATTCCCTTTTCTATTCGTTACGGCAATGTGATTTGAATTCTTATCCTGTGTCAAAAATTACTGAATTCATCATCTTATACTATAGAGATTCACATTTATTTACTTATTTAAATTTTCGATTTAGTTTCAAAATTATCTCGGGCTAAATATATTATTTGTGCCAAAAATATCCTGTATCTTACAATCAAAATGCCATGGTTAATGCTTGAGTAGAATTTGAACCTAACATTATTAATTGAATTTCAAATAAATCTTATCTGGGTTATTATAAAATTAATCCGTGTAATAGATGCCACCCAGAAAGTTTAACCCGAAACACTCAAACAGAATGCGGCGAAAATGTAAAATGAGACTAAGAAATGGGTGAAGATGGCGAGATTAACAAAGATGAATTAATTTTTTACTTTTTAAATTGAATTGCATGATTTTATTTAAAGCATCATTTTAATATTGAAATAAAAAAATTAAAATTGTGAAAACAACGTGAGACCACAATTGTTAAAAAACGACAATACCGATTGAAAATGAAACAATGTTAAAATCTAACGAAACTAAAATTGTAATGCGTGTAATAACGTTAATAATGTATATGAAATTATTGAATTAACTGGCAAATATTAACGAATACCGATTGTGGAATAGACCATTTTAATTAATTAATTAATTAATAGTAATAATTCTACAAAAAACATTTAAAAAATTGTGAGCATTAAAAAGTGTTTTGATTAATAAACGTTTAAATGTCAATTATTATATTTCGAATGAACTGCTTTTCAAATTTTTTTGTTTATTTAACATTTGAAATTCTTTATTAATTTAATGTTCATCAAAACAAAAATTTAATTAGCAAAAATTATCTATTGAATTACGAAGAACTACATTTAATTTTAAATTAGAGTTGCAATTGAAATGATGATACGAAAGTGAAGATAAATAGCATAAAATGGAAACAAATCGAAAACATACAAGTGAACACCTATTAAAATAAAATTTTCAGCATATGAAAATGTGGAAGAACATTTAAGTAAAATATAAACATTCGCCAAAACATAATCTTCATACTCCTGGAACTAATGTTTGGTTTGCACTAGATGGTGCTTGCAACCCAAGCCCTCCTAAGCTCGTTTTCGATTTTTTAAAAGAAACTTGGAGAATTCTACTTCCTAGTTGGTATCCATTGAGCGAAGACACGGCTGTAAGAGCTTCGTCATAATTGGTCATCGTTATAAATCCAAAACCTTTGCACTTTTGAGTCGTAGGATCTCTCATGACCTTTACAGTTTGCACAGCGCCGAACGGTCCGAAAAGTTGCCACAAAATATTTTCTTCAGTTTCAGGAGCTAAATTATAAACGAATAAACACCATCCGCCAGTCGGCAGCATGCCACCTCCAATGAGGCTCGTCTGCAGCGAGAGAGCTGCACTGTCCAGGGATGAAAACCTGCTGTCGGGTTAAATATGTTGCGTTAGGCATAGACGTCCAAATAATTTGCAAATATTATGTAGAAGTTCATTGGCTAAGAGGGGCATTGCTTCAATTAATCGTATGTATGTACGTACATGTAAGAAAAAATTTGACAATCAGTCACTTAGAATCTTTTTATTTTTCATTATTAATTTTATAAAATTAAAATAAATGATTACAACAATTTGACTAATAAGTATGAGTTGCAGATAATAAGTAAAAATAGATAATAGTTGAACCATACAAACCTAACCACATATATTTGTTTTATTACATATAAAATGTAGACATTTCCAATTTTTGAATATAAATTAGCTACCCACTTTGCAATGGCCGGATGAGGAGGGTGTGAAAGGGATCCGATCATCCTTCGCGTTTGATTGACGTAAGGAACCGAAGACAATGAAATTCCAACGTTTTTGTTGATTGAGTTTGGACAGTTGGCAAATTTGACGGTGACCGGGTCTGAGGTGCCCGCTGGTATTGTTCCATTTAAATGTTTAATTGCTTGCTCTGCTTCTTGCCTCGTGTCATATCGAACGAAGGCAACTCCCTTTGACAAACCTGCATGTCGCATGTTTGTAAATTTATTTTTTTTATATGAATTAATAAAAAATATTTTTGGTAAAAGCAATGAATAATTTGCCTTTCCAGAATTTCAATCAATTTAGCGTTTCGATGGGCCAACAATTCGGCTTTCATAGAAGTTTATACGTTCAAAAAATATATTAATTTCATAGTTAAGATTTAACGATATGGTTAGTGTTAATACAAACCAGGATTATGCTAACTTGTTTCTGTTTACTGACAATAAACAGTTTTTCAAACGAATTGAATTTTAAGTACAACGAAAAAATTATTCAGAAAGTTTTAAACTTGATGGTGTAAAATGAATGGCGTTATGCTGAAGAAGTGTGTTGGTATGAGGGTTGGGAAAATTAGGATGAGAATGAATGTTTCATTAATTATTTAAATCTGAACACTGTGAATAATTTTAGAAACTTGGGAATTATATTACATAATAATTTAAAATTTGATAAAAACATATATCCGGTTGAGAAGAAAGGTTGGGTACAATTCATAAGCATTTTGAGTGTTTCAGGGATTTTCACATTTGATTTTATACAAGCGATCTGTCGGATTTTTTCTTAAATATGCGGTTCCATTGTGGTTTCCATGTTCAAAAATTTTCTGATCCTAATAATGAGAAATACTGTCCAGTATTTTTTTACGTTTTGACGGATGAACGAGAATACGCGGTAAAAAATTAAACGCATTAGTTTCGATAGGAACTTGCGTAATGATTTTTACAATTCGAATCATTTTGGTGTGCAAAAGATGACCTGCCTGCCTGACTGTGTAGTGAACTGCAAAACGTCCAATAACTTTGAAGTTTTTTGGATAATTTTTGGAAGAATGAAAAGTTTCGATGCACTTGGAGAGCAGACGCGCCAAGCTAGATTTTCAAGGTCGGTGTGAAGGTTGTCCTGATGAGTTGGCACCTGTGCGTGACGTCACGTCCAGATGGAGCTGGAATGGAAAGAATGAAAATAATTACATTTCTCGATCAGTCATTTTATTTTTCGCTCTTTTCTGGAACATTTATTTATTTTTCTTCTGTACATTTTCTTAAGAATTTCTATGTGAATATATATGTTATGACACGTGTATATATTTATTAAATTAATTAATTGATTAACTTGAGTTTATGTTTGCTTGGTATAATTGTTTTCAAATATCTTAGATATGAGCAAATGAATTCATATCTACAGCTCATGTTACACTTGTTATGTTATGTTACGTTATGTTGTGGTATGTTATGTTATGTTAAGATATATTATTAAGGAAGCAAGAGTCATTTTTTTGAACTGCATTTCCTGATCTATTTATTTTTATTTATTTGAATGTATAAACTTATAAATAAATATACATCATATTATCATTTGTAAAGATGTTAGTTGTTAACAATCATTTTTTTTATTATCATATTTAATTTCATTATAAAAATTTCCATCATCGTTTGAAAACATTTAGCTTTTCATCCATTCCGAAACAAATCGCAAACTTTTCCGAAACTTCAGCGCCGCTCCAAGTATTTCGCTATTTATTAGCCAACAAAACATTTAACTTAGCTTTCTCAAAACTATTTTAGTTCACTCCGTTCCCTTCAGTTTCAGCGGCTCTCTCTTTTTTCTATCTCTCCCCAAAGTCTCCGACATCTCAATACCCGATCCGATTTTGTATTCTCGTCATGCCCGAACCGTTACGTCACTTCCTATTTATCTTTATTAACCCTATTTATCTCTATTAAACGTGTTATCATATTTATTTAGAAGATAACCACAATTGGTTTTATATATGCAAACAATATTTAGTTCATTCATTTATTTACTTACTCATTCATTTACTCTTTCTATTAATTATTTCTTCATTCATTCATTCATTCATTCATTCATTCATTCATTCATTCATTCATTCATTCATTCATTCATTCATTCATTCATTCATTCATTCATTCATTCATTCATTCATTCATTCATTCATTCATTCATTCATTCATTCATTCGTTCGTTCGTTCGTTCGTTCATTCATTCATTCATTCATTTATTCATTCATTCATTCATTCATTAGTTCACTCCGTTCCCTTCAGTTTCAGCGGCTCTCTCTTTTATCTATCCCATCGTTCGTTCCTTCAATCATTTTTTCATTTATTTACTAATCCATTCACTCAATCTTTTACTCATATATCCATTAATCAATCTAGAGTAATTTTCAGGGTGCATCTTTTATGAAATCACCAAACCTTCGTGAACCAACATAAGAAAATATTGGCTGCTTGATTGGTTGTTAGGTGAGCGAACAGATTGCAGGCTGGTGTGTGTGTTGGGCGGGAAATTGAGCAAAATATATTTATTAGAACAACAAAAATATTTTAATAATTTAGTCCGGTAGGGAATTTTTAAAATCAGTATCCTACCATCATTTCGGTATTGTAATCTTGAAATATAGGGTAGAGCAGGTAAAAACGCTCAGTTGAGGCGAAACACACCCTTTTAAAATAATATTGACATAATTTAGCGCTAGATTATTTTTTCAGATTGATAGACAACATACCGAACGTTGTTAATTTTTATATTTTATTGTTTTTGCATAGTCGAGGTGAGTTTTAATGGATTTTCTCGATTTTTACTGTAAATTGACTATAAATAGAGTAATAAATTATAGCGAATAATAAAAATTAGGTTTCGTTTTGTTTTAATTGGTTTGATTATATGAAATATAAATAGTAAGATCTTCATAATAAATTAAAATTAGTTGGACGGCTATATTAAATCTTTAAATAAATATATATATAATAAATCTTATATCAGCCAAAAAATATTTTAGCGGATCAATTGGGATAAAACGCCCATTACTGTATGAGGCAAAACGCCTTTTAATTAAATTCATATAACTTTAGAAAATTTATTATAAAATGACGCTAGACTTCAGTTGTTTTGTTTTTAATAAAGATAATTTTTTATACAGTTAAACAGTTAAACTTCAACTGTTCAAGCTTCTCAAATATCAAACTAATCTGGTGTCATTGTTCGCAAATGTAAGCAAACGTCCGAACGAGGAAAATATGGAGACGAGTTGCTTGCAACCGGTTTGCAAGCTATTGCAGATGGAAAATTTCTGATTCGTGTAAGCCAAGAACTTGGTATTCCAGCGCGAACATTACGTCGGCACAGAGATAAAAAAACACTTAATCCTGGAACTTTAAAATTGGGACGTCACATTCCAGTTCTTTCCGGTTCAATTGAACTTGAACTTCATAACCATATACATACAATATATGGAAAAAAGTCTCTATGGACTCACTCTTTTTGGTCTACGTCGTCCAGCTTTTGAGCTAGCCTGAAACCATGAGTATTGATCACCCATTCAATAAAGACAAAAAATCTGCTGGAAAAGATTGGCTTTCAGGTTTTCTCACACGATATCCTGATCCATCAATAAGAAAACCAAAAGGAACCAATTTGTCACATGCAATAGCGTTTAACAAACCAAAGGTGATGCAGTTTTTTGAAGTTTATAAACAACTGCTCATTGACATTTCTTGTACTCCTTCACACATTTGAAATATGGATGAAACAGATATGAAACAGAAAATTATGATGAATATAGTGTAAAAAATCTGCATATCCCAAGTAAAATTGTTGCTAAAAAAGGTATAAGAGCTGTGGGCAAAATCACTAGTGGAGAAAGAGGTTCAACAGTGACAATCATATGTGCATTCAATGCTGCTGGTGATTTACAATTGAATCGGTAACACAATTTTTAAGCATCATTAAGTTTTTGGGGAGTGCAAGTTTAATTTTTAAAGTTAAACTTAATTTTTGCTATGAGTTAAAAGAAGCTGGTTCAAAAAATATCGGTATCCAGCTAGGCCTCTGCAAAAAATCAAGACTCAACAAATGCATTTCAACTGCTGTATAATTTTGAAAGATTCAAAAAGTTGGAAAATTTTGAAACTACTATGATAGTTTTAACAAATTTTTCAAAAATGCTTCGTTTTAATGAATAAATATAATAAAACACTTATTGACAAATTTAATTTGTCAAAATACTGACAGCAAATTGATTAATACAACTTGTAATGCTTTTAATTTCCACATTTTTTAGAGATTGCGATTGTTAACAAAAATTATTAATTTTTATGTACGTGATAATTTCATTAATTTCATTTAATTTATTTCAAACATATTTTGAAATATTTTTAAAATAAACTTTCAAAACTGTAAAAATTAGATTGAGTATTTGAAAAAACATTTCAATGTCCACTCAATGATGAAAGTTTGAAAATTAAAAGAATGATTAAGCAAAAATAGTCAAAAAATAAATTGAGAAAGTTTTTTGTTAATTTTTTAACTTGAAAATTTTTTAAAAGTTTTAACTTTAATTACTGTCTAATTTCTACACTGTTAACCAAAAAATCCTATTTGGTCGCTTGATCATTTCGAAAATAAGAAAAACTTGATTTTACAGCCTTTTGAATCTTTTCATTGTTAATTGATTTCAATTGTTCGATCTTAATAATTGTTTTGAAACTTTTTACGTTACAAAATATTAAATACGTTTTTAAAATTTAGTCTCGCAACATGTTCGAGTATTCTACGTAGGTAGGCTAAAATAAAAATATTAAATTAAATTTCTGAAGCGGCCAAAAAGTTGAATAAAAAATATTTACATGCTTAGTTTTAAAGAAAAACATGAAGAAAGATAGCAAGCGGCGACAACAATGGTGGGGTTGATTTGATGGCAGTGTTGTTATTGAGATTATTTTGTAATAAAAGGGAATAAAAAAGGACTTGCGTTAAAGTGCGGGAACATGGTACCTGATGCTATTGAATTGTAATCATATACTTAGAGTACTTGAATTGTCAATGACGATCTCCAAATTTTAGTGAAGAAGTCTGACTTTTTGAATTAAGTTTTAAAAATTCATAGTAATACCAGGCCGGCTGCATCAAAATAGCAAGTAGCAACTTAGCAAAAGTGAACAAGACGGGCTTGGCAATTCAAATATGTACTCAAAATTAAACTCAGAAAGAAGTGGAAATCATTCGTATTTCAGTGGAAATCATTTGTATTTCAAAATTTCCAATGAGGCGCACCAAGCTGGTTGGATCCTTCCAAAACAGCCAGCCGTTCACCAAAGTGGATATTTAAGTAAAACACAGAATAAGGTAGCTGCTGTCTTGTAAAGACAAAGTCAAAAAAAGCAATGTTTCAACTCTGAAATGTTTTCTTTGAAAGCTTAAAAAAGTTCGACAACGTAATTTAATCGTTGTCATTTTGGACTGCTACCGTCAATTAGTAACAGATTAAAACAACGCTCTTTCGCATTAACCGAACTATATTACAATTTATAGTGCGATGTTTACAACAGTTGACAAAATTCAATTTTTGTTAATAATGCAAAACTGTTGATGAATTCTGTTTTCGAATCTGAACATTCTGTTTAAACTAAACAGCTATTTGCTTTGAGTTCACTAAGAGATATTTCAGTCACAACAAAGAGATGTTCATCTGCGCGTACTCACGAATCATTATCAGTACCGGGTATGAAATTTTAACGAACATTTCTAACAATCACCTGTTACTGGATCGCACAAAATTCGTGACGTCACGATGACTCCGTAAGGTGCGAACAGGCTGTCGACGTCTGGTTGGGCCATAGATTTGGACAACCCACTGACATATAGGTTCGCTCCCTTGATTGTGTCGCTTGATGGCCGCGCGAATGAGACCTGCAAAGTTTCAACTTACACTTCAATATCGAAACATTAAATAATCTTATGCAATGAATATTCTTACTTTAATCGTTTTGTTCTGCAGACGTAAACCGTTGAATGAATATATCGCCTTCCTAGCGTGCTCCGTGTGTCGGTAGTTAATGAAACCGTACCCCAGGCTCTGACCTTTGTTAACATTTTTGATCTTCTTAATCATTCTCGAATAATTTATCACAATAGGTTATAATCTAAAGTATTGCACCTATTCAAAAGTAAGTAATAAATTTTGCAATTTACCTCAAGGAAAATCAAGATATCAAAAAACTATTTCAAAAATAAATTAAGTTCTTTTGTTGTTTTGTAGTTTCTAAGCTTATAGCATGCGTGTTTGAACACTCAATTCACCGATTATTTATAGAATGTTCATTACATTACTCAATATAATTATTTCATTCAAATATTTAATATATATATGTAATTTTGAAAATATTTAAATACACATTACAAATTTATAAAACCTATAAATTAGTGTGTTCAAAATGGCAAAGAGGGTGGGCCATAAAGTTCCTCAGTTGCTCATTAAACTATTCATAAGTATCTTACTTCTGATGTTGTGGGTGCTAAAATAACCAGTTCCTAATAAGCACTAGAATTGATTGCCAATTCCAATAAACTAACATAAAAATATGAAAAGAAGGATAAGGCCAATGGAATGAACGAAGTGAATATTTTATTACCTAAAAAGCAGATAATTTTTAAATGAATACAAACAAAAGTCAAAAAAATATGGAGTAAATCAGACAGGATTAGACTAGAACGAAGAACACGAAGCTGTTTTCTCATAAAGAACGCAAAAAAACTTACTTTGTACATTAGTTTTTATTGATTTTATTAAAAAATAAAAAAAGCGGTATCCATCGGCTAAATCAGCAAATCTCAGGTCTGAATTTTTCAGCTTCAGTAAACGAATATTTTCCAGATTGCAATCATTGTTCGTACATCCTCAACATTTAAAAACAGAAAAAGTTTTCAAAACTGGTAAAAATGTTACAAACAGTTTCACATATGCCAACAACGTTGTTTTACTGGCTTTACACCTAAAATAGTTTCAAGAATTAGGTGGCTAATAATATCCCGATGTGGACAGGACTACTGGAGTATCGGGCAGAAACTCAAGTTAATTACTACCTCACAAAAAGATGCTTCAAAAATATTTGGGTGTTCTACTATCAAAAACAAAACAAAGTGACTGACGTGACATGACATGAAACAACAATTTAATGTGGTTTAGAATTATTAAAAAGTTTTTAGGTTAGATTGATTCATTTAAATTTTCATGGAAATAAATAAATAAATTTAATTTAATGAAGTACTTAAAATGTTACCAGTGGTTTTATCCCTTATTAATTTGCAGCTTTCCAATTCTCCAATGGTTGAGAAAAGGGATCTAATATCTTCTTGCGACATTGTTTGAGGCAAATAATTGACAATCAAGTTAGTTTTATCTTCCTCCAACGAACCCATCATCATTTCTTTAACAACCACTTTTGACAAATCTCCTACACCGTTTTGCGTTGAAAATTTTTCTAAACTAGGATTTATACTTGATGAAGAATTTAAAAACGATTGACTAGCTTTTTGCTGATTGAAAATTTGTTGTTGTTGTTGGTTTTGTTGTTGCTGTTGATATTGTTGTTGGTGTTGTTGCTGATATTGTTGCTGTTGCTGATGTTGTTGCTGCTGATAAAGCTGTTCGATTTGACGTTGAGAGTTAGCAACTTCACTATTAGTAATCTACAAATAAACAAGTGTTAAAAACAATTTTCATCATTATTAATATAATTATTAATATATTAGCAGCAGCGGTTTGCATATTTTAAAAATGTAATAGATAATTTAAAAAAATTGAATGTCTGAAAGCGATGAAACTTAATTTGTACAAAAAAAACATTTTATTTAGAATTTATTCTGAAATTTGGACATCTTTGGCCGAGTCTTATTTGACCTACCGTTATATTTGTCACACATTGAATACAACATCTGGTCAATGTGGTTATAAGCTGAAATCATGGGTTAGGTTCCATTCCCAACAGAGCGTTATCAAGGTCATTCAGGTCTTAGTCATTTGTGATGGGAAGTCGTTAGTCGTAGTTCAGAAAACAAAAATAAACTGTCACAATGAAACTAATTTTTAAAAATTTAGTTGGCTAATTAAATTGTTCAATTAGTTTAAATTAAGTATGGGATGAAGGAATAATAAATTAGTTTTTACTTTTATCATTACTGAACAGATGTTTATGCATGTCATTTGGTACATTACGACTTCCTCAATACTTAATAGCACTGCTGTTCTCAATAATAAAATATGGTGGTATGTAAAATATTGAAACATTTTAACATGAACAAGAACGGCATACGTGGACATCAGCCGAAGGTTAAATAAAAACACCAAATCAATTATATTGCCACAACACAGAAACACAACATCTGTCATGAGCTGCAAACACTTCATGGTGCGTACTGTAAACAAACGACGACAAATTTTGAGTTAGAAACGAATGAACAGGAACACCCTTACAACTCATTTTGGAAAACCTCGAAAAAATAAAAAGGTACAAAATAGATTTAAATAATTATAGACAGATAAAGACAAAAATAATCAAAAATTATTGTGGCAAAATGTCAAACGAGTTTTGTTAGAAACGACGAAATGGAAACAGTTGGATGTAGGAAGTCAGGAGAAAAGAAAATTTGGAGTTCACATGACACAAACTAATGAAGGGAGAACTAGAAAATGGAAAGAAAAGCAGATTAGTAAAAAAGATACAAAGAATTTAAAGCAAAAGTGCAAAAAAATTAAAAAACAGAAAGTAGGTAAGATGAATATTTTCATCAAAAATGTAAAAAACACAAATGAAAAAGAAAAAAATGTAAAGTTTCTTTCACAAAAGTTTTAACCTCGCATGCATTGCATAACGTCGAAATCGAGTACTGTCGAACAGAAGCAACGGGAATAATAGAACGACAGAAAGAAAACTCTAAAAAATTTCAAACAGATAAACCTACAAAGGATGTACAAGAAAAGCTGAGTGCTTAACAGGCGTAACATCAGAACGGTTTTCAGTTAAAAAATGGGACAGACAGAAATGTCATTTCACATCTTCAACATTCTAGTAGAAATGGCAACATGTAAAGCTCTAGGAAACTTTGAATAGAGAATTGATATAGCCTGTAAATAAGCAAACAACCTAAGATGTACACGGGATATAACAGTCCAGTCTAAAACAAATAAAAACTGCATAACCTGATATATGGACTAATTAAACTAACTAGCTTTAGTTTAACCATTAATGATGATAAACAAGCCAATGTGTGCAGACATGAAATTATATTAAAATATTTCATTTAATTTTATTCAGTTAGAACTCCTGTTGATTGAAAGTGCTGAAGATATTTATTTATTTATAGATGTGGATGAATAAATTTTATATCTCATTAATAAAAATTGTCACACGTGTTTACAAATGTTAATGCATTTACCAGTGAATTATTTTTTACGAAGATTTTTGAGGCATTTTAATAATGCAAATTCAGGTTGAAAAACACACTCCAGGAGCATGGTCGGTATGACAATAATTTTCAGCGCTGTTCATCAGTCAAGAAACAGGAAGGGCATCTTTTTTTACATGCGTGGATGGGGCATGCCATACCGGCTGACCCGATCAACCTCTCACAGAAAAAACCTTTTTGTCTGTCTATCACACAGTTGAGTCCAACACTGAATTGGGAGAATCAAATCTGAAAGTCGCAGAAACCAATCTAGCAGGATTGAACATCATTAAGATGAGATTACTTGATACTACGCATGAACACGTCGCGGTTGGTTTTTTAACAGACGTGAAATCATTGGAATCATTTCTTTATCAAGCATCGACAAAATAAAAACGCAACTTATGCCTAGTTCAGCCATCGCCAAAACGTTATAATCTTTTTAGAAAGCAATTATTACTAAAAATGTTCGAGAATAATTTGCTCATTTAGCTTGTCTGGAACGATTCAACAGATCGCAAGATGACAGAGATTGTTTGAATAATATTTTTTTATAGAAAGTTACGATTTAAAATAACTGCGCGATACATTTTGGCAGATTTTGATTTACATGTATATTTTTATTAATCAATTATCTAACCATATAATATATATATCTAATATGTATCAAGATATATTTAGTTGTTTAATAGCATAATCAACACACCGACGTTTCTATGAATTCACGTGAAACTACATGCTGGACTGAGAATATATCGCGAGGACAATATAATATAAGACGTGCGGTAACATAGATGGCGTTGCAGTGATCAGTTAAATGCTTTCCTGCTTATGCATTCACGTCTCAGCACACTCACACGTTGTCTAGAAAACAGTCAAAAAAACGTATTTTTTCATAGATGAATTTTTTAAAACTTTAATAAATTTTAAATTAGACGCATTCAATATTAAGCAAACTGCAGTCAATTTGCAATTTCCTGTTGAACCTGTTTGAAATATTTACATAAAGATACCTACAGCGTATATTCACAATTTAATGTGTAAAATTTATAAATACATCTTTAGTTTGGTATATGTATCAAGATATATGTCTACAATATATATGAATATATATTGTAATGTGTGTTTGTGTACGTGCGTGTGCATGTGTGTGCGTGCATGAAGTTTTACATCGAACATGTGGTGATTGTGAGTCTCGTACCACTCTGCACTGAGATTAAGACAGATGTTGATGTTGCATTAATTATATTCACTTGTACTTGCAGCATGCAAATACAAAAAAAAACTTATTTTATGTTACGATATAAAATTCTTTTTTTAAACACAACCCTTATAGGATAGGGTTTTTTAATATCTTTCACTCGATCCTTCATGAGTTTTTATAAATATCCTTTCATGAAATGGAATTGATGTTAACCCTTCCACGAAAAAAATTTAGATTCATGTGATATTATGCTTTGCTCGGACAATGCAATGATGCAAATGCGATTTATTTACCTGGGGATTAATAGCTCATCTCACATGCTTCATATTGCATAGTGGTCACTTGAGCTTTCCTCAACAGATAAAATGAAACGCTCAATAATTGCTACAACTTATTCAAACACACATCGCTATATATATATATACATATATGTATATATATATATATTCAATATAAATATATAAACATGTGCTACAACATAACTATACAGCGTCTGTGTACGTGTGTGTGTGCATGTGCGTGTTTTTATGTGTGTGATATATGTGAAAATATCAAGTCAAAATCGGTGCACGTTAAGATAATTTTTAGCAATTTTAGCAAGTAATATAATTGAATACCAAAAATATTTTTTATTAATCAATATATATATATATATATATATATATATATATATATATATATATATATATGTATATATATATATATATATATATTAGAGCACGTAAATATTTTTAAAAATAGGATGTTTAAAAAAGTCATAAAATGAAACGATCCAAAACAGTTGAAACAATCCGAAAATTATTCCATCATTGCCAATTATAAAACTGAATTTTATGACGATTTCTAGTTACTGCCAAAAGATGCTTAAAATGGTTCTCAGAGAATACGGCAGATTAACTGGAAATAGATGACACCACATTTTGACCTTGTTGTTAGAAAGGAGGATGACCACAGATTTTCATCAGCGGGAACACAAAATTCTAGATAAAACAATTCAAAATTTGCTTGGAAGCAAATGAGAAATGGTCGATTATCAGATGTGAAATCACTAAATGTCAGAAAAAAATATAGTGATCTCAAAGGTAATGTTTAGCTGAGGTAGAATTTCTGACATCACACAAAACTGAGAAGAATGCTTGTTTAATATTTGCACGGAGGTTGTTAAAAATGTAGCTTAGTCATTAGAGCTCGGACAGTCAACCACTGTTGTTAAAAGGCATTGTACGTAAATGTGCCTGTGCATAGACAAATATTCACGCCTCTTATGTAGTCTTTGTCATTGATCTATCTAGACGCTAAATTGTTAATTTGGTGAAGTGGTTTATTTTAATGTCAAACATAAGAATAAAATTTAAAGATAAATTGTTAAATAAAGAGGCAGTAGTTTAAGTGAGTTTTTTTTAGTCCAATCAATCAATCAATTGATCAATTCTTTTATTTGTATAGAGCCATTTTCGTGATGTCAAAACCACTCTGATGTATTTCGCAAACAAATAGATTAGAAACTTGTTCTAAATTTAGTTAATGACTGTCATAGTCTGAGAAAAACTAATCAAACACCAGAGTTAAAAGCTTTAGTAAAAAGATATTGTCAAATCAGCAAAACCAGGGCGAGTTACAGTAATTAATTTTAGATAAGATCAATGAAATAAGAAATGAATGAAATGAAAGGTATGGTCATCAAAAAAGCATGTAAATAAAAAATATTTATTTTGTAAAAAAAATAAGCATACTAGAATCAAAAACAAAAACAAGACAACAAAAATTATACAAAACGTCTTGGGTTTGAAGAGATGATTCGAGCTCTGACAGTTAAAGTGTCGTATTATCCGCCCGAAACTGAAAAACTCACATAAACTCTGTACGCGACTACATAAACATGAGTCGTATGCACGTCACATCATGTAAATGCGCAACTTTTGGACGACTAAATATTTAGAGAGCGATATCCAAGCAGCTCCTCTTATTAAAAATGACGTGATGATGACCATAGAGCATTAGAACATCTCATATTATTGATGCAATAATGCCATTGTATAAATTCGTCCAACAATTATCAGCAATGAAATTGGGCTTAATAAAAATTATTATTTAAGACTTCTTTTTTAACTTTTTATTAACTTCATTTAGCACTGTAAATTGTTTTGACAATGAAACCTATGAATCTGAAAAATGAAATGTTTGATCAAATGCTGAAAAATTAAAAATAGTTTTAAATTTTAAATGGGTGAGCTTGAAAAATAATTTTACTTTTTATTTTTATAAATAGCACATTTAAGAGATTAAAATATGAAGCTATACTTCAGAACTATGCAAATAAAAATGACGATACTCTGCATCGAATCCCAGCAATATTTTTTATCGATTTTCATTTATTCATTGTAACGAGCGGAAATACCCAAAAGGTATCATACATGGATATGTAATGATATATAGGGAACATCGTTTAAAATGCGGCTTTATATTTTAGCCTACACGCACATCACTTAAGTGGAGTATTTTGCATAATTTCCGTATTGTCGATTGTTTGTTAAACTAACAACCAATAAATTTGCTACCAATCATTAATGAAAAATTTCAGGAAATGCTTTAAAACTGTTTTACTTATGACATAGTTTAATTTTCGTTATTTATATATAAAAATTTTACTAGTAAAGTTCACAAAATTCTACTTTCATGTAGCTGAATATGTGTAATATTGACATGCCCCGTCCCCTCGAAGTCATATTTATAAATTTATAAATTTTATTCGTTTTTTATTTTATAAAATAATTCTTTACAAAATGAAAAATGAATTGAGACAAGAGTATTTATGAAAAAAAGAAAGAAAGAATTCAAACTGAGTTACCATGCAAACGATTTTATTTATTCCGTGATAGAAAAATTTTAACGAAAAAGTTCAAAATAATTTTTTTGGTCCATCACATACATTTTTTTAGATTGAAACAAATTGGCAGATCCTTGTAAACGTTAAGGCCAAAAATACGGACTCGTGATATAATTGAGCAAGCGAACTCTCATACACGGCGAATGTTGTTGGATGAAAGTTGTTTTGAAATATCAGACGTGATGGTTGCGTGCAGGTTCGCAGTGTTTTCAGATCAATTGATTCATTCGTTTTATACCAGGAACATGTGAGCGCCAGCGATCAATGAGAGAGCAATCAATTGAAAATTCAGCGATATTATTATTATTATCCTTAACGCACAATTATCTGAATAATTTAACGTAATTTAACGTAAACTACTTTAATAAATCAAAAATTGAGGTTATTTTATTTTTGCCAAAAAAAGGCAGAAAGACTGAAGTTCAGAAGAACTTTTACGGTCCCCAGAAAATACTGGAAATTAAAACACAAAATAGAATAGCCTAGAAGTAATGAAAATTAAGAAAATGAATTATAAAAAGAAATAATGTAGTTTAAAAACCAATTTAGAAAAATATAAATGTATGAGAATTAGCTTAGTAACATTAGGCAAATAGTAGGTTAATATATAATTCCTAAAAAGTGGCAAAGGAATTCATAACAACATATTTTCACATGTACACGGAACGCGAGTACATGAAATAATAATGATTATACAACATTATACATCTTTTTATTAGTATCAACGATCTTATTATCGATTAATTGATAGAACTTATAAAAATTCATATATAGATTCAAAATAAATAAAAGTATGAATATAAGCAAACTCGGCCCTTTGTTAGTGGCATGTTTAACGCATGTGTTTAAAAAATTGAAAATAATGCTTATACAACATTTTATCGAACTTAGAAATAAACTGAACAAAATTTTGAGCCACAAAATTTTTGAAAAAATTAAAAATGCTTCAAAGAGTTATGGCGGTGTTCATTGAGACGGCCCGTAGCTCTGCCTCCATCAAAAAAAGCATCAGAGATTTACGTAGAGTGGTGTACATGGAAGCAACAAGTCACTGTGATTTATGATTATCTCATTGTTTCGAGCCCATCGAATCAAGGCAGATAACGATCAGATAGCGAGTCCAGCGGACTGGAAGTAAAAAAAGGAAGAAGATAATGTACATGTGATCCGGACTGAGGCAGCCAGGCGCAAACAGACTGAAAAATAAAGCGCCGAAGAATATTTTTACGGAACGCATCATCGGATAAATAAGTTTTACCGCAAGTGAATGTGCGCCATGTATATTTCATGTGAAACATTTTTAAATTAAATTTTTTTCTCTAAATGTGTAAAGATGGATGTTTATATCTTGACCAATATTGATATAATTTACACTACTTGCGCTTTATAATGGTTCGTACTTTCTATGTAATACTTTGCTCTATATCTTTTAATCAATTTAGTTTTCTTTAATGTGTAAATTTTTCAGTGCAAATAAGAAAGCATGGGAGAGGATGATTTGAAAACATGCAAGTAAACAGATAGGCAGGCACTGTGTGTGATGGTTGAAAACTGCCGTAGTAAAATCATGCTTCAATTTAATAACATATTACTTTTCTCGTCAGAAACTGGTCCAAATTAAATTTACAGTTTTGTTTTGAAAATCAAAAAAATTAATGAGTTGAAATTTTTGTGATATTATTTATTATGGAAGCAAGCAACGTGAAATAGTTTTGAATTGGGGCGGTCATCTGCATTGTAAAGTTTTAAAATTAAGAAGCAGAAGTGTCGCAAAGCAGAGCAGCAAGTGAGCGGCCCTGCGACATGCAGCAACTGTAATGATGGATTGATAATCAATTCAAACATGTTTGTTTGCGGTGTATGAACTTTGTGAATTTTAAAGTGTTTGTATAAGTAATGTTTGAACGGTTTAATTCGAAAATTCTAATAACAAAATAACTTTTATAGTTACACCATGTTGGGTGGGTAGGTATTTTCATGCCAAATTACATGTTTGTATTCATTTTTTGTGTTTCACTTTTTTAAAACGTGCGGTAACCTAGGTTTCCAAAGGTTTTCAAGAAGTTTAGAACCATTGTCTGTAACCATCAGATGATTTTTTTTATTTCAACCTTTTTACAAACATTTTAATTATAGTCTACAAATTATTCAGAAAAATTAAGACAACAAAAATATTGCAATAAATTGACCTTCAACCCTGATTCTGATCAAGTATCCAAATAATCGATTGGCTAACAAAAAATTTCCGTTAATTAAAAAAATGAAATCAGACGCATGCATGCATTATCTCTACAGCCAAAAAATCGTTTTTAAAAGATTTTGTTGCAGAAATTGATCAATACTGTGAATGATATTCTATTTGAAGATATGTTTGTGATAAATGAGCATAATAACTGTTAATAAGGAAAGATGGATGGATGGATGGATGGATGGACGGACGGACGGACAGGCAGACAGACCGATCGACAGACAGACAGACAGACAGACAGACAGAAAGACAGAAAGACAGAAAGACAGACAGACAGACAGACAGACAGACAGACAGATAGACAGACAGATAGATAGATAGATAGATAGATAGATAGATAGATAGATAGATAGATAGATAGATAGATAGATAGATAGATAGATAGATAGATAGATAGATAGATAGATAGATAGATAGATAGATAGATAGATAGATAGACAGACAGACAGACAGACAGACAGACAGACAGACAGACAGACAGACAGACAGACAGACAGACAGACAGACAGACAGACAGACAGACAGACAGACAGACAGACAGACAGACAGACAGACAGACAGATAGATAGATAGATAGATAGATAGATAGATAGATAGATAGATAGATAGATAGATAGATAGATAGATAGATAGATAGATAGATAGATAGATAGATAGATAGATAGATAGATAGATAGATAGATAGATTGACGAGACAGATAGACGAGACAGACAGACAGACAGATAAACACATGGATAGATAGATAAAGAGACAGATAGATATATAGAAAAAGAGAGAGAAAGAATATAAATGTGCATTACATTATTATCGATATATCGGATCTCATTCGTATTCATGGAACCTTGCCTAAATGCACCAAGCAATCTGCTCGATCGATGCATTCGCTGAATTTGTTCTCGACCGCTTCTGTCGTGATGGTGGAGAATTTATGTTTGCTTTTTGTATTAGTATGTATTTGTATGCGTGCCTGTATTTGTTTGCGTAAATGTAATTGTTTGCATGTGTGTATTTGTTTAGGCATGTGTTTGTTCGGATGTTTTTATTTCTTTTTGTTTGTGAATTGCATTGCTGTCGACGTGTTTTTTGCACGTGAGTATGTGTGTGTATGTGTGCGTGAGTGTGTGTGCGTGTGTGTGTGTGCGTGTGTGTGTGTGTGTGTGGCTGCGTATAAAAACACGTGAGGGTGCGTTGTTTTGTTTGGTTATGAGAACTGGAAAAAAATTCCCACCCCGATGGCGCAATAACGTTGCATTAAAAATCAATTTGAGATTAAAATTTGGAAGTTAAATTTTTATAGTGAAGAAAATAATTTTTCAAAAAACTATTAAACGAAAAAAAAATTAATAAAGAAATAATTTTACAAAAATAAAAACGTTTTTATTCATATGATTTTGAAAATAAAATTCTTTGTTACGTGAAATTAACTGAAATCAATATTAATAGTACGACTTTTTTATAAACTTACCCTGAAAAAAATTACAATAAGTGATCAATTCGTGATGCAACAATAAACATTTTTAAATATTTTTGCCATTATTATAAACGATGAAGGTTTAAAAATTGGATGGCTTTGTATATGAAAATTCATAGTTGGAAGACATTTGGTAAGTTACCTCAAAAATGCCAAATATCACGTTGCTGGCTGTTGCACAGTTACCAGGTTCGAACGCAATCTGAAAAATTAAAAGATGCAGTGCAAGTGATGCGTTCAGATGTTTAAATGCGTATGCAAGTGTCTGCCGGATCATAAACACCCTTATAGGCTATCATTTCATTCCATTTGTATTTATATGTACGTATGCAGTGTATGTATTAATATCCATTTTTGATTGCATGTCTGTCTGCATGTCTGTCTGTCTATCTTTCTGTCTGTCAGTTTTTTTGTCTGTTTGTCTGTCTGTCTGCATGCATGTAAGTACGACCCCATGAATATAAACAATAGTCAAAAAACTGCCATTTGTTTCCCCCTTTTGACGTATAATATAAATTTATCTGACATACACGGAAGAACATTTTCCGACATTCTCCAAAATACAGTAAGCCTTGAACCTAATTAATAAAATAAAATACAGATAGAAATCTTGTTTTATGTAGAACTTTCCATTTGGTTCACCGATTATTTCCGTTACTTTGACGCTCATTTGCTCTAAAAAAGTTTTTCTTTTAGTAAGGACCGAATGTTTCTATGCATGTGTGTGTATGTGTGCATGTGTGCGTGTATGTATGCGTGTGCATGTATATGTGTATGTGTGCGTGTGCATGTATATGTGTATGTGTATGTCTGGTGATTTGATTGTACGATATTTACAAATGTTTTAATCGTAACATATGGTTAAAGATTGGAGAACCATACTGCAACTGAAGAATATAAAATACAATCGACATGGTTAACAATTGAAAATTTTAATATTAATAAATTAAAAGACAATAAATTCAAATAAAATAAAATTTCATGAACGTCAAACAAATGTTTCTTTAATAAAAATATTCACTATGGGTGATTGAATACAAATAGGCAGGATTTGAAGTTCTTACTTATTTGAAGTATCTTCAAAATTTTCTCCTCATTCGTTAACTGATTATTCATTTAATTTCAGTTTAGTTGAATCGAGACAAAAAAGTTTTTAACAATAGCCGATGTCTGATGATGTTGCAAACAAACTCAGCCGAAACTGACAACTCAAGAAATGATAAAACGCAAATTCACATAAGCCAACTTTGCAAGTAGAAGATGGGAATGTATTTCATTTAAAAAAAATTATACATACCCCAAGTTATTGCTGAAGTGTTATTATTATTATTAATTCTATCAATTAAAAGTCTGGAAGTTGATTAACGAGAAAACCAAACCATGCAAATGCATTTCAATGTTTACACGTCACGAACTGAACAAAGTCACCACTACCACTACTGCAATGATCAGTTCACATCCATGCAACAAAGTCTCGAGGAAATGAAAGTTTCAAAAAAAGACTGGATGTCCCCTGTTGTGCTAGCTTCAATGAAGAATCAAATCGGAGGAATTGAACTTTCTGGAACTTCAAGAAACAACAGAAAATTATACAGGATGGATTGATGGATGACTAAATAAATGGATGGATGTATGAAAGAACGAATGGACAGATGGATGGATGGATATCTGTCAATGAATAAAAACTTGAACTACTTTTGACGGGCTTTCAATTAAAATCACAATTTAACATTCAGTCGAATTTTACAATTTCGAATTTTTCTTGCGATAAATTAAATTGTATGGAACAGCCATAACAATAAAAATATGCTTCATTTATTTGTTAAAAATTCTTTTTGTATTTAAACATTTGCAAGCCTACAAACATACATACACACACACATACATACATGCATACACACACATATACATACAATCACACACATACATGCATACGTACATGCATACATACAGACGGACGTACATACAAAGCATACAAACAACAGACAGACATACATACATACATACATACATACATACATACATACATATATACATATATACATACATACATACATACAGACGTACATACAAAGCATACAAACATACATACATACATAAATACACACACACACATATAAGTGTAGTATAACATACATGTTACACACTTGCCTATCTTAGTCTTACATTTTTTTCAAATACTGGTTATAAATGTATTTATAAATGTAAATGTAAATAAATGTCTTTTGATACTTTTATTAACGGTAAAAGTAATAATTACATAATCGTCAATAAAATTTCTATTCAAAAACTTCATATGAGAATTTTTTGAGATGTAAGAGACTTCTAGAAACTTCTTTCAAATGCATTTCCAATTTACTCAAGTTTTTCTAAAAGTTTCGAATGTTCTCGAACCTAAAATTTGTGTTGAAATATTTGTACAATCGTGAAAATGAAAATGCCAGCATTCTCGTAAGTGAAAGAGATTTCTGAGGATTTTTGGAAGAATCGCTGTTGAACGCTTCCATGGTTTTGTTTTGAGAAATGTAGAAATTTGCTTGAAGTTGCAACTCATTGAAAGGCATCCATAACGATTTCACATGATAATTTTTACACGAAATAGTGAATAGATCCGCAACGAGCAGCAAAATAATTTCATTTCTTTGATGAATTTAAATTTTTTATTAAATCCATATTTTCGCAGACAGTTCAATTCGCACCACAAATGCATTAATTTATTTTCATCTCATTTCTTTATTATTCAATTAATAAAAAATGCCAAACGGCATCCGTTTGTTGAGTATGAGTACACCAGAGAAGTTTTTCTAAAATAATCATTTGAGAGTCAGATAGAAATTTGAAACTGACAAATAATTAAACGTTCAACGAATGAAATATCTACTAATTGCAATAAAATCAATATAATTGTTTTATTGAATTAATTTTATAAAACAAAATTTTGAAAAAAGGAAGAATTGAATTGAGGAAATGAGAATGTTTTTGTAATTTTTTGCGGACCAACCTTCATCACATAGGAATCATCTAGCCACACAATGCTATCAATCAACAATCACCGAACATAAATATTAAATTTATTATTAATACATTAAACATTATTTAATTAAAGTTTAATTAATAATTTCATAAAAACTATGTAAACAAAATTATAGAAATGGAAAAAAATAAAGAACTAAACACGCCACAACATTGGATGCATGCTTTTATTGGTCGGGTGGGGCTGGAGAGATAGGCTCAAGTGAGGGCGAGAAATTGCTATGAAGTTGTATGATATCAAAATATAATGCGTTACAACAAATCAACAATCAACTTCATTTGCTTAAAAAACATTTTCAACTTTTTTGAAATGGAAGTGGAAGATTCGTCATTTCAGTTGCCTGTGCATGCACCAAAGAGATTCAACTTTGTAAAAATTTTATGGCTCAATTCAAAATAACTCATCCCATTCAAACATTAGTTGACGAATACAAGAAACTTTTTCATTTTTGCATTTAAATTTAATTTTTTTCATTTTGTTATTTTTATTCAGATTAATTATATCATTATTTTCATTCACACTTCATGCGTTAATTTTTTTAAATCTAATAATCCATGTACCCTTACGTACAAGATATTCATTCTTTCTGACCTACCATTGAGATCTCTTTCTATATTTGCCTGCATGTTTCAATATTCTATTTGTTTGTTAATTTATTTATTAATTAATTCATTCGTTCGTTCATTCATTTATTCGTTCGTTCGTTCGTTCATTCATTCATTCGTTCGTTCGTGCGTTCGTGCGTTCTTTTATTTATCAATTAAATAATTAAATTATTTGTTTATTGTCTTATTTATTAGTTTTTTCATTGACTCATTAACTCGTTCATTCATCCAAGATCATCTTCATTGCTTGAAAATAACAGTGCAACCGCATTCAAATTTTGGAATCAGGCTCGCCAAATGCTTACATAACTTCTCTATATCAGGATTATTCACGAATATCACACACACACACACACACACACACACACACACACATATATATATATATATACATATATACATATACTTATTAAATTTTGTTGAATATTTTTGCCCAATTAACTTTTTTTATGATGCCTCAATGAAGCGTTGTAGTTTGTTGTTGTAGATGGTATGGACATCATGAGATGCGCGCGTCAGTGGTGATGCTGGCGGTGCTGGTTCGGCGGTGTGGGTGCCGCCCTGTCAGAGTCTTCAATTGTGTCAAGTAGTGAAATATATCACGAGAGTATAAATTGAATTTTAACTTAGCGAGGAAGTACATGATTTACAGCAACTTCGTTTTGATGAGTGCGTTATAAAAAAAAACCTATCGAACGCCAAATGGGCAAAAATATTCAGCGAAATATATGTATATTTATTTAATATATATATATATCTGCGTGCGTGTGTGTGGCCGTCTGCGTGTGTGTGTGTGTGGGCGTGTCTGTCTGTTTGTGCGCGAGTTTGTTTGTTTGCATGTGCCTAGCTTTTGCCTTCTCTTTCTTCCACACTTGTTTCATAAAGAGAATAAAATTAATGGGTATGAATATAAAGAAGAGTCATAAGCTGAGCCGAACTGAACTGATCGCTGATGGAATAATGAAAGCGTTTTAAGGGGTTTCCGGGACCGAAATATATAAATGAATAAACAAATACTTTCGTTCTACACACGCAGACACACGCACATACATTTATGAATAAATAAAAATATATATATATATTTCATACATATAGTCATTCATATATATATATATATATATATATATATATATATATATATATATATATATATATATATATATATATATATATTCATTCATTAATAGTTTATTTTTGTATTTATCAATTAAGTCGTTAATTTATTCGTTCAATCACTTACTGATTTATTAATAAATATTTATATATATATATATATATATATTTATTTATTTATTTATATATTTATTTGTCTATCGATTAATTTTTACATAGTTTGCAGCAGCGTGTCCATTATTACACGGAGAATGTTCAATGCATGCATTCTAGTACGTACATTTATTTATTGTACGTAAATAAAATACTTTTAATTTAAATCTAAGTATCTATTTAACATACATCTATCTAGATACATAACTATCCGATCATGTGGCAAATATAAGCAAATACATGATAAATAAATAATTAATATATATATATATATGCGTTTATATATATATATATATATACGCATATATATATATATGCGTGAGTGTTTGAATATTGGCTTGTACTTGAACATATACAATACATATATAAAAAATAAATACATACATATATACATACAAAGATGCATGAATGCACGTACATACGCATGAATGCATACGTACGTATGCATTCATGCGTATGTACGTACTTACATACATGCATGCATGCATACATTCACAGGTACACACACCTACTTATATATATATATATTATATATATATATATACATACATACATACATATATACATACATACATGCATGTATATTGGTTGTACGCATACATACATACATGCATACATGCACATGTACACATACATACAAACATACATACATACATACATAAATACATACATACATACATAAATACATACATACATACATACATACATACATGCATACATACATACATACACATACATACATATTTACATGAATGCACGCATACATTGTATAAAAAACGGTATACAAAAGCAATTGTGCATATTTATACAAGACGTACATGTTCATTTGCTCGCTGGAGCCGTCAGCAGGCTAGCATTCCTATCTGCAACCTGGCGTACATCCAATGCAAGAAATTATAAAACTCACAACATCCACAATCGCATTCCCTTGCTTATTTCATTTTTTAAATAACTACAGCTAGGACATTATTAATGCAAATGGCACAACGGGTACATGTGGATGAAGATTTTCATGAAGTGCTACTTGAACGTCATTGCAGTGGAGGGAGGGGTGATGAAGATTTGATTGGAGGCGAATGAAGAATGCATGGAGTATGGATGGAGCGTGTTGTTGTGCTGGCTGGCAATATCGGTCAGACATCGGTAAGATGTATCGATTGAAAAGAGTCGGAAATAGAAAAATTATGAGATTCCCTGTAGTTTTGAAACAATGCTTCGTCCGCGGTATGTGCTCGGCAGCGTCGTTTATAAATTTCCTTTATAATTTCAATATTCAAGCAGCTCTACTATAAATTTAACGTTTTTGTCTTCTATTATATTTCTATTTTGAATAAGTTTAAGAATAGCTCATTTCAATAATTTATGATTTGCTGTCCGCAAAATCAACTGTTTGAATTAATGAGATGTGGTTTCCAAATTTTAATAGTAATTATAATAAAATAATAATTCCAAAATAATATTAAAATTGAAAACATTCGGTGTCAGTTAGCAGGAAATTTGGTTAAGAATTGGAATTACAACTTTTTTAATGATACAAAATATCAAACAAAGAAATGATTTTTTCATGTGTTAAAACACTAACAACATTAAACATACTTTATAAGCCTCTTTTTAGAGTTTCCTTAAACTCAAATATGCCTCCTGACTACCATTTTTAAGGGCCTCAAAATTGTCTGCAACATTTTGAAGATCATCATTTGTGTACTTTCGTTTTGGCATGGACGCTAGCTACCGTTTTTGTGCGTCTTTTCATTTTCGATTTAGATCCTGTTTTTTTTTAAATACATTTTACTTTTTTTTACTATTTTTTTATTCTCCATTTTAAACACTAAACTGCCCATTTTTTAAACAATAAGGCTCAACCAATTTTGTTCTTTTCTCCAAATTCAATTTCAGTTTAGGCGATCATCAGACTTTCTTTAAATCAGCGTTATATAATTATTTAACTTTTGAACTTAACTTACACACCAGCATTTTTAACTGTTTTTCCTATTTGTCCAATATCCTCAGTTTTTGTTAGAAATGTTTTCCCCGCGTTTTTGCAGCTTTTATTTTTTTTTTATTCGGAATTTTTTGTTAGAATCATATATGGAAATAATTGAACCCTGAACACCTTTTCAAGTTTTTGATCATTTAAATTATGTGGCTGATTTCTTACACCGTACATTCCGTTCTTACCAACATCAATTAAACGTTTTATTTTTATTGCATCCTCAAAAAACACCATCTTACCCCTTCACTCGTCTATTCAAATTTAAATTTCCCCGGGACACTTTATTCCGCATTAGGATTTCGACATATTTAGACCTCTTTCAATATTGAGATTTTATTGGTTCTTGTTCGTTTGACTCAACTTAAAATTATTACCGAGTAAAATATTCAACTTCAAAAAAACATTTCACGTTATTTATGTTACAAAATGTCTGAATACTGGTCAATGCTGAGGTCATATCGTGTTAACCAGCATTCAAGGGGAGAGGGAAGGGTGTCAGATCAGATGAGACTCAATAGTGCACCTCGAGTTCTGCGCACTGAAGCCAAAAACATCGATGTGGTTACTAGAGTTTGAGACTGGATGACCAAGAACAACAATGTCAAAAGAAGTTCAATAGATCACGAGTATACAGTCAGACTTCCCTATAACGGACTTCTATAAAATGGAAATCTCTATATAACGAATTTTTTCATGTTCCCTGAAGTTCTACACAATAAATTGTTTCTGTAGAACGAAAACAATTTCTCTACAACAAACAAAATGTACAAAAGTTAAAAAATATATCAGACCATTTAAAAAATACTATTGTTGGACATAATAAAATTAAAGTTTTATATTTGCAATACTGTTTTACTATATTAAAAAATTGCTTCTTGTTATATACATATAATGTAAGTACATACATATAATGTTGCTGTTTATATTTTTGATATTAGACTATGCATTATCACTTTTGTTACAAAAATAAATGACTAAGATGTTTTTCATAAATATATAGCAATTTTATAGCATACACTTTTTAAGCAATATAGATTTTTTTCCCAAACAAATTCTAGAAAACAAAATTTTTATATAGCGAATATATTTCGTGGAACCATCTAGTTCGACGTACGGAGGTCCGACTGTACATTCAATTTCGATGAGAGCATTTTTAAGAAAAACTTTTAATAAGCGCTATATAAATATTATATATATTTTTAGTGCATCATGTTTACATCTGTTTAATCTACTTTGATATTTTATCTTCTTTTAAATATTCATAACATCTTCATGTTTGTATCACTAGGCACACCACTGTATTTGGCGAAATCCTTCAAATTAACATTTTCAAATTTTTCATAAGATGCATGGAATCGTTAAAAATTTCATATAATTTTTGCCTGATCACTAAACTTCTATTACATTGAACAAAAAAATTTTAAACAAAAAATAGATAAAAACATAAAAAGCCGAAAAAAATGAACAACGTAACCAAAATCTAATTCAAAAAGCTGAACAAGCTATAACTTCGTATGACGACGGAAGTTACTATTGAGAGATACATATATATAGCCACAAAAAGCGGAAAGTAATAATCATCAGATCTATAAGTGTCAAATTAACAAGTTGAATATTGAATAATTTTGAAGTATTTAAAGCTCTATTTAATTATTGCCAAGTATGGCCAACAGCAATCTTTTGTAATCCCCACCGCAGTCGCCGCTGATTGCTTCGGCTAGAGGCTTCCCGTAGTGCTCTTTGTAGGTTCTTGCCACGTGCTTCAGATCGAACTGGTGGTTAGTAGGTTATAACATATTAACATTTTGATAAGATTTATTTAAATCTGAACAAATAAATACCAACTAAAAATATAAATGTAAACAACTTATGAATGAAATTTGTTGTAATTATTTATTGAAACAAACTCATTATGGAAATGAAGTTTGTTAAAAAGAAGCACTCGAATTCAACTTACTTCAGATCTCGTCACTATGACGCGTATGAGGGAGTTGTCGTCCGTGCCAGCTCCCGCCATGCTTTTGAACAATCTCTCAGCAAAGTACAAGTTGGAGTCCCATATGTAAGTTACTGTATAATTATATTATTACCAATGAGTTGCTATACAAAATAATGCTCATCTCTATGTAATAATTTAATAATAAAAATAAGCTTATCTTGAATACAATTCATAAACAACCTAGTGCACAGAATCCAGTTTCAAGTGTTCCAGTCATTTCACTTTTGATCGAGTCGATAATGCCCTTCCCACACAGGGCACGATATTTCTCAAAGGTGGCCCGCAGTTGTGGAAAGCTTCTTGTGCAGAGGATGGAATTGAAAACAGACTCATCCGTACCCACTTGTTTTATGCCTGCCTGTTGTAACGTTTCAATTGGTTGTTGTGTTACTTTTTTTGATTAAGATAGCGGTGGATGTGTGTGTCAGTCTTACATGAACCATCAACAGGCCGTTGAAACATCAATTCATCAATTTTGCTACTGGGATTACACTCTTTTTGTGGCAATTCCCATTGAACTCAGCTTTTCAATAGTGATATACTCCATCTTCTTTTAAGTCCACCTACTTTTAAGTACAAATTCTAATCATAAACTTCTTTTTCAAAATCAAATTTTTCAATACTACAAACATTTCGAAACCATGTACCCATTTCGATGCTTATAGTGACTCAACCCTGACCAAATACTTCCCAACATTCCAAGTATTCGAACGTCATCAATTTCAGACGTCAGTCCAAATGTGGTAGACATGGACAGTCATCAAACCACTTTTTAAAAGTAAAAGTTCCTCGCGCACTCTTTTAAAAAAAATCAATCAGCATCCAGCAATTAAAACCTTAGCTTACATTTACATTTCAAATTGTATGCAACTTGGCAACCCTTAACTAATTTATTTTCATGTGTTTAAAGAGAATGTTCATTTGGAATGAGAAGAACAAAAAAAAATATTTACGTCAACGAGAGCTTTTGCGTCAACTTCTGCCTTGTGGTGGTCCACGTTGGGGTTCTCATCACGACCGGCGCAAACTTGGGACACCAACAAGCATTCAAAGTGCCCGCTCGTCTCGCTTTTGATGTCTTTCTCCAAACTCCTCTGAAAATCTGAGCAAAAATTGTGGCATTGTATTTTATGAAATAATGAAAAATAATATAAGCAAAGAGCAACATTAACAAGAAGAATTAACTTTCTTATAATTTCTTCTATAATTTCTTGTGTAATTCTTCTGTAAGTGCAACTCCATTACTATAAATAATTCTGCTTGTTTAACTAAAAATACATATTTGAAACGTTCTGTTTGAGTTACAAAACCGTTCAGTATAATGTAAAAGATGAACGCACGTGATTCATAATGTGCCTTGATAGCCTTGATCTCGTGATTGGGTCTGGGGCACAAAATTTCAATGAGGGCCTCCTCGTCAGTGCCTGCCCCCTGCGTTCATTTCAATCAGTTATCACTTTTATAGAGAAAACATATTAATAATGTCAGAAAATTCAACCAGTTATCACTTTTATAGAGAAAACATTATAATAATGTCAGAAAATTCACAATGAAAAATTGAAATTTTTTTTTGCCTTCATTGAATAAACATTGCACCTTCAGGTGAACTATGCTTATTGACACTGAAGAAACAGCACGGTGTTTAATATACTTCTATATAGCCTACACACACAAACACGCACGCACGCACGCAAACACACACACACACACACACACATATATATATATATATATATTATTATTACGGAAATTTATATGCAACGCTTTTTTATTGTTGAATCTCAAAAGCGCTACTAAATCATAGACAAATAAGACGGACATTCATTGTTCAAATAAATAAGTTTTAAGTTGACTTCTTCGAAATTGTAAATATGATAGGTTAGGGTCACGTAAGTAAGGAGGTAAACCATTCCAAACAACCGGGCCAAGAACTACAAAGTTGCGGGAACCCGTCACCAACTTTGTGGTCGGGATAAAAAATAAATTGCGCTCGGTTAATCGGAAGGAATATTTTGAAAAATGAGATTTGTATGATTCCAATCTATCGATGAGATAGGGAGGTGCTGTATTATTGAAACATTTAAACATCAAAACTGCCAACTTGAAGGAAACACGTTTTTCAACCCTCAACCAGTGCAACCTATTCAAAATAGGGGAAACATGATCGAACCACGAACCACCCAAAACCAGCTTGGCCGCACGATTCTGTATTGACTGAAGCTTTGAAAAAGACCTTTTGGTGACACCATAAAAAAGGCCATTGCCGTAGTCAAGTCTGGAAAAGACGAAAGAGGAAACTAAACTTAGAAGAACAGACGTGTTTAGTGTTTTTTTTGACATTGCGTAATAAACGGAGTTGGTTCGAGCAGACCCTCACTAAATTATTAATATGTAAATCCATCTTTAGGTTTGAGTCAATGATAACTCCAAGACTACGGACAGATGTGGAAAATTCAATGATGTCATTGCCGACACTGATCGATGAAATTTTGACCTTTGACAGCTGCTGCCAAGAACCAACCAGATTCTTCATGAGTAAAGCATGAGGTTTGTGCGGCCCACGTAAACTCAGCTAAGCGCCGTCCCGCTTTGATATAAGATTTACATTATTACCTCGGCGTTGGTAAACAAGAGGAGGCATGAAGAAACGAGATTTTGTTTTCCGTAACCTACCTCAGACTTCTTATAACAGAGTTTAACAAAATCGATCGTTCAAGCGTCGTTGCTAAGTCGTTTAAAAAAATTCACACACGCACACGCACACACAGTAAATAACAACAGAGTAATTATATGAACCAAAAAAGAATGTTTGGATAGATTAAAAGTGTGTTATCAATTTCTTCTGACGAAAATTCGCACACTGCACGGATAACAGTTAATTAAATGAAGCTAATGAGTTAAATAGAGAAGCAGACGCCAGTGTTTTAGTGAACAGCTGCTATATAATTTTAAGTTTAAAACAGAAAGACATAAAATGAATCAATAAACAGTAGCAGCAAAAAATAAAACTATTTTACTTGTTGACAGCAACACTGATGACACCAGCGATGCTACAAACAACAACAACTTCAACATTACCAACATTAATGTCAACAACATCAATCAATAGCGTTCACAGAACTCAAAAAATTAATAACAACATTCTAAAAATAGCAAAAAGTTAGAAAAATTTAAAACTTAATGAAAACAAAAAATGCTACGTTGTAGAAAAACCTTGAGTAGTGCATACGAAGAAGACATTATCTTCAAATAAAATAATTGAGATGTTAAACCCTGTTGACATCATAGAAACAGAAACTCCAAGGATGGCGACACTGTGGACATTTTTCTGTCCCTTTCAAACATTTTTTTTCTATCTAGCGTCTTTCTCAAAATTTTGCTCATCATTAAACCTGTTCAGTTTTTGGTCTCTTCCATCCAACATTTCTGCTGTGTACACGAACCTTTTTTCTTTTTCTTATACAGTCCTTAGCATAACTCCTCCTTTATGTATTGACGTTTTCAGTATACGCCAAAAATATATTATCTTTTATTTTCTAATTTTTTAAAGATACCGTTATAGTCTGACGGTTTCTATTGATTTTTTTCTTTGCCCTTTTTTCTTGATACTTGCAATATCTGCTTTAGACCTTCATTCCAAAAATTTCATTCCTTTGCCATTTTTGTTTTATCTCAACCATTACAACCGTAATTGGTTTCTGGTCACGACAGAGTTTGTAGCAAGCAAATATTAGTTAGTAAGCGTTATAGAGTGACACAATTTTTTTGTATTTTCTTGAGTTTACACTGCATCCGCGTGCCTGGGGTTTGTTTAATAAGGCCCACTCTTGCATGCTTGTCGGTTTCATCCTTCTTGTGTCATAAATATTACAAGTGATCGTAGAACTCAACATTACGTATTTATTAACTTTCATTATATTGTATTGCATAAATGCATTACATTGTACTGTATGGCATGACTTGTATAGCGTCCCTCTTGAAAAAACTCAGAAGCAATAGTTTCGCTGTGGAATGTTGAAGAGATGATTTTTTAAACACTTCGTGAAAACCTTTTGAGTTATGTTGTCAATTCTTTTTTTCAAAGACAACATATATTATGAAATTATTTTATTTGTTATAAGTTTTGTAATTTTTTTGTTAAAGTATGCTTTGAAGATGGCTTGTTTGCCAAAAAGGCGTTTCAAGCCTGAAACTCAACAATGCAACTCGTGAAGGAACAAGAATTAGAGCAAACTGGACGTGTTAGACTTGCTTTGAAAAAATAAGAACACAAATCTGCATATATATATGTATATACACACACACACACACACACACACACACACACACACACACACACATATATATATATATATATATTTATTTATTTGAATATAAAACGTTAAGAACTTTGACCTTTAATTCAATAGAGTAGAGAATATCGAATATCGAAAAGATTTGAATGAAACGTTGATTAAAGTGTTTGTTTTAAATATTTTCAAATTACCATTTAGGACGTTCGTACTTATAAATATATATAAATATATGTATGAATTTTTTTTTATTTTTTTTTACTTTATTATTAATTTATTTATTTATTTGTTTATTTCCTCAACCGTGGACACGACCTACAGTTTATTTTGTTTTCATAATTCAGTTTCAACTAATTGTAATTAATAATAAAAAACCAAAACATCAAAAAAAACCCAGAAAAAGCAATCTACAGACTTTCATTGCAGCTCTCAGCTCCTTGGCAAGGTACAAAGGGAAGGGGTCCATAAGTGCTATGACGGCATCTTCCAAATGACCGCCCAGTTCCGACTTCAAGTCAGCCATCAAATCCTTCATTAAAAATTATCAATTTTTTTGGAATTTTTTCTAACGAAAATTGTTTTAATAAAAAAGGTAAAACTAATTAAATACATGTTTATTTATTTAAAACTTATTAATTTATTGCAAATTCAGGACACAACAATGGCAAGCAGTTTATGCTGAAATGTGCGGTAAAACCAACCCTTCCGAACATAGCTGTGAACTTGCTTTTCAGTTGTTGCCTCTGCTCATTGTTATGACTCACAAGAACCTTTATAATGGCTTCTTCGTTTGTTCCTGAATTTCAATGAAACATTTTTATATGGATTTTTTAAAAATAAAGAATTAAGTCATATTTGTGTGCTTGAAGTTTCAACAAATAATTGTTAAAGAAAGTCTTTTTTTGAAAATGAAAAAAAACAACACCTAATCCTTTCATTGCTTTACGCAATTCATTGCAAGCATTTTCTGCATTGAAACTTTGGTTGGGAACAATCTGGACGATAGTTTAAAACGCAAGTGTAAAACAAATTTATGCAACAAGAATTAGTTCAATGTTTTACAAACATTAAATTTTGATTAATTTAATTTATATACGTATATATATATATATATATATATATATATATATATATATATATATATATAATATATATATGTTGGTAATAGACCATAATTTTTACAATATTCTATAAATTCTACCGAATGTTTGGCGTTAATATGTTTGTAGTTCGTTTTTTCAATTTTTTTCACTAAAGTTTTTTGTATTAAAATTCAAAATAAACTTATTTTCCGAATTCATGCTGCAAATAAGGCCATATTTCGATTCCGAATGAATCATCATCAGTGCATTCTGCTGTTTATATAGGGTAATATTGACTTTGTCAAAATGAATTTAGATGGAGATTGACTATGGAATTATTAGATGGAAATTAGGTATCAGGTTTCTTTATTGGCTGGTCATCTTCTTTGGTCTCCTTTTCTTCATCGATAGCATCATTTTCTTCTTTGTCACTTATTACAATGCTAGTTTTTATTACTTCTTTGTTTTTGTTGTTGGTTAAGCGCCGGGTTGGAAGTGAGGTTGTCATGTTTTGTTGTATATTTATTTTTGGTTTATTGATGTCATGCGTGTAGTTGCTGTTCTGGTATATTACTTTGGTGTTACTGTCGAGGATTGAGTGTGTTGAGTCCAAATGAGAATTGATAGCACCACTCTGTTTATGCACCGTAAGCCATCTAGTCAAAAAACTTTAGTGAGAAAAATTGAAAAAACGAACTACAAACATTTTAACGCCAAACATTCGGTAGAATTTATAGAATATTGTAAAAATATATATATATGATATAGGATTATATACGTATATATATATACATATATAATTAGGATTAAGACTGTCGTAGATACAGTTTTTAAGAAACATCAATGCATTTTCAGCTTTGATCAATTTCTAGTTCAACTTTTCAATATTTCGTATTGTATTTTTACCATCCTTTCCTTCTCATACTTATTTATATAGAAAACTATGTTTTTAACCACTTTTTTATTCATTTTTTCGATAATCCTTAACCATTTTCAATGTAGTATGTAATCAATGTAATAAATATGCTGTATCTTATATTTACTTATATTTGTGCGTTTTGGAGCCAATAAGCTGAAAATGCAGTGATATTTCTTAACAATTATATATTATATATATATATATAATTATTGATGAAAACCACAATATGTTCGGCGTTAGTTAACTTCCAATTTAATTTTTCGATTTTTCTAACGGTTGATCGTAAATCATTTTCAAGTTTCTTTAGTTCAAAACAAAAATTTTATTTATTTTAAGCACGATAGAACAGAAAAGCTTTTTTCGGTATTCCTATACCATCTTCGGTGTTCAAATTGATATGTTGTGCCCAGATGATCAAATATTTTTATACTGTGCCTATTTATTGGTTCCTTGTTTATCCAATTAAATATTGGGGGCTCGAGCCCGAAAGCCCGTACAAGTCGGCGCCAGTGAACACGGATTTTAAGAAAAATATCATAAAAGAAGGGGATGGAGGCGATTACATTTTGAAATCATTCCTCCCGCAAAATTTTGGATCCGCCACTGGCAGGTCACGGAGAATAGACTAACGGGCCGCAGTTTGCACAGCACACGTTTGATCGTAGTAGTATTTTGGCATAACGTAAATTTCAGTTAAACTTTATAGTGATCGATCAAGTTACTTATTTCAAAATATTAATCGATCATTGAATAACGCTAAAGTGAGAAATAAACTTTTGAACATATTTTTTCAATTAACAGAAAACCTTTTGCTAATTTAGTGTAGGTGCATCTAAAAATGCAATCTAAAAATTTTTTTATAATTAATGTTAGTTTTAATATTTTAATGATGTTGAAGCTTGAGCTTTTTGACGAAAGATTATTTTTTGATGTTTTTGAAAGTTTTTGTAATTTTGTTATCAATTATTTAAAAGTTTGAGTACTTTTGAAGCTTTAAAATTTAAATCAAAGAAATGCAGAAGTTTTTTGATCGTGCACAATGTATGTGACATTTAACAATTAAGGATATTACTTTTCTGAATCACTTTATTGGCGAAACTGCAGATCAGCTATGTGCATCTGTGCGAAATATGGGCTCTTTTGTTTACTTTACTCTTTTCATAACTCAAAATTAAATTTATCTAAAATATAAAATAAGACGGTCGACAAAATCAGGTCTTGAAAACCAGTTGAATTTAATTACATACTACACAGCTCATTTCTGTAGATTTGGTTATGTGATCATATTCATTTATTTATTTTATTGTAATATAACAAGAACATTTTCGCATTTCCCTGATTTAATTTAAAAGTTTAATAACTCCGATGTCAAATAGTTCAAAAAGTCCCTTGTGCTATATGAACAAAATAATGAATGAATGAATCGATGAACCTGACTGAATATCGATACACCATCCTTATACTATATATATGCTATACTACATGCTTTTAAAAACAAAAATAATGAAATAAATTTAATCAGCATTTCATTTTAATTGCTTTTGATACTGTATTGACAAATATAATGAACAAATAATAACTAACTGTAGCCATTTTCGACAAGGAATATGATTCACACGAACACCAAACGAAGAATGATTGCGATTAGAAATAGTGAGCTACAGCTGTTGTATTGTTTGCACGCCGAGAGAATTATGGGATTTCTTTTACAGTAGGTATATGGCTGACAGTGCACTCACTTGTTGATGGTTAATAAATTAAGATACAACCGAGCTACATATAAATATTATTTTATAAATGTTTTTAATATATGTTATATATATTTATATATAATATTTATGTAATATATAATTAACTAAATAAACACACACACACACACACACACACACACATATATATATATATATATATATATATAATTAAGTGTACTCATTTATAAATTGCCAACATGCAAGTAGCATCACATATTGTGTACAGTAACTTCAGATAGTAAGTTATATTACATTGGAAATAATGAACAGCAGAGCCCGGAGATGTTTCACACAACATCAATATTTTTTTGTACATATTGTAACTATAGCATGCAGATGCATGTTGCCAATGTATGTTTATATAGATATAAATAAGCACATGTATAGTATAAGTATAAATTATATAGTATTTATAACTATAAATTAATATTATTACGTACTAAATTATTTTATGACATTATTATGTCAGCTTAACCGATTTAATATTTGACAGCGATTTTTTAATTTGAAAACAATTTCGAGGAGAGGTTAGTTGAAGGGGACTCTCCACATTTTGAGATAGAGGTCTATCATTAGTTTGAGTTAATTGCTCATTGGTTCTGCTGACTCACCTGGTTGTTCACCTGTTCTCCATGGGGTCATGTTGTCCGTAGTATCGTCCATTCGTCTGACTGTTGAGGGACCTTTATGAGGAACATTTTTGCGAAGAAGCAGATTCATCCAAGATTATGTTGAGTTAGTTATCAAGGACAATCCCTCTTTAACACTAATTCTATTGATGTAGATCGTGATCTTTGCGTTATTAAAATTAAAAAAAAATTAAGTTATAAAAGAAAGAGAAAATGGCATAGCTTTAGACTTTCAAGAAGTTACTGTTATGGTTGACAATTATTACCTCAAGATTTATATATGATAAAAAACAATTCATTACTTCAATACTGGTCGATCAGATGAGCTTCAATGAAACCTTTTTTATGAAATGACTTCAAGTATAAATTCAATTGTTGTTTAAAATATTGTGAGGACTATTGATTTCAATTCTGGCTAAAACTTATTCAATACTGTCACATGCAAGATAACAATAAAGTGGCAGTTGGCACCTCCTTCTGGAACGCATCTGAGGTCTTATGATCTGAATCTGCTGCTAGTCCCAGTTTAGTCATATGGGGTCTCGTAACATCGCCGTCTTGGGACCGTCTGTTTGGAACAATTTGCCTGCCTTTCTAAGTGATCCGGAGTTGAACCTGCCTGGTTTTAAAAGAAAACTAAAAACTTACTTATTTTCGTCGTAATTCATTGAACTTACTTGTTTTAGTTATGATGGAGTGATTTATTTTGTTTATTGTGCCATATTAGATTAAGGAAATAATGAAGACTGTGCTTTTTTTTCTTATAATTTTTTCGTTGAAATGCACTGATAATCCTATATTTTTGTTGATTATGTCATGATATTTTTTTGATAGCGCTTTTGAGATCCTCTGAATTAGCGCTTTATTAAATTTTTCATTAATAATAATAATAATAATAAGGAAGTATGGAGATTTTATCATAATTTTTATGCTATTTTTATTCATGGGAGTTTTTTTATTTTTTGTTTTTTGATAAATTTATTTTAATTTTCTATTTTCGGTTTTAATAAAATGTTAAATATTTTTAAAACTTTTTAACTAAAACGAACTTAGCGAGAACTACATAATGTACAAATTAGAAAAATCGATCGAACTATTTTTATATAGCCGTGTACAAAGGAATTAAACCGGATAAAACCGTCTCTTGAAATAAGAGCATTTCTTAAAATAATCCGTCAATTGTTTCTTTAATACCGAGCACTGATTGATTTGCTTTGGTAAACTGTAGTCACATTAAGTTTGATAATAATAATGATACCTTCATTTTGAAGACTAATTTTGTTGATTAAATATGATTTGTATGTGAAAATTAAAAAATAATATATAACTCAAAACATCCCATGTTTCATAAAAATTAAATGTTATTACATTGATCTTATCAAATACTTCATATTTTATAATTTTCATGTTTGCCATTTATTTTTTAAGATTTCAAATCATTCATTATGGGCTTTTAATAAAGTTTGTTCATTTTGTTTTTTCGGTTTTACGCGGCATGAATTTTTTCGTGCATATAAAACATTTTAGAGACGCTATAAATAAGCATTTTATTGATTTGTGGTGGATGTGGGTATGGGAATTGTAAAATGGGAATTCAATCGGGAAACGTGGGATACCATCGGGAGGGGAAATAGATTTTATTTTGTAAAAAATGCTTAAGGGAAACTAAAAAGTTTTTTTTTGCCAAGTGAAAAATTATCAAGAAATTTAATTAACAAATTTATGTTTAAAATTACGCACTTCGTCAAAATGTAAACACGTTGCGACTTATTGAATAGATTACACTAATTGTTAGCTTCATATATCATTAACCGACGTTCAACATTTTTATGACAAAACAAACGATAGAATGCAACTTTTTAGATATACCTAAACCCAGAAGACACAATTTGCAGCAAAAAAATATCTAAATATCTTAGCATAAATGTTGACAATGACAAACATTTTGTAACAGTTCGAAATGAAGATTGCGATATATTTTTCTTCATGGAGCAACCTACCGATCTTTTTGCTTATTCAATTTTCAGCGATACAGGTGACGGGTGACCATTACGAACTGAAATAAAAATTTTATGTCGTACGAAAACGCTCTCAATTATACAACAATTTGTTATTATTAATGTACGGAAGAAACACGGCATGGTTGAGAATAACATATCTGGGATGCGAGAGATGGAAAATTGCCTCAAAACCGCGTAGTGCCTAAATGAAGAGAAATAAAAATTGTTAACGGGAATGGGAGTTATAATGAAACGGCTATTCCCTCCGTTTAGTTATCCTTTTTGGAATCTTTTCAACTGTTTTTTTTAAATATATCAACCAACCAACCAACCAATTCATCCATCCGTCCGTCCGTCCGTCCGTCCGTCCGTCCGTCCGTCCGTCCGTCCGTCCGTCCGTCCATCCATCCATCCATCCATCCATCCATCCATCCATCTATTTCAATTTTAAACTTAAGTTCAGTTTTTTATGCAAACACAACAAATTAAGAATCGGGCTATTTGATTTTCTTGGCTTTTTGGCTTACTTACAAAATTGAATGGGTTTTAACAAATAACTAATACAAAATATTTACTAGACTAAATATTTTTAAAACATTTTAATTTAATTAAATTGTGTAATTAAAAATTATTTTTTTCGTTTGGAAAAAATTGTTTTTGGTTGCTTACTAAAACCATAGGTTGGCTTACTATGATTGATTTAGGGTCACACTTTTTTGCATATTTGATTTCGTTAAACTTTATTTTATTTTGTTGTAAAATAAAATTTTATTTATAGCTTAATAAAAAATTAATATGGCTGTTTGTTTTGAAAACTTGGTGGCTTACCGATCGCTTAATGAAGCCATAAGTTGGCTTCCACTGTTCCTCTAAGCCACTGTGTTTTCATAACCAAAAGTAATATTTTTATTTAAATTTACAAAAATAATTTTATATTATTTAATTTATAATGTTTTAAACATATTAAGTAAAATAAAAATTACGTATTAGTTGCTTGTTAAAACCCATGCAATTTTGTAAGTAAGCCAATAAGCCAAGACAGCCAAATAGCCCGACCCACAATTAAAACAATACTCAAATGCTTAAAATATTTTGCCATTTTAGCGATATTGCGCGATTGCTACGATGAAGTTCTATTTATTCTCTGAGGATGCTTCCTAGCTGGCCTCCAGCAATAATAATATGGATGATATGGAACTTGGCATGAATCATGCTTTACTTGAACACGTGCTATCTTTAACAAAATGCAGCTCTATCAATGAAATAAATTCTTTTTTGTTATGGGGTCCAGCTGGTTGTGGCAAATCACGTTTGGTTGAAATGTTGGCGGATGCATTAAAAGCGGATTTAGTAAAGTTTGAAATGAATAAAGTTAGTTCGCTGGCTGAATTCAAGCAAAAAATTGCATCAATCCTTGTTAATGTCAGGAACAATGACAATAATAAAAATAATCATCATAATAAAAATATAAGTGTTAATTTGCTAGAAAAACCAGTTAAATTACTTTTTTTTGATCAAATTGATTCAATGCCCAGAAAGCACTACAGTCTGTGCCTTTTGAGTTTGATCAAAAGCATATTGAAAATGAAGCAGAGTTACTTTCAATGTAGGGTCCACGTGTTTGCCAGTGCCTTGAATGTTATGAATGTCCACTTGAAGTTCATAAACGAAGTCAGAAATATTTTATTCATTTGTGGTTTAAAAAAATTTCTTATTCATGCCATCAAAATTCAAAATAGAATTATTTTTTTATGTGGATATTTTTAACTTTTTAGTTTATTTTCATTGAACTTTTAATGTAACTTTTAATCCATTGTGATAATATTATTAATTTTACATTTTAATTTTGTCGTGTTGCTTCTTATGTAGAGTACTGCTTGTGACAAGCTGGTTTTGTTAATTTGATTTTATTTGAATTTATTTTATTTTAATGAATATGTGTATAGTATCTTTGTTAATGTTTAAGAGAAAATTTTGATTTTTAAAATGAAACTTTTTTTAAACAGATTTTTGTTGGACTTCCAAACATACACGAAAGAATCAAAATATTTGAAAACCTGTTGAACAAGATACTCAAAATGGAAGATGAGAAATGTGAACTTGTCAGTCATCTACATGAATTAGGAGTGAGGAGTGCGGGATTGAGCTGCGCTGAGATTGAACAACATGTCAACAATTCAGTTGTGGATTTCTTCTGCTGTGGCAACAATGCTGATTCACAAAGCAAAAATGGAGTGCACGAGTTTGATGTAACTTCTCAATTGTTATCATTTTTAGTTCTAGTTGGTCAATGCTTGCTATCTTTTGATAGGTGTCTTCAATTAACATTCTAGAATTCCTGAGAATCATTATGAAAAATATATCAGTGAGTAAACAACAGCAGAAATGTATAGAATTGAATGATACAGAGCTGGTTGGTGGATATGAAGAAGAGAAACAACAACTCATTCAGGTTTCATAAATCAACAAAAGTCAATTTTTTTCAATAAGTGATGATGTTTTAATTTTAAATTTTGAAACCCAAGTCGCTTTGTTGGCCATCATCGCATAAAGATGTCTTCAAGAAGTTTAATTTGACATACGATCGAGGAATTTTATTGCATGGTCCACCGGGTTGTGGCAAGACATCGTTAGTCAGGCTGGTTGCAAGCATGGCCAAGATGAATTTCTTCTCAATTTCATCAGCACAGCTCTACTCGCCATACCTAGGAGATTCAGAGAAGGCAATCAGCGAAGTACTTTCAGCAACATCATTTTCATGTTCAGAAACATTTAAAGTTATTTTTATTCGAACTGAAAGGTGTTCCTACAAGCTTTGTCGTCCTCCCCTTCTATCATATTCATGGATGAGATCGATTCGATGGTTGGTTGCAGGCAGGCTGGGGGCAGAGGGTCGGTCCAGGAGAGGGTTCTGACGTCACTGCTGACCCACATGGATGGCATTGGCTTCAAGGCCACCCTCCTGAAGGATTGCTTTTCTTCTGTGAGCATTTTTGTCTTGAAAAATATTTTTTAGTTGACTGTTGTTTTCTTGTGCCATTGAAATTTTGATAGGTTGGACATCCTGTTGAGATGCTAATTAATTATAATCTAACAAAATAATTCACGTAAAGTATTTTTCTAATAATTTTGTTTGTGTTATTTTAATGCTATTAAACCCATGCTATTAAACGATAATAATAATAATATATTTGGAAAGATAAAAATTAATTCAATAAAAGAAATTAATAATATGTTGTGATGCACTTCTGTGCAAGAGGTCAAATTACCTTTTAGATTTTGTGCGTTTTCTGAATTGTTTGAATTATTAAAAAAATTTCATTAAACTTGTCGTTAAATCTGTAAAAACTATTTGTCCAGCATCACCACTATGCGTTGTCCACAATCTTTCTAATGTGTAACAAATTGTCCAAAAAGTTCATTCTAAATTGGGCGGCGGGATGGTGCAATGGTTAAGGTGCCTGGCATTGTTGATGCAATGTCTGGTTTTGAATGCAAAGAGATCCCCGCCTATCACGTGCGAAAGTGGATGATGCGTTGATTCCAGTGTATTCACACACACTGTGTTTGTTTTAATAACCTCTGAGAAATGTCTGAGGAAAAATAATAATAATAATAATAAAATGCGTTTTGATTGGCTGAGAAAATGATAGGAAGAGATTTTCCATGTCAGTTCATTCTGCTGTCCCTCTTGATCTTACTTGTCTGTCGTGCTTGTTGCAATGCAGGCTCTCCACACGGGCAACAGGTGAGTTGGTTCTTCTCTGCCTTCCACGTCCTCTTATTCTTCAAAAACTTCAACCAGGCCCGTCATCCTGTTGCTTCCAATTAAGTTTCTTCAGTGTAGCATTACATGTCTAAAATATTCTCACTTGTTCCGGAAATATCTTTAACTTCTTCGTTTTGTTTGATTGTGATTAATTTCATCTTTTGAATTTTCAATGATTTTTGAGGCATTTTTATCGGCCGAACAAACAAGCCTTCCTTTTCATTGGGCTGCATTCAAATTAATATCCATGTGAAAGTGGGGACTATTTTTATAATCATTGTTAGAATTTTAACTTAATTTTGAAGGAATCTTCGGAAGAGGGCAGAGTTGTTGTCGTTGGGACCACAAACAGGTTGGATTTGCTGGATGCGGCACTTTTGAGAAGATTTGACCGCCTGATTCATATCGAACCTCCATCACTTCAAGCTAGTTTGATTTTTGATAACTTTTTGTCTTATGTTGCTATAAGTATTTTGTTAGGGCTACATTTTTTACGTATCCTTGTTATGCTTAATTCTTAAATTAGTGTCAATATAATGAGCAGAATGGAGTTAATATGAGTATAAAGAGAAGGAAGAAAAAATTGAATGAAAGTGAGTTGAATATGCCTTCATTTCAACTTATTTAAAATATTTCATCTTTTTGTTAATCAGATGAGGATTGACATCTTAAAGTTATACACAAAGCATCTGCCCGGATCTGCCACTCTCAACTTCCACGAAATTGCCCAACGAGCCAACAACTTCACAGGAGCAGACCTTGAAAATCTTTGCAAGCAGGTTTCTTTCTACTTTATTTGTTGCTTATCTTACCGTTGGTTTAGTGTATTTGCATTTGATGCATTCCACAGTTCACAGTTGTGAGGTCGTGGCCGCCAATCCAAAAACTTATTTAAAACCTACTGAGCTGAAGTCACGTGCAATGTTACAAAAATCATTAGCTATATCGATAAATTAGGTACATATAATGAGAATGTAAAATCAAATCGCCAGTTGCAGATTTGACTGGGGGAGGGGCTAAGATTTTGAGAAATAAGGGAACATTTTCCGAAAAAGTTGAGGACCAGGGGAGAAAAATTTTAAACGAAAAAATTGATGACCGGAGGTGATTTTCCAAAAAAGTTGACGATGGCGGTGGGGATTTTCAAAAAAAAGTTCGATGACCGGAGAGGAATTTTGCATTTTTCTGTACTCACGGAGGAAGCCAACTTTGCCACTGAAGGGCTTATAATGTCAATTTTCCCTTCTTCGAAAACACTACTTTTCACGTTAAACCAACGACTTTTACCATCATTCAACACAAATAACGCTCACAACGGGGCACCAGTACTTCTACCGGGCCCCTAGATCCGTCATTGCAAACAACATATGATAAGAGTTGTCACGCTTTTGAACCTGGCCACCACCGATCAACGATCACACCAAGCATGCATTCTTTCAATGTTAATAAAAATTTTAAATTTTCTAGGTGGCCATGAAAGTCTTGAACGAGTGTGGCGATGCTGACTCTCTTCATGTTGACGACAGTCATTTTTTTTCAGTACTTCACTTCATGAAGCCGACCATAGTTTAGCGATTTCTTTTGACTCGTACATATTTTTTACAAATTTATTTGATTAAATAATTAAAAATTTAAGGAGGTTTATGTTTTTTTTATCTAATTAAACACATTTTTAAGTTATATTTGTTTGGTACAAATCAATTTTACAATTTAAATATATGTACGTAAATAAAAGATCGGGCATTGCATAAACATTTGTTAGGATCCAGGCTCGAATAAACGTGAAATGAGCACCCTTGAGTACTTCATCCCAATGTGATATAACCGAAAAAAAATCATTTTTGTTAATTTGATGCTTTCAACATGATTGGATCCTTCTGCAAGTGCTTTTTAAGCAGCGAAAACTAAAATAAAACCGTTACAAAATAACGATTCGCAAGTCAACGTACTTGAAGTTAATTTAAGGCTCTTCTTGACTCGGAAAATGGTTTTTTCCACTAACATTCGGCTTTGGTACAACAAAAAGAGGTTGTCGCTCTAGGCATATATGTTTATCTGGCCCTGACGACACCAGTGCTTGAATAAAGGATGGGTTCACGTGAATTTTTCATATCTAAACTCTGTGGAATGCCTTACCTTGTTTTTTGTATCAACAACATTTTTCTCTAAACCTGTTTAAAGAAAAAACTCTAAAAGCACTTGTTCTCAATTTAATACATTTTTAACACGAGAATAATATTTTGTTACAATAGTTTACAAGTCTACAACACCAAACATTTAAACAGAAAAATTGTAATTATTATTGAAATGAAACTCATAATTTACCATACGTTTGGACGAGCTGACATTTATATCATATGCATACTCATTCGATCGTTAAGCACTATGCCCATATATATATATATATATATATCTTCGATAAAATTGGACTCTTGGTCTGTTTGAGATTCGTTTATATCTTTACGAATACGTTAATAGTGGGCATTGAGTCAGAACTGAGAATTGGAAGTTTTGTTACTGATGTATATGTACGTACATACAAGTAACAAAAATCATTAAAAATGTTGATTGACCCAGCAGTAGCGGATCTAGGGTGGCCGCTGAGGGACCTTGAGAAAATTTGGAAAAAAAAAACTTGGCCCCCCGTCAAAATGACCCAGTGTAACTGGAACAAGCGACTTTATCACAGTTGCTTCAGGTAAAACGTCCCACCGGTATAAGACAGTTCCGTCAAAAGTTCTTTGTTTTGAGTTTTGCGATACACGATCGAACGAATAATTACGGGCACAAATTCTACCACGTTAGTAAGGTGACAAAATGTGTTGCATCGGATATTATCGAGAATTAGAAAATGTTGATCGTGTTGACGTTATTTCCTGCTAATCCACATTCAACAAAAAAGACCCTTTTAATCCTGACGACAAAAAACCGCCCCCTTCATTCAGACTCTCTGCTTCCATGCGAAATACTCTGAACAAATCATCAACGAAACTTCGTGACTTTTTTATTCAAAATTAATCAACGGCCAAATGATGTTCATCAGTTGACTGCATGAGAAGAAGATGGTGTTTGGGATTGTACGTTGGTGATATAAATTGAAAGCGTTTTTGAGAAACTTAATTGATGAAGCGCTGTATAAATATTGCATTAACCTAATAATAATAATATAGTGATGTATATTATATAAACATTATATTTTTATACTACCAGTACCTTAGCATGTTTTTTCCATGTACAAATTTGTATATCGCAATAAAAATTGATCGTTTTTTAAGAACTTTTTTAATTAATACCATCATTACATCATTTATATACATATATATATATATATATATATATATTTATATAAATAAATATATATGTATATAACGTGTGTGTATTTGCTACAAGCTTGTGAGCAAGGTTTCGATTTTTAACACACGCATTAACAGATGACTCTCGCACGCCTTCCGATAGATGGGATGAACGATACGAGACCGTGACTAATTACTTACTACGTGTGCCTGTGCGTACGTGCATCTATTTTATTCATCTGCCTTTGCACTGCGTCATTATTTTCCTCCAATGTTAATTGAAACACTAGATGTAGCGATATAACTTGATACGCTGCTCACTAATGCTTACCTATGTAAAATATTTTAATGAGCTGTATCGGAATGTTGTGTACAAACTACATTAACATATTATAATAGTTATCTTATTAGTAGTACATGTTGAAATGTACACAAGATAATAAAAAACTTTAATGAACATGCTTATAACATTGAGTCTACACTGACTGCCGATCTCATCATGATCATCCATGGGCTTTTATCATCCGATCATTTTTCATCGAGCTATTGTTAATTCAATTATTTGATTTCCCAATTCAATCAACTTGCTATTCAATTTGACGAAAACCTCTTGACCGATGTGGTGTTAATTACGCTTATGGTGCATAATTTATGTTCGCCTGGTTAGATAGCATCTCGCCATCCAGACGAACGCCACTGTGCTTTTACATCGATGCATTGCTCAGAGCTGCCTGCATTCAATTGTTATTTGTTGTTGTTGTTGTTGGTTGCAAGCTGTGCAGCTGTGTGCGTGCACTGCCTCGTTGAGTGCGGTGATGGTGATGGTGAGAATGAGGAGGAGGAGGAGGAGGAAGATGATGAATATCATTATGGAGTTTTAAAATTATGCGCTCGGCATTTTTGTGATTTGGCTACGTTGAAAATAGTTAAATTTATTATTTATTTATTTAATTTATTAAAATATTTTATTTGAATAAATTATTTTATAGTATTTCGAGTGCAATTATTTCGGGATTGATCAATTTTAATATATAAATTTTTTGCAATCGATATGGGTAAGAAATTCATTTGCGTTTCTTTATTAAGAAAATTTTAGATTATTTTTTAAAGAAGCTTTGAAAATGTTTGAATTTTATTTAAAAAAAATTGAAGGAAAGATAAGTTGCGAGGCATGCAACAAAAAATGTAAGGGACAGGCATTGAAACTGCCTACCAACAAATACTTCCATCTCAATTGCTTCACGTGTAAAGGTGGGATCATTTACAGTACCTATTTTAATTTTGTTTGCATTAAGTATTGTTTAAAAATTCCTGGCGTCAGCAATCTATGTGCTGTGCAGTTTCATTCACCAAAATGTTTTCTTTCTCTCTCAAAACTGGCAACATCTTTATTTCCGTTTCCATCACATGTGTAACTATAAATTCATATTTGAGTTTATTGAACTTTTAATTTTCTGAACTAAAATTCTTTATTTCCGTTTTTGTAGAGTAATAAGATACAATGATTTAATTTTATTATTTGGCTTGGTGGACTATGTTGCCAATGTTGAAGAGATTCCTCTTGCAAAAAAATTTTTAATTAATTTTTAATTGGTATAACATTGTTACAAGGTTTTATAGAGTGTTTTCAAATGGTTAAACAAATTTGTATAACTTCATCCAGTTAAAAGTTTGGTCAGAAAACAACGACCTTCACTTTCAAATATCAGTTATCGAGATTGGCGGGCTAATATATTCATTAATTCTTCAACTAATTAATTAATTTTTATATGTATATATATATAGGCGCAACATTAAGAAGATGTTGGGCGTCTTGTTGATAATCAATGGCGGATCTAACATGGGCCGTGGGGGGTCCAGTGCTACAAACCAAATAATGGTCGTCAGTAAAGTGTTGGTCTTCCCGATGAAAATTGAAACGTTTCACAAATTTTTAACTTTTTATCTTTTTTTAGAAATCCCGCTAGGTTGTCAGATATTTTTTGGAAAAATTTTAGCCCCCCCTCGTCAAAGTTGTCTAGACCCACCACTGCTGATAATAATCTGTGTTGGGAGACTTGATGGTTTTTCATGCAAACAAATGTAAAGATTTGTTTGCAGAGCACTTTAAGGCATTTACATTTTCAATGGATGGATAACAAGCATAATAATGCATGGAAACTAAATTCTAAAAATTTTTCGAATTTTTTTCCTAGATCACATGCTGCTGTTGAAATCGCTAATTTAAAAGAATTTTGTTCATTTTGTTTAAAGTGTTATATGCCATTATATAAATACTATTGTGGGGGATGTAATGATGAAAGATCTTTTACGCAAACCTAATCAGCAGTTGTTTTTATTTTATTTCTAAAATGAGCCTTCGAACTCGTGTGTGTGTGCGTGCGTGCGTGCGTGCGTGTGTGTGTGTGTGTGTGTGTGTGTGTATTTTCACCGTATGTTTAATTGTTTAACACAACATGCTTATACCGATAAGTAACAGCCGCAATTTATTACCCATGTTTTGAAATGCAGAATGTAGGAAGGATCTGTCTACGGAGGCTTACTTCATGAGAGAAAACTCCTATTACTGTAGGTTCGACTACATGCGTTTGTTCCTGGCGAAATGTGCCCAGTGTAATGAATATATTGAAGATGATATGATCAAGGTCCTTAACAAGTCTTACCATGCCAGATGCTTCAAATGCTCTCAGTGCAAGTAACTAACTTGGGCTTTTTAACTGTTTTACTTATTTTTTTTTTAATAATTAGTCAATAAAAAGGAAATTAAGTTTGCAATGGACAGAAATTTATGGGCCTTGTTTAAACGATTTAAATTTAGTTTGTGTTAGTTTCAAACAACTGAAGGTTTATCTTTCCTCGCGTGGCAGTGTTTCAAAAATTTCTTTTTTGTGCGCACATCCATCTCCCGTTCCGCGTCATATGCGTCGTCCTCTTGACACATTATTTTTTGATGAGGCATCACTTTGTAATATACATCACTGTAATATCACCTCATTTTGTAATACATTGTCACTTTGTAATATGGTATCACTTTGTAATATGGTATCACTTTGTAATATGGTATCACTTTGTAACAGCCCTTGAATGAAAGTTAATATTTATTTTAAATATTATGAAATAATTGTGCAAGTAAATTTATATACAATATAACAACATTTTCATGAAACTAATTTGCTAGGAAGAACATTGAAGCTGGAGAAAAAATGATTATAAAAAAAGGTGAGAAGGTTTGTCAGAAATGTGAAGCGGAAGAAAGTAGAACCCAACAGATGGGCGAGTTTCAAATGAAAGTTCCTGAAGACTCTGCTACAAATCTCATCAATGGACAAGCTGCAGAAGCTCTGGCCGATAATGTCCACCAGTGCGACCAAAAATTGAAAGTTAATGGAAAGGATGAGATGGACGTTGCGAGGAAGAAATTGGCGGAAGAAATGACCGATGGAAAGTCGGCAGCCATCAACAGTCCTGATTCTGATTACAGCATGGAGCGTCAGTTTTGCATTTAAATCATTTTATTCTAATCATTTCAAATTATTTCAAATCTTTTCATTTCAACAGTTTCATGGAGCGTCAGTTTTGCATTTAAATCATTTTATTCTAATCATTTCAAATTATTTCAAATCTTTTCATTTCAACGGTTTCATGGAGCGTCAGTTTTGCATTTAAATCATTTTATTCTAATCATTTCAAATTATTTCAAATCTTTTCATTTCAACGGTTTATATCGATAATTTCATTTGCCAATTAAATGGATAGTTGTCCAATTGCTTTTGCTTTGACAGCTTGCAAATTAGCTCTCTAATTATTTGTACTTATTTTGTAATTATATTTCCAGTTAAGAATTTGACTGATTATTCAATGGATGAAAACGTGCTGCTGAACAGCGAGCAGTCTGACGTCCACCTCTTCTCGCCCATGTCCCTGACGTCAGGCTACAAATCTGATCTCTCCTACAACCAAGGTATTTACGCTCCTATTTTTGGTACATGCCATGTAGAGTAGCGAATTTAGGGGGGGGGGCTGTGAGCAGGATTGCTGTTAAAAGTTCTACTGACTTTTATGTAAAAAATCGACCAATAAAAGGTCGCCAGCTTAATTTAGGCCACGTTTCCCCAAATCCTGGCTACCTCATCGAAATTTTGTTAAAAATTTAAATAAGTCGAATGTTTGAGAATAAACAAATGTTCACAAAAATAAGGTAAAAAATATATGAAGCCCAAAAAGCAAATTTAAACGCCTCTTCATCGTTTAATTTCCATTGCGTATTTTAGAATAAGGTGTCTCACATTGAGTACATTTTAAGAAAAAAAGTAAACTGAGATTAAATAAACATTTGGCGTTTGGTTGTTAAACTGTGATCACTAATGTGAATGTAAATGAAGATTTTTGCAAGAGCTAAAAATTATGGCACGTTCCTAAAAAAAAATTTTGAAAAAGTATAAATTAATAAAACCCACAACTTATCAAATAATGATTTTTTTTTTATAAAATTTAAAAACGTCGAAAATGTTGCTCACGTTAAAAACCATGAAAGAACGCTCCTTCGTTGGTATTTTTAGGAAGTTGATGTGCATAAACAATTTTTTCAAATGAATGAATTTCGAATTCGTCTTTTATTTCGATAAAAGGAAGGATTAATGAGTTCTACATTATACAGTTCAAATCATTTGATGGTTGTAAACCACAAAAGTGGCCACTGCATGCATGTGTGATTTAGAGCAAAAGATGATAAATAGAAATATACTAAAAATTACCGAAAATCCCCTAGAAATGCACATGTGCAAACATTTTAAACACACACACACACACACACACACATATATATATATATATATATATATATAATAAAATTATATATAAATCTAGACACGCTTGAACACAAACTATTTTTAAAAATATATGTACATGTATATAATTTTAAAAACAAAAATCTTCTGTTAATTTTTTCTAGAGCAAGAAAAAAGCGAAATGAATTTGATGACAGATGAGTATGTGAGTTATTTTCTTCCTTGCATTGTTTCATATGATAACGATCTAACTCTTACATTTTACACTAGAAACAATTTCAAACATTTAAACGGCACGTAGATAAGCTAACAACACCAACAAAATTTAGGTTGGAGCATTATAATTATACAGAATTACTAATAAGACTACTTGTCTAAATCTTTCTCGATTTTTCAGCTAAATAAGTCCAAAATTTTTGATCTTTTTTAAATTGATCCGACCAACGTGTAAACAGAAATTAATAAAATAGCACTAAATTAAAAAATAATTTAAGTCTTCTAATCTGTTTTAAAAAAATACATTTAGGTCAAATATTCAAATTTTTTTTATTTCTTGCGTTGGTACAAATATGCGTACAAAAATAGAGACTCGCCTAAAAAAATGTATATCCAAACTTAGGTGACAATTTGAAAAAAATGGCACAAATCGGAAATCCGGTTTATTTTTTGGTCGTGTTGGATTCAAGTTAGATTTGAAAAAATGGCCGGATTTTGGCCGGAGCCGAACTCCGGTACAGCCTGGGTTAGAACATCTTCTAATTTATGACCAAACAACCAGAGTTGTAAAATATAATTCAAAACTGTAATTTTAATATTGTAAAAATGACTTTGTTCATTTTACATTATAGAAAATATACAAAAACGCGTTCTAGACTTTTCTACTGTTAGCGATCGACGAGATGGTTGTTGGTTGCAGCAAACGCGTATACAAAATGCATAAATCAGTCGCACAGTTATGCTAATAGCTTTTTCACCTTGATCAGCGAGCTTTATCCTATTGCACGTTATTTATGAAGACATGAAGTAGCTTTTGATTGGAGCCAACAATTTTTATTCAATTGAATTTTTAGAAAACTTGTTGGAAAATTCCCGATTTTATTTAATTTCAAGGCTATTTAGCATTCTCAGGTACAATATTTTTTATTTCTTTTTCAAAAATGTAATTTTGTTCAGCGCATTATATTTGTAATTAAAAAACCATGTATATAATATAGCTTGAAGCCAGGCTTCTTTTAGTTGTAGTATTATTTTTATCGTGCGTTTGTAATGAACTTTCGAAATAAACTATCTATTTGGAATGAACTAATAACGTTACAGTACATGCAATGTATACAGGTTAAAATATTAATTGAACGTGTTTTTTGAAATATTTTTATAAACGTTATATTCGCACGCTTCGAGGCATCGTACAGGTGCACCAGTCCTGAGTCCACGTTCTCTAAGAAATCCAAGGTTCCTTTAAACGTTTGATTCAATAGAAAAATTATATGTTGAGTAACCATTTGGTAAATTCAATTAAACACGTTTTAAATTGAAATTTTTCTACGGAAGGAATGCCGTTGTGTTTATCTATATTAACGTGAAAAACAAATTGTACGAACAACTCGTAGGATTCAACAGCGAGTGAACATTCATCGACAAGGAAGTCCTCATCCACGCTGACATTTGGAAAGTATTTGAAGGGTTCGTATTTGGAGAAATCTCAGAACAGCAACAGCAAGAATTACGTCAAGTCTCCCTCCTGCCATCCAACTGCCAGCAAGAACTTCCCCACACATTTTCACCGCGCTGGTTAGAGGCAGTGTTGAAAATCTAAATCAATTAAATTTTATTTTTTAAGATTCTACTTTTTTAAATTTTTATGAAAAAGACTCAATAAATAACATTCAGATGGTTTCAGTTACACGAAGACAAGAAATGATATAAGAATTATATCATTTTTAAGAATTATATATATAATTTTTATGAAAAAGACTCAATAAATAACATTCAGATGGTTTCAGTTACACGAAGACAAGAAATGATATAAGAAAATCTCCGAAAACAAAACGAGGAGGTAGGTGGTCACATGATGTCTTCGCGCGAGTGTTTATAAAACGATTCAGCGATCCAGTGCAGAGTGTGTTGATGTTTATCAGTGTTCTCATTCTCATTATAAAATTAATAACCCTGATATATTTCTTAATATTTTCTAATTTTTCCATTCCATTGTTATTATATTGTGGCAGATGAACGAATACGTCTTAAATTTTGCAATCATATAAACGGTAGTGTCATTTATGAAACAGGTTTTTTTTTCGCGGCAAAATAATATTTCTGCACTTGTGAATTAAACAAAATTGAAGATCACCATGATGTTACGTTACAGATGTGTTTGTCTCTTTTTATCTCGTTCTGTTTCTGTCCATCGTTAATTATTTTAAACATTTTTAATTGCTAGATAAAATATTATCGCTGAAATGATATTTATTTTCTAACCACAATAGAAATAACGATAGCAACATCATTTGATGCAATAACAATATTAAGAGCTGGTCAAACAGGCGGGATCAAAAGATTATTCTTCTATGTGTATAAATTGTTTTATAAATCTAAATTATTATAATGTATTATCAAATGATCAACATAAAACGAATATTATACCTCAACGACATGATATGTTCATTTAGGACTCATGTCTGTTTATGGTGAGCTGCTGTTTGAATGGACTCGCTTAACTGTAGTTATTCTTATTCTTGTCAACTTGTTTATGATAGAATTATCTATGTTTTTAGGTTTAAACCAAATATGTTAAAATTTTTTTGTTGAAAAACGTCAACCTTATTTTTTGCTTGCGATTGGTTACTTAAACTGTTAATTTTTTTTCAACAAAATATTTGTAAAAATATTTTGGTTGTTCTATTGTATTTTTCTTAATTTCAACTTATTTGTTGTTGATTTGATGTTTTATGTCACTTAACAATGCACGTCTCTCTTAAAATTAATTGCTCCAAACTTGTCCAAAGTGGAGTACGAAGACCTTCGAATTTAAACAATATAAACTTGAAACAGACTGTCAATACCATCATTTATTAACCACAATCTCATGCCAGTTTTCCTCCAATACATTACCGTTTTAAACGATACAATGATCTGCCATATTTTTTGAACGCCACTCGTTCATGTTTAAAGTTGGACAAGTTTGGTGAAACTGCATGCTAGGAATCAACTGCAATTGAAAATTCTTATTTTCTACTCTTTTAGAGATTTTTGTGATAATATTAAACTTTCTAAAAGCTTTCTTAAAAATGTTTTTGGATGTCGTTTCGATGTTTTTTTTTACAACAAAACTTAAATTTTATTTTTAACCATTTTCCATGTTTCGCTCAAGTTTGACATAAAGTTTTTCTACATTTTTGATAATTTTTCTGATCGAAAATTTTGGCTAGAATTTTTTTTAATTTTTTAAATTATTTTTAAAATAGGCATTAGTCAAAAGTTGTATATGTTACAATGAAATTTTAAGTTTCACATGAACTAGACAATGCTATCTACCACGTCTCCTCCACCTACTGTAACGCCTTGAAGTTTTCGAACTGCAGGAAACTGATTAAGCTTTTTTGAACTTTGCTTCAATGTTATGTTATCATTTCAAAAACTTTGTCTGTATATTGTCTGTATATAAGTTTGCTTTTTTTAACAGACCATAATTAGTTGAAATTTAATGTGAATGTTGTATATTTAGTTTAATGTAAGGCATCCGATGTCTTACATTATTTTAAATAAATGTTCATTTTTTGGTAATACTTTTTTAACAAGACGCACATTTTTCGAAATGAATGTTCAATAAAGTTGATAATAAACATTTTTTTAAAGAAATACGTAAGCTTACGAAACGTTTGATATGATTGGCATTTGTCGAAATGTCTAAGTTGTGTGTTTCCAGAGACAAAACATTGTAGTATTAAATATTGATAATTGTTTTGAATGAATGGTAGGTTCCAAAACTCCAACTCCACGACCGGTTGCATTGGAAGTGTACAAAACAGACAAGCAGCAGGAAGTCATCCAGCTGTCGAAACTGCCCGATGGTCACGTGACCGACAGCAAGCCTATCGAAAGAGATGATTTCCCCGCTCCTCCACACGTCGCTGCTGTCTATCCGCATCTGCGTAGGGTGTTGTGCAATTTGTTTCAATCATCACGTTCTGCAATTTGTTTCAATCATCACGTTTTGCAATTTGTTTCAATCATCACGTTCTGCAACTTGTTTCAATCATCACGTTTTGCAATTTGTTTCAATCATCACGTTCTGCAACTTGTTTCAATCATCACGTTTTGCAATTTGTTTCAATCATCACGTTTTGCAATTTGTTTCAATCATCACGTTCTGCAATTTGTTTCAATCATCACGTTTTGCAATTTGTTTCAATCATCACGTTCTGCAACTTGTTTCAATCATCACGTTTTGCAATTTGTTTCAATCATCACGTTCTGCAACTTGTTTCAATCATCACGTTTTGCAATTTGTTTCAATCATCACGTTCTGCAACTTGTTTCAATCATCACGTTTTGCAATTTGTTTCAATCATCACGTTCTGCAACTTGTTTCAATCATCACGTTCTGCAACTTGTTTCAATCATCACGTTCTGCAACTTGTTTCAATCATCACGTTTTGCAATTTGTTTCAATCATCACGTTCTGCAACGTGTTTCAATCATCACGTTTTGCAATTTGTTTCAATCATCACGTTCTGCAATTTGTTTCAATCATCACGTTCTGCAACTTGTTTTAATCATCACGTTCTGCAACTTGTTTCAATCATCACGTTCTGCAATTTGTTTCAATCATCACGTTCTGCAACTTGTTTCAATCATCACGTTCTGCAATTTGTTTCAATCATCACGTTCTGCAACTTGTTTCAATCATCACGTTCTGCAATTTGTTTCAATCATCACGTTCTGCAACTTGTTTCAATCATCACGTTTTGCAATTTGTTTCAATCATCACGTTCTGCAATTTGTTTCAATCATCACGTTCTGCAACTTGTTTCAATCATCACGTTCTGCAACTTGTTTCAATCATCACGTTTTGCAATTTGTTTCAATCATCACGTTCTGCAACGTGTTTCAATCATCACGTTTTGCAATTTGTTTCAATCATCACCTTCTGCAACTTGTTTCAATCATCACGTTCTGCAACTTGTTTCAATCATCACGTTCTGCAACTTGTTTCAATCATCACGTTCTGCAATTTGTTTCAATCATCACGTTCTGCAACTTGTTTCAATCATCACGTTCTGCAATTTGTTTCAATCATCACGTTCTGCAACTTGTTTCAATCATCACGTTCTGCAATTTGTTTCAATCATCACGTTCTGCAATTTGTTTCAATCATCACGTTCTGCAACGTGTTTCAATCATCACGTTCTGCAATTTGTTTCAATCATCACGTTCTGCAATTTGTTTCAATCATCACGTTCTGCAATTTGTTTCAATCATCACGTTCTGCAATTTGTTTCAATCATCATGTTCTGCAACGTGCTTCAATCATCACGTTCTGCAATTTGTTTCAATCATCACGTTCTGCAATTTGTTTCGTTCATGTTGTGCAATCACACTCTGTCTTATTCTAGGAAATTAATTGCAATTAACTTGAGTTTCATGAGTGCATTCTAAGTGTCACCATAGTTGTTTAGTTTATTTAGTTATTTGTCAGCTGGGAAATTTTTTAATTTTTAGTGAGAGAACGTCGAACAACGAGACCGATCAGTCGCAGCGATGGAAACATTCAAATGTATTCAACTGGCAAGGAGAACATGTCCATTTATGACGGGGAAGACGATGACGACGAGCTTGTGATACACAGGAGGTCCAGGTTATCTATTTAACTTTTCATTTAATTTCGTCGATGCACAACATCATTACTTTTTATTAACAAGGATACGTAAATAAACTTGTGATCTATTTTTTTATGACTGCGTGAATAGTTTTCAGCTAACAATCTTATGATTGCTAAGGTGTTGTCATTGTGTTAATGTAATTGCTATGTATTCAACAATTTTAAACTGAAGTTAGAACTTTTACAATGTTAAAAATTCCTATCAATTCAAACACATATGAGTTTGTGCTGTAATAACGTGCTTCAACATTGAATGAAGATTAGAACGAGAGATCCAGGAGTTGAGTAAAATGGATCAAACATCGGGTGCTGTTCAACTTATCCTGAAAGATTTGCAGCGCAAGCAACAACTTCCACACGACCTCGACCCAAGAAGTGCTTCCAGAACACCATCTGCAAATAAAGAACCGCCGTACAAAACACGCTACCATTCTCCTTTGTATGCATGTACGTGTCCTTCATTGTACATTTGTTCTGTTGCAGGGATTGTTGCTCAGATTTTGTATTTGAAAGAAATGTTCCTTAGATATTTGTTGCCCGTTTAAAAACGAACTCAACAAACTTTACTACAACTTGAAGATCACGGGAATTGGGCAATTTCAGCCAAAATTAAGCAATGCTGAAAATGCTGTAATTTTAATTAATAATTATATATATGATATATCAGTCTTAATCCTATATTTATATATATACACATCAGTCTAAATCCTATGTATATATATATATATATATATATATATATATATATATATATATATATATAGAATTGTATAATATAGAATTGTTGGCATTAATCAATTGTTGGCATTAATCAAAAAAGTTTATCTTTTCAATTTTCCTTACTGCTAGAATTTTCTGGAATCTGTTCAATTTGTTGAAAATAGAATTATTATCCAAGTTGAAAATTTAATTAAACTGTTATACAAATTCATCATGCAGATAGGTCTTTTTTCGATTTTTCGATGTTTATGTATATATATATATATATATATATATATATATATATATATATATATATCTCTATACATTATTGATTTTATTTGCGTGTGTGTTAAACAATTGAACATACCAGCTCCATCACGTGACTTATTGATGAGGTCACAGTTACATCACTTTGATGACGATTACGAATTGAAATATAGGACAGTTGTAACTCCTGTCCCTCAATATCCAGGTCAGTTTGTGAGAAGATGATTGGTAGATGGATGCACGGAAGGATAGATGCACGGAAGGATGGATACGTGGAAGAATGGATGCATGGAAGGATAGATGCGTGGAAGGATGGATGCATGGGAGGATAGATGCGTGGAAGAATAGATGCATGGAAGGATGGATGCGTGGAAAGATGGATGCGTAGAAAGGTGTATGCATGGAAAGATGGAAGATTGAATGCGTGAAAGGATGGATGCATGGGAGGATAGATGCATGGAAGGATGGATGCATGGAAAGATAGATGCGTAGAAAGGTGTATGCATGGAAGGATGGAAGATTTGATGTGTGAAAGGATGGATGCATGGATTTATGAAAGGATTAATGCATGGAAGGTTGGATGCATGGAAGGATGGATGCTTAGAAGGTTGGATGCGTGGAAGGATAGATGCGTAAAAAGATGGATGCATAGAAGAATGTAATCATGGAAGGTTGGATGCATGGTAGGATGGACGCATGGAAGAATGGATGCATGGAAGGATAAATGTAAACAAATGCAAAAGCTAATAGATGCAAAATATGTCAGATGAAAACAGTTTCGTGAATTCACTTTAGTCATAACTGATTCTAGGTTTCAAAAGATTTTCTTTGTTTATAATGCATAATTTTTTATTTTAATACAATGAATGCAATATTTTACAAGCCGAAAAGTTCATGTATACAGTTAATAAGCTGTGATAGCCAATCACAACTTACGTGAATATAAAAATTAAAACCTCATAGAAGACTCCCTTAAGCCAAAAAGACCATCTTATGTTATTAAAAGTAGTTCAAAAGGTACTATAAACTTTCACAATTTTCACATTTGATCTCTTTTTTTCAATAATTTTATCGCATATTTTCATATACATTTTCAATGTTGTAAGAAATGTTTTTACATTTTTTATATAGTCAAGTGAGTATATATTTAATTTTTTAAAATGATGGTGCCATTAATTTAATTTATTTTAATGATATTTTTTTATATATTACTTTTACTAACAATCTCAAAATGAAACTAAAAATTTTCGATTAAAAGAAATCAAGCTTCGATTGTTTTTACTTCACAAACGTCAGCTTACAATGCTTTCATTTCAATCACGCTGCTTTAGAATCATCCACTCAATTATCTAACATATGTTAACATTTCTACGTTGTCTAGCGCATTTATTTTACTTTCAGTCATTTTATTTCATTATGTTTAATGAAGCTAAGTTATTTTACTCCTATCAAGTATTTTATGTCAATCAGGCATGTTTGCCCAAAATTTGTTGTTGTTGTAGCTCGCCTGAAGGGGTGGCCTAGTTATTTAATTTAAATATTCAAGAATTGAACCACGGCCACCAAGTCCGCTCAAAGGTCGGCGGTGGTGGTGAGGGGAATGGGTGGGATTGGCAGGGCAGTTGAAAGTAGTATGGAGGGGGGTGAGTAAGAGGTTGCATTGATCGAGAATGGTGCCATTTAAGCGGCTGAGGTAACTATTGAGGTGGGTGGAGTAGCCACTTAGAGCTGTGGCAGGATGGTTCTTGCTTTGCAAGGTAGCGTTGCTTAAATTTTTTTGATAGAAAGCGGATGGCTATTGAGTATTGAGTTTGGTTTAAAGGAGTTGATGGTATTGTGGACTGTGGAGTGTGGATGTGCGGAGTAAAAGTTTGATCGTGCAGCTGTGAGGAAGTGATGATGTGAATGTGTTTAGTCGGGATGAGCTGAAAGTGTTTATTTGATGTTTCGAAACGCTGGTGGGTTATTGATTAGATGATGGCATGGGTGATTGTTTTAAGGCGTTGGGCGAGGCAATGATTTGTGAGCAGGGTGGAGTGGATGTTAGTTTCTTGATGTAGGTTTTCTATGGGCGTCATGAGAAGGCAACCGGTTATTGTACGTTAAGCGGAATTTTGGCTTTTTGGAGACTGGTTGGGAAATGTTGGAAAGCCAGATAGATGTTGTTAGTTGATGGCGGGTCGGCAGACAGATTTGATGGTTTTGAAGAGGGTTTCTTTTTTGCTGGCCCCAGTTAGTGCCTGCCAGCGACTTAAGAATTTTATTGCGTTGTTATGATTTTTTTATTATTGATTGTGCGTGTGAGTTGAAGGTGAAAAAAGTGTCAAAATAGACGCCGAGTACTTTGGGTTGCTTTTTAAAGGGTAGATTTGTATTGTTGATTGTTATGGAAAGGTGAATGTTTGCTTCCTTAGTGAAGGGTGCGAAAATTGTGACTGTTGATTTTGTGGTAGACAGGGAGATTGAACGACTATTAAAAAAGTTGCAAGTTTTCCGCGGTTACATCGTGCAACCAACATCGTCTGGTCGTTTCACCAAATCAAACAGGCGATGCAGATGGATACCCACCCACTCTCCCAGGCGCTAGAAGTATGCAATATAATTGATTTCACAATATCATCAAGAACAAAAATTAATGTCCGACCGAAAATGAAGTTTTGGTATTGGCCGAAATCGAATCCGAACCTTCGGCCATGATCCGAGTTTCAACCCAAATCAAATTTTTTATAAATATTAAAATATGTTCTACACATCAAAACGTAGCCCATATTTCGCGTGTGGTTAACATGCGTCGGATCAAAAAACAAATTAAGACGAAACGCACGATAGTTCATTAGCAAATTGTTTTGCTAAATTATCAAAATTATCAAAATTTATGCTTATTTTTGATGTTCTAAATTGAAAAATCTTACGTTGTATGCTGAAACTTTTTTTTCTCGGCGGGTATGGAATTTGAGCCGGATTTTTGAATGTATTTTTATTTATGCATGCATAATGTGTGCGTATATACCCACGTGTACACGCGTTTACACATTGCACATTTCTTTGTTTGAATTTTATATAAGTGTTATCGCTGAACAGGTGAACGTATTGTTAACATGGATGTCTTGATATACTAATAGATGGCTAAACGATTATCAAGCCTTCAGATAAATGGTTTGTCAATGACAAATTCATTTGATTAATTGGTTTCAAAAACATCAGTGCCTTATCTGACTTTTTTATATCCCCGAATATAATTGCCAGCAACGTAGGCACCATAAGAAAGCATACTCACTTATTTTTGTGAGACCTCCTCTGTTGACATCGTCCAAATCGTCCGTTCTCCTCATCAGAATGAAATGATTCTCTATCGACCAGTAGGATTTCTTCACAATTAGCACATTTAGTGATATTAATTACACTTTTTACTGATATAGTAAATTCATTTTTTTTGGCAAAAATCTCCATTAATTTTATCGGCAGAAACTCTTATTGGTTAATCAATTCTTTTTGAAATATCATTTATAAAATTATCTATTTCTTTACGAGATATTTGGATTGTTGTTTTAGTGTGGAAAGATACAGTGGCAGGTTTTTGAACTTTGAAAGCACTGCATCGACTTTTAGTTTTCTGCGTTGCCTTTCATTATGGTGGCTAGGAATGTTACCTACTTCGTATTTTGCGTATCTACTTGTCGTGCAAACTGCTAACAAAATCTGATTAATCAAAATGCAAAGAACATGTATGTTCTAAGGCATGTTTTCTCTATGTGTGTATTTGTATACAAAAGTATGTACAGAAATCGATAAAGATGTTTAAGTTCAATTTGTATTGAATGTGAGTTAATTACAAAGTTTTTTTTACTGAGTTTGATATTAATGTCGGCTAGCTAATAAAGCCGTAATTACAAGATAAATTATAAAATGTAACGAATACAGGCCAAATTTGTGTATTTAAATCTGGTTAAATCTGACTCCGGTTGGATTTGAGAAAATCAAACCTATTCTTAACGTTTTGTATAATTTAATGATTCAACTAATTTACTATGCTAAGTTGGAAACACAAATTTTGATGAACGTAATGAAAAAGTTACTCGTGAAAACAAGCTTCAGCTTGGCCGATGTTTTGCGCCGATTTTTTGACAGAAACAGAAACTTCGGCCGAAATTAAACCTTTGGTCCTTTTTCTTAAAAAAAAAATACAAAGTTACATTGCAAATCTAATGTTACAGGTTGTTGGTCAAATCTATCTTATTAACCGTTCTTCAGTAAAACAGCATTTTTGATGTCCCGGGTACTGATATTAATAGTATTATAATCATTATTAGATTAATAGTTTTATCAGTATTATTATAATATATCATCAGCGTTACTCAACACAACCTTGATGCACTCAGATTTAACCGTTCTCCTGTTTCTATAACCAAGGAACTTTAAGGGTTTTTTAAATACTATGAAAAAATGGCCAAAAAATTTGTTTATTGTAGCGTTTTGAAATAACCTTTCGGTCGCGTGTCTTTTTACAGCCACTTCTTTAGTCGAATGAACTGACAATAATTATGTAAAAACTTATTGAAAGTTACGATTGATTAATTTTTTAAATATTGTTAAGTCAAATTCTACTTATCTGAGTTTGTTTTTGTGGCGAGATGGCGCGCCTGGTGCTGTTTCACAGAGCGTGCAATGACTGTTCGAATATAACAAAAATATCCCCGCTCATCACATGCTTCGTGTGTGATGTGTCGTTCATCATGCGCTCATAGGGGATGTTTGTGCGTTGTTAAACCTAGGAAGAGCGTAACAAACCTTTAACCTTCTAACCATTCATAAAACAAATTTTTGGGAATGTGTGATTCTTTTTTATTAAATTCATCTATTTTTATGTTTCTTTATGTTATAATTTCAAATAATTCAACACTAAAATATTTTGTCCTACAAAGTTTTTAAATTTGTTAAATACTTTATAATAACATTAAGCAATATTTTTGCTTCCAGATTATTATTAATTTAAACTCAATAAATTCAATTTCGGTGGTGGTTAGTTTTGAAAGCATAAAACACGGCCTGGTGTCCTAAAAACACTTCACGGCAGGCATGCGGTCAGCGGCTCTTATTTTTAAAATTAGTTACCTAATTTTGGCATATTAACTGGAACACACTAAGTTAAACGGTGAACTGATTGCATGGATCATACATTATAATTAATTTGCATATTAATTAATTATTTACTGAGCTAATTAGTTTGTTTCCGTAAAAAAGTTCAGGATATGTATATGTTTGTTTGTTCACAAAGTTTCTAAAATTAATTTATTTTCAGGTTACTATTTTTGTCGAAAGCAATGATTTTACTTAAACCTTCATTCCTCCACTTTTTCTTTAAGTTAATAATTTGCCAGTATCTTGTATATTTTGATCATTCGTTTAAAACCTGTCAAGTGATTTGCATCAGCCGGGACGAAAACATTTGATTAACAGAGTCTTAATCGCTTCAAACAGGCTCGCGACCGAGATACCACAAAAGCAGGAGTAGTTATACTTCACGAGATCTGCTGGCTTCCCACAAACGCCCTGAAAGTACGGATGGATGCTTGGAACATGTTAGAAGCGCTCCATACACCTCCTCCTCCGCCGCTGCTGAAGATTACGACAGAAGAGAATGCAGCAGCTCCGTCTGTGATAGGTTCAGTCAGTGTAAGTAAATGTGTGGATGGAAGTATGTGTGTTTGTGTGCATCAACATTTACACCATGCAGTCATTTCCGAGAAGTATCTCTTGAGCCTACACCAGACCAAAACATTCATCATACTTTTTCGCATGAAAACTTTTTAAAATTTCTTCTTATATTTTGTTCTACTGTATTTTCTATTGCGCCTAATTTTCTACGTTGCAATATTGTTTCCCATCAATACTACAATTATTTGCTTGGAAGATGTTATTTCCTTTCACGTTATGTTCTTCAGCGTTTGTGGGGCTTATTGGATAAGTCATGATTATAAACGTGTACCTTTACATCTAACATTCAATATAACAATATTTTTATTAAAGATCATTCAAGTTGTTTATTATATTTCTTTTTGTTTAAATAGTTAAAATATTGAACTTGAAAAAAAATTTATATGATAAATTAATGCAAACCAAAACTCCTTTTAAGATTCCTCCCGCACGGATCTCGACGACGTTCCCGTACAATCTGGATCTAAAGTGGGTCCACGGACTTTTGGGATTTGCTTAAATAACTGCATTTTAAAATATTTATTTCACTTCATTTGTTTCTACGTCAAAGTTAAAAATTGGCGGTCGGTCAAATTTTATTTTTGTAACATATTTAGATATTTAGTGTGTGTCATATTACTTGTGTAGAATAATTATTTTTCCAATTTGAAAAAAGGTAGTTTTACTTGAATTTTTTCCAAAATTTAATTCATTGAATGTTGACGATGTTCTATTTCGATATGTAACAATTAAAAAATCTTATGGCTACGATATGATATGAAATCGTGACTAGGTGAAGTAAGTCATAATGAAATGCTTCAAACTTTTCAACAGCTGAATAAGTTCCCAAGAATGGATGGCCGTTCAACTCCCATCTCGCTCCTCAGCCACCAATTTTATTCCATCCACCGATCCATCGTCACGTCTGTAGACAAGGACGACGCAAACATTAAAGTTCGTTTCGTCTCGTTGAATTAAATAATTCAGTTAGTGAATGTACGGGAGGTAATGCATTTTCAGCTTGAATTACGCGATATATCTTATCCATTATCATATCCATTATAGACTATTTTTAATGATGGGTAATTATTTTTTCAAAATGTGTCTCGTAACATGAACCGCTACGACAACGACCACTCCACACACCAACAGACATATCCATACGAAGTGCTGAAAGTGACGAGCCTCAACCGACCTGCACATCTCGATGATGAAAATCTTGAGGTAGCTTGTTTTTTATCGCAAACAAATTAAAAAAAAATAATATTCATTTGATTTTTATTGCAAAAAAATTTCTGAAAGTCTCAGAAAATAGTTTGACACCAGAGTTTTTTCGTTGAGACTTTAATAGTTTTTGAACAAAATTTTTAAAATTCAAAGTTGATTATGGTCAAAGCTCATATCTACGGAATGCTAAAAGTTTGAATTTCTTAGTGTTCGTTTTAAATTTTTTGCAGTCTGTGTTGATTAACTGCCTTTTTGGTGTAAAATATGATGCAAATCGCTGTAAGCCTTGTTTGTAATTTCTGGGTTCACAGATTCATATAATAATGAAAGAGGTTATACTTTCGACTTTGAAATTTTAAAAAGTTAAATATAGATTGCTTATTTTGTTTCTGAAAATCAAACTGAAAACCTTTCAGTCAATTAACAGCTTTATATTTTTATGTTGTGCCATTTGTATTTCAATTTTTCAATTAGCTTGAAGCGCTTTTTATAGATTCCCGGCGTCATCAACAATTTTTAAAGCTGCAAGTTTTAAAATTTAATTTTAATTAACAGTAGAAATATTAAAAATTGAACTAATAATAAATTGAAATTTTAAATTACCAGCAATATCTAGAGGAGGAGACATTTGAATGGTTGCTGGGAATGGACCGAGCAGAGTTCTACCACTTGCCTGCTTGGAAGCGCAACGATATGAAGAAGAGGATCGAACTTTTCAAATGAAATTTGCTTAAATTTATTTTGTAACCGGCCAGCACCCACAAAACATTCGATGAACTAAAATATCACGATGAATGTTCAAACCAGTGTATTCGTATTCATCTTTACTTTCGTCATCATATCTAACAGTCACCTTTTCAGTATGAAATGACTTGCAATCTCATTTTTCTAATATTAGGTGCGTAACTTTTTCGCATGCATTTCTTTTCTACTTACGGTAAGCGACTTGTGAATTAATTTGCCGCTAACTTGCTGATTGAATGTAGCTGACAGCTTGGAATGAGTTGGTCATTAATTTTATTTGCATAATTAAAAATTGCTAGGTTTTTGTTTTTACAATTATTATTGCATGAAAATAATTTAGAACTACAAATTATTTACAATTGCCATTTAAAACATCATTTATTTTATTAAAATTATTTGTTTCAAGTCAACCTTTCGGTAACAGGATATAAATAAAATGAATGAATAAATAGATAAGTTTTCATTGCATATTTTACTTGTATCCATATATAAATTTTAAACAGTACAATCAGTTTAGCGGCAGTTAAAATCAAAAGTGCTAAAATGGCATAAACGCTGAAAAACAAAATCTGACCATCGGATTAATTTAGTGATTGGTTGATTGAATGAAAGATCCACATTCACTCAGCTTCTCGATGCCAGCTGTATAGGAAAGAAAGAACTCGTCACAGCACCTACTCTGAAGAACTCCTCTGTCAAATCTGGCAACTGCTGCTGCAAACAACTAAATGGCAAATGGAGCCGCCAATTCAATATTTTATTTTCAACAACAAAATGACTCGGCCGAAGCAATAAACAAACGGCGGTAAGCTGCGTTTAGGTCTTCCAGTAGCACCTGTTTCTACTTCGATAAGAACATTCATATACAAACACGCATTCGTGTTCACGAACGAACAAACGAGTGAACTCATTTCTATTGAATTTATATTTGGATGTGTGTGTAACCTTAGGATGCTTACAAATTTAAATTTAGCCATTCTTCCAGTATGTACCAACTTCAGTTTTGATATAAAGACGTCAACAGTAGTTTGACGTTGATGAATCTAACAAAAATCTTCAAGTAAACATTCGAAAATTTTTCATGATTCGATGTAAACACTGAACACGCATATAACTGCTGCTTGGTGAATTGATCAAGGCTTCCGCTGTGTTTATTCCACTGAGTACAACAGATTTGTTTCCTACCATTTGTTCGAGGTAGCGAATTTTTCTAATTTTACTTAGTCACTAACCAATTCCTATAATCAATTATTATTGAAATGGTGTATAATTTTTCAAATCTTTTGACAAAAATAAAATATTTTGGACAATTTTTTTAATTTGTTAATATCGAGTTAATTTTATGTTTTAATGGTTTAGAATTCTAACAGTTTCCTTGTTTTATATAAAAAAAATCAATATAAGACTCGAACAAAATTTTTTCAAATTTGGCGGCCAGAGAATCTTAAACAAAATCTGCTACCGTTGAAAATCAATTAGTCTCACAGCCCAATTAAATCAGCAATTTGCCTGTTTTTATGGAAAGTTTTTCATTTTAAAAATTTGAAAAACGAGCCACATAGTGAAGCTTAATTTATTGTATGCCTAACGAGTGCCTATCACTCAATAAACAATAAACATGCCATGTGGATATCGAACATGCAGATTCATATAAACACATGCATATTTGTTAATACAATTTTCACTTTTCTATGATATTCTTACCTTCTGGACAACATTATGTGATACAACAGCCTCTGTAATACAACAGCATCTAACCATCTGCCGATTTAACCAGCCATGCAGATCAATATAATACCGAGGTGAAACTGCAGAGAGGCACATGTGCATCAAATTGAATGGATGCACGCACGTATGGCCTCTCCTCATTTAAATGTTCGTGACATTAACAACAGGCAAACATTTTGTGGTTGACAAACGGAATATAAAAAAACAAGTTGGATCTTGAAAAGTTGTAAATTTGCAGGTGGAGTTTGAAGTTTTCGAAATGAGTAAAAAAATGAAAACAAATGTTTTGTAACTTTTTATAGTTCTAATTATTTTTAGAGGGATTAATAAATTGTTTTTAGAGTAAATTTTGATATAATTATTGAAGAAGGAAAATAATAAAAACATGCCAAATTTTTTTTCACAAAATGTTAATGAATGTAGAATCAACAAATTACGTAGCAAATAATGATTGAATAACTTGCAGATGAAGTTTGAAATTTATGAAAAGATATTACAAAATTTTTTTAAATACTCCTAAATTAGTTTCAAATAAGTCATTGTACTTGGTGCCGAAATATTAAATAAAAAGGCAAAAATTGTTAAAAACGAAAAAAGCTAAAACTTAAAAATATAGGTCGTGGTGGAAAATAATAATTGTAATGAAATCAAAACAGACCGCCTTTAAATCAATATGCACGTTAATCATTAATTTTCACACAATTCAAGCATGTTTTTCAAACTCAGTCGCAGTGTACATGGTGCAAAAATATTAAATAAAATTTCAAAAAGCAAAATTGTGAAAAACGAAAATGATTTTAATCAACTCATTTCATATAAAATAAAATACTTCATTTATGATGATACCAGCTGGACAGAACAAAAGACTCTCAATACAAGAGCATCCCCACTGAGTAATTCTCGTAATTCCACTTCGTCTACAACTGAACCAGCTTAAAACCGAAAAAACACAGCTACTAAATATGGAACAATTTTGTAAAGTGCCTCTTCACTAAATCAACAAATGTTTATTAAGTTAGAGATGTGAGTATTTATCGCTACCTGACGGGACAATTTTTCAAAACCTTCCATATCTTTCTCACCTGAACTTATATAGTTTTCAATCATTTCATATCAAAAATATTTTAATATTTGAATTAATAGGATTTGCAATTTTTACTGGAAGTTGTTTTGGATACATCCTCTAGTTCCAAATTCCATAAAACATACTTGCACACCGTTGGAAAATGAATCCACCCATTAAATCCCGTAGATTTGCATACGTAATGACAAGAATGGTTTCAAAAATACAAACTACAATTTTTTGTCAGACGAAAATATAAAATTAAAAATTTTTTGATTCTAACTAAATTTGTGATATCTGTTTTATATTTTATTCCAACTATTTTAAATTACTTCTCTCTCAATAAACATTCAGAATGCATTCAAAGTATTTATTTTACAACTTGGAGGAAAGATTAAACTGCTGACGGTTTTCATTTAGAAGATTTGTAAATGACTTTACGCTTGGTTTCTGGAGATCGTAATATCTTATTTCCTGGCTATCCCAGCCACAACCCTGAGTGTATGAAACATTCTGCAGACTTCCCAAGTGAACGTAATCATCCTCTCTTAAGATCCCCGAGAGGGTGGCCTTCATTTGTGAGTTGCTCGTTAAAATGTCGTTGATCATAATTTTGTAATTTAATTCTTTCATCAGGCCCATTTCGATGTGCAATATTCTCTTCCCGAGACCTCTCCCTCTGAACTTACTGCTGACGACCACGCTGGACTCTGCGGCTTGACGGGCTGACGTTCTCAAGTGGCAGCTTTCAGTTATAAAACTGCATCCAACCATTTCAAAAGTACATTTTTTCAATAGATCTGACTGAATTGGAGCTTGTTGGCAGTCCACGTGATCGTATATAATGGAATAATAATTCAACATCCATATTTTGAATGCATGAAACGTTGGAAACTCGTTAGTTCCATAACCACGGCCATCCTTGGATGCTTGCAACAACAAATTATACATGGCAAATGCATCTTCTTTTGTGGCATTTCTAATGAATAAAACGTTCTCATTATCAATTTTATAAAAACGTGGTAGAAATGAAACAGTCCTTAGGGGACTACTCTCAAATATTCGATCACATTTCTCTTTATTGTAAACGCGATTTATCATTTCTCTCACGTCTTCATCGCTTCTAGGCTTTAAAAAGTTGTTTTGAATTATGAAATTGAATTATTTTCATGAATGTTTAAAAATTTATACCTTTCTTAATTGATCAAATTGTTTAACAACAATGCAATCCTTTTCAAGTTGATTTTTTATCAAAACTCCGTCTGGTATATTAACTGCTACTTTGAATCCGTATCTGCACATTGTCTTTAATAAATTCAAGTTAGAGGCTGGACATACTCTCAAAACACAATCAGTATAACTTTAAAAAATTACGTTAAAATGTTAATGAACGATTTGTAAAATGTAATCTGTTTTTGCTTACTCACCCTATTTGAATTTCTTTTGTAAGTTGAATGCCCAAGTCCAGCAAAGCCATCCTAACTTCATCCTTCATGTACACAATCCTTGGAAAATGATTGAATCCAGATTTCATCCAGTTTTGATCATAATATACCAGTATAGACGCCAAACATGTGTCAATCGTTCTGCAATTGATATCATAAAATCCAAAGTAGACAAATTTTTTAAAGTAGTTAGAACAAAATATAAAAATGTGCTCAACTAGCTATATAATGATGAAAAACACTTTAAAAACCTGTCAAATAAGTTACCATAAATAAAAAAATATTTTTAATACTAATAATAATAATAAAAGATAGATAAAAATTTCAAAACAATTTTATTTTACGGTAACTTATAAAGCGCTTATAAGAACCACTGAACAAGTTATTTTATCTAAGTTATAAGTTATTTGTTCTATGTTATTTGTTCAATAATGAATATAACTTTAAGTTATTTGTTTAATAATAATTTAAACATTTTGGTACAAAGGGCTGGATATTAAAAATGAACAAACTGACCTCGAAGTTAACCACGGTTGAATTACAACGAAAGCCCGCACATCGTTGTCATTTTTATTGGCCGAATTCAGAATAAATATTTCTGAAAGAGACAAAACATTCATGAGTTTATCGTCGTCCTTGAATTCATCGCTACCAACGTTGTCTCCCTCTCGAATGGCATCTTTTATGAATTCCACGCACCTCTCCAACTGACCGAACTTAGCATAATTCAAGGTGAGATAACTCCATCGCTCTGCGTCATTGGCATTTGGCGGAAATTTTGAACGGTTCTCGTAATTTATTTTTAAACTAACCTCGGAATCTCGGGTTTCAACTAATTGAATGATTCTTGGCAAGGCTAATAATTTTGTCCTGAAGAAATGATTACAACAGAAATCGTCATTTTTCAGTCTAAACATAACGCGGAAAATTTGAAATCGTTATAAAATTTAATAATTTCTGTACTTTGAATATTTTCAAACTCGTTTATTTATTTCATTTATATTTTTAAATTTTTTAAATTCAACATTCTGTTGTCTGAACATGAAAATGATCTCAGTGATCCGACGATCTCAACTTCGGACGAAATTATTTTTTTGAATCCGCCCACAAACGTCATAAATCGTTTCTGCTTTATGTCATCAAACAGTTCCTCAGAACTTCTCTCTAACACAATATTACATGTAGGTAGCTAACATAATTTATTAACTTAAATATATAATTCAGTGTTCAATAATTCAAAAGTTCAACAATATAAATAGGCAAGCACAATCAGTTAATCGGTATTTCAAAATGCACAAAATGTAATATTTAAACTCTAAACGCAAAAAAGAAAAATGTTTCAAAGTATTTCAGTTGACAAAGTGAAAAGTTCATTACGGTGTAATGGTTAAGATGTCTGGCATCGCTGTTGCAGTTACTAGGTTCGAATGTAAAGATATTCCCGCCTACCTTGTTCAACGATGTGATGATGATTCACGTGTTTTTGCGTACACTGTGTGTGTTTGTTTTAATAATAATAATAATGCGCCTCAGTCGCTTGCCATGGCACTATATAAAAACGAATGAATAGCCACACAGATTTCAATAAAATAAGGTATAATAGAGTGCATATATTTATACTTGAGTTGAGGAAATAATTAATGAAAGAAAAATTCATTAAAAAAAAACTATAAAAGTTCTCAACAAAACTATATTTATACATGCATATGCAGTAGGCAGTGGTTTAAGTGGTTTTTCTCTGAAAAAATATATTGGAATATATAACCTTTATAATAATAATATATAATAATAATATTAATATATAACCTTTAACCATTGAGCCATTTAAAGGTGCCTGGTCTTGCTATTGCAATGACTGGGTTCTAATACAAAGAGATCCCCGCCTATCATATGCAATGTGTATGATGCGTGGTTTGCACGTGTATTCATATACGCTGTGTGTATTTGTCGTTGAAACCTCTGAAGCAAACGCAGAAGAAAGAGAGTAACCTTTAACTTTTAACATCTATCTATCTATCTATATTTAATCGTTTATATGAAACCACATCCATACGTATAGAATATTTGGGAGCATCTGTTTACTTTGCTTAGATTGTTTCGGACTGGTAGTCGAAATAATTTTATCTTTTAACATTATAAAAATTGATGAATCTCAAAAAAATATTGTTTATGGTTATTTACCATTTTAGATCTGATGTTACTCAAAAAATTGTGTCAAAAAAATTTAGCATCTCTATGTCTTTCTTCAATTATCGTTCGGTCTGACTCTATGTGTCCTCCTATTATTTTACCTGATTCTAAAACTCTTGATGTTTTCCACAAGTTTCGTAGTCTAGGCTTTAACTTTGATTCTAGTAGTCTCTTTCTTCTTAGTTTAATAGTGTTGCTAGAAGTTCTTACTTTCATCAACGTAGAATAAAAAAAACTTTTGCCTTTTCTTGACGATCCTACTCTTCTCCTTCTTGTTACTTCGTTAGTTTTATCTAAGATTGATTATGGTAACTCGCTCTACTATGGTCTTCCTGATTCTGCACTCTATCTGTAAAACTTTCACCTGTGTTGCTCGTCTAGTTGATCGTGCTCCTTTCTTTTCTCATATATCTCCATATCTTGTTCTCTTTCACTCTATACCTATAAAATATAGAATATTTTTTTAAATTTGTACATTTATGTATAAGTCTCAATCTAAATTATTTTCTAAGTATTTATTAAATATATTAATTGAACCTAAACGCCCCGGTTTTTGATCGTCTTCTTGTTTTCACTTCTTAACTCGTGTTAAACACTCTTTTGCTAAATCTGCATTAGCTTTTTCTGGCTCTTTTCTCTGGAACTTTTCTGACTACTTCTCAACCACTTACGAAGTTCAGAACGAATCTCAAGAGTCATTTGGTTCATTGAGGAACATCGCGGAAATAGCGCATCATAAACTAATTTATTGATTGCAGAAGGTAGAAACAAATGTTCTTTAATTTAGATTCTTTAATTCTGTTTATATTTAGTGGGTTGGCAGAAGTTAATAGAATATAACATGGATATAATGATGCAAACGCTCTTAGGTCAAGACTCAGACTTCTTTTCAATTTCTGAGTAATTAAATGATGGAATGAGATCCCAGTATCCTAACTTTTTTTATATTTAAATACTTTTCATTCACACTCAGATATTTTTATTGATACTTTTATGGGTATATTTGGTTGATATTTCACGTACTTTAGAAAACTTCTATCAGCGGATAAACTATGCAAAATGAAAGAACGTTAGCAACTTAACGTGCACTAAAAAATAAACAACGGATTAGATGGTTCGATTTTGTGTAAGTTAGACTAATGGGCGATTGTGCCTGAGATGAAAAATTTGTTCCTAAATTAATATCATTTTTAACAGGTTAATTGATAAAGTTTTTAAAATTACGGGTTGAGCGCGTGGTCGGTGCGATCACTTTTCTGAAATAGTAAAAAATACAAAAGCGTGAAGTTAGCAACCAGTCATTTACTTAGTAATGATGTCAAGGAAGGTTTGGTTAACCGTTAACGTTAAATATATTTACACTCATTTTGAAATTTAAAACTAATGGAAAAAATTTCGCTTTCTCCACTATTATTGACTTAGTTATTTTATTTATAATTTAGTTATTAAGAAAGATTAACATTAAATTAAGTATTAAATAAAAGTATCACCTTTCCCAAACCCTAGCTGCTTTTGATTTGACCAATCCTTAATTAATCTAACTAATTCTAATGCTTATCTAATTAACTCTAAATATGTGCTCATGCATTATGCCTTATTATTGTTACAATTAATTATTATCAATAATATTAGTTATTAGCAGCAATGCAGAATAGAGAGAGTGCAATTACATGCTTAGTTAGCTTAGTTACTAAATTAAAACTTTAAATTAATTTATATCAACAGATTGTTGCTTTTTTCTATTTTTTCCGGATTATAGCATTGCTTGAAACCTAGCAAATAACTGTACCATTTGCTACCAATATATTTTCCATAAGATATCATTTAAATTAAAAGCTGAATAAATGTTTCTTTTAAAAGATAAAAAGACAACTACTTTATCAAAATGTTTTTTCTTTGCAAATTTTTTCCTAATAACATTATATTTGAATGCCGTAATAGACACTGTGACAAGAAGCATATCAACTGTAATGTTGCATCTCTACAAGGGAGTCTGAATTTATCTGCCAAAATATATAACAGACAATGAAATTTTTACCTGGTGTACCTGCCATCTAAATATTTGGCACTCTCATGCTACACATCTGTTGCTCCATTAGCAACTAACATGTATAATTTATCATCTTAAAGCTAAGTAGATAGATATTTTGAAAATGTTAAGACTAATATCATTTTTGTGTCAACCAATTTTGAATGTTTTTTCAATGATCTTCTTATTACCATGTTTTCCTTACATCGTGCCTAAAAATTATACATTGTTGAAAATGACTTCATGACTGTTGACACAAGTTGATAACATCATTCTAAAATATTAGTTAAATGTTGCTCTTGAGAATGAAATGCGATGCAGTCTTCCTGATTTGGCTGTCAAAAGCTCTATTGTTTTACTTTGCACATTAGAAAATTTAATATATCTTAGACATTTTTATATTTTAGAAAAGATAATCTCATTTTTCCTTATATTTTTAGGATGGGTCTCAATTTGCAATTCATTGCTAACTTCATGCTCTTGAAAGCCAACAATGCAATGCAATAAGATTATTTTTTGATGAAAACAAAACTTCAACATTTATAATTTAGTTCATTTTGTTTAACTAGCGTATTAAATTTATTTTAAAAAAATTGAGCCTACAATGGTGCAAATGTAATGAAAATATTGTTTTTTTTATCTTGTAGATAGACTTCTGTGACCAATGGCCAAACTGATTAAAAGTTTAGGTTTGGAGAAGACTTTCAATAGAAAGAATAATCAACTACAGCCAACAATTGAAAAGGGATCTGATGTCGAATCGTGCGAAGTAGCCACGTTGCAGAGAAATCGGTATTGTGGCTGGTCGGCTATTATAGATTTCCCCCAAAGAAGAAGACATTCAGAGTTCACTCAAAGTCAGAAATTAACAAATCGGCCCAACCAAAACTTCAAATGTGAAGATAAATTTAAAAAAGATTCCCTAGGTCCAAACATGCACGTATCTCATTTGGGGTGTTGCAATTCTCTGCATGCTACATCCACTGATTTGCCAAAGAAAGTTCTTCAAACACGAGCTTCAATCAGTTTTGATTCAACAGTGAGCTTCTACATTTTTTGACATTTCAATTAATATCTTTTGCTTTTGAAAAAATATAAATTAAAACAGCTAAGTTGCAATTAGATCAATTTATATTTGTTAATATTACTAAACATTTTTAAATTAAGTAAGGTGGTTCATCTTACATCAATCAAAATAACTTGCATGCAAAAACAAATTTTTATATAAATTTCAAGACAAATATTTTGGAATAATAAAAAATGAGTAGTTGCTATCTGATATCAATTAAATTAGCAACCCACAATCCTGCAGCATCCAAAGCTATTGGACTTTTATAGTGACCCAGCAGACGTGCGAAATGGCGATAAGTCACCTGCCAGCAGGTCCATGCACGTCACCATGCCAGATGAAGACTACAGTGTGCCTTACCAAAGTTTTTCTCTCTTATTTTCATAATTGTTGTTTAATGATTATTTTCAATAAAATTGTTCATTTTGTTATTTTTACGAGTCTAATTTAGTTTTAATTCAACTCTATTTACTGTAAATTATTCAAAATTATACATTTCATGTGGTTTATTAACCTTCATTGTGTTAAAGGTCTTCTAAAGGTCTTCATACAGGCAGCTGTATGAAGGGGCAAAGACAAAGGTGAGGGTTGGAAGGGGGATGTCGGACGCTTTTAGTGTTAAGGTAGGAGTGCATCAAGGATCAGTGTTATCACCGTTTCTGTTTGCAATTGTGATGGATGTTGTGTGTGGAAACATAATGGAGGGGTTGTTATTTGAGATTTTGTATGCAGATGATTTAGTCTTGATGGCTGATAGCATGGAAGAATTGCAGTTAAAATTTGACAGATGGAAAAGTGTTATTGAAAAGAAAGGGTTAAAAGTTAATATTGGTAAGACGAAGGTAATGGTGAGTGGGGAAGGTGGGGAACGAGTGATAAGTAAAATAGACCCCTGTGGGGTATGTGATAGGAGAGTGAAGGCTAACTCGGTATTGTGTATAGGATGTCAGAAATGGGTGCATAAGAGATGTAGTGGTGTGAGGGGGGCACTGAAAAAGGTGGAAGGCACGTTCAAATGTAAGAAATGTGTTCATGGTGTGATTAATAGGACGGACGCAAGGACGGGGTTGAGTGATGGCATTGAAAGAGTGGAAAGCTTTGTTTACTTAGGGGATAAGCTGAATGCGGATGGAGGATGTTTGAGCGCAGTTACGGCTAGAGTTCGTGTGGGATGGATGAAATTTAGGGAACTGGGTGGGGTATTGTGTGGAAAGAAATGGTCAGTGAAGATGAAAGGGAGGGTATATAAAGCATGTGTGAGAGCAGCGATGATATATAGTGGTGAAACTTGGGTGTTGAGGAGAGAGGAGGAAAGTGTACTGCAGAGGGCTGAAAGAGCTATGGTGAGGATGATGTGTGGGGTTAAAGTGAAGGATAGGAGGAGTAGTACAGAGCTGATGTCAATGATGGGACTGAATGAGGACATTGTGACATTGATAAGGAGATCGAGATTGCGGTGGTATGGACATGTGTTGAGAAGGGATGAAAGGGTCGGGATTAGGCGAGCGTTGGAGTTCGAGGTTGAAGGAGTGGTAGGAAGGGGTCGTCCGCGATTGGGATGGAGAGAGCAGGTGGAGAAGGACAGGGTGAAAGCGGGGTTGCGTGATACTGAGGCGAGTGACAGATGTGGATGGAGTCGAGGGGTATTTCGGTTTCATCATAGGTAGCCAAACGGCAACCCCCGATCTCGGGGAAAATGCCGTCTAAACGTGTGTTGTTGTTGTTGTTATTAACCTTCATTGTGTTAAAGGTCTTCTAAACTAGAACTTGCTAGTGCATATTATTGCTAAATATGTATATAATTTTTATTGAGTGCATCTTACTTCAAACAAATCTTGCAAAATTTTTTATTCTCTGCTAACAATTAATTTTTGGTTTAAATCAAGTAAAAAATTTAATGTTAGAACTTTAAATTAATAGCAAATGTACTTTTTATATGATATCTTAAAGATCATTCAGTTGTCCCATCATTATTTTTGTTTCATGTAGAGATTTTGTGCTGAACCACATCCTTCCTAATCTTCTAAATCTGTTAATGTTACAAAATCACCTTGTGTTGTGTTGTTGCAGTGTCAACAATTGATTATAACATTTATTATGCCATTGTACAACTTTTAGAACATAATCGATCAAATTTCTCATTGGTTGAGATATTTGATGTTCATTGTTGCTACATCCTGCCCCTGAACAGTTGCATGCAACAAAGAGGCCACCTATGAAGAACCCTGGGATCTGACGACTGCTGAACAAAATCTGTTCAATAAGATGTCGAGAAAAATTTCATCTTTCCCCAGCAAAAATAATTCTTCACGTGCTTCGAAGAAATCCTCTGCAACGGTTCTCGAAGCATCATCTCAAAGTTCAACAGACTTCAACACGCTGCACGGACCACCAATCAACGACATCGCAACAACATCTTCAAAGTCTGTGACCTCGACCTTGTCATCACTTTCGTCTGTCTTTTCACCATGCAGAGCAGCTTATCACCACAGATGTTGCAACCACACCTCCCACCATCGACATTACAGCTACCGACTGACAAAGCAAGAGAGGCAAAATATGAACAGTCATAAATGTATCAGCGCTCCACAGATGATCATACATCAGAAGGAAACGAAATGCAAATCTAAAGACGGTTTCTATTCTGTCGTTAATTTTTTAGAAAAATTTTCAGTGTCGTCGTTGAAGAAGTTGTGATATCTTAAATCTTTGTGTGCAATACACATTCCCGTATTTTTATCTGTTTATTGTATTTTGAGACAATGAAGTCGTGATTGTCTTCAATCGAAACATGTTTCAGGTTCAAGGCAGGACAACCAGACATCTGACTGCAGCACAATGGATGGCGTGCCGAGAGGAGATGCAGCTGATCATCCGCTTAACAAATACAGGTTTAACATTTTTTCTTCTTTTCTTCAAAATTAAGACTCAAGGGCACACAAAGCTTTCATTATTCAACCCAACTTGATGGTTGCGATATCATTTGAGTTCGAATGTTTGCGTTTGCTGTTTTTTTTTAATTTGAACTTAAACGTTCAGCAACTAAGTTATTTTCTACAAATAACAGTAGCAAGTTGTTTGTTTTTTGCATCTGTTGGTTGGATGTTTAAGATCTACAGAATGTTACAAATTTACAAATGTTTTATTTTTATACAAAATAAAATGGAAATGATGATTGCAATAAAAAAGTATAAACTTTTTTTTCAGTGATTGGAAATTATGTCATTTGTTCATATTTGCATGAAGTTATTTAATATTGTTTTAAAAGCATTTTATCAGTGATTAAATTGCTGCACTTGCGCTGCAGTTGGTTCCATGGACTGTTGAGCAGACAGGAGGCAGAACTGTTGCTGAGAGATAGCGTGGAAGGCAGCTACCTTGTGAGGATCAGTGAGAGCAATAATAAGGATTATTCACTCTCATTAAGGTTGGCGTCTCCATTACGAAAGTAGCATTCTTATTTTTGTTCGTTCTGTTGTTTTGAGATAACGTTGTAATTTGCAGAATGGCTGAATGTGGTTTGTGTTGTTCGCACGCACTCATACGTTGGTGTTGAATGAATGCTGTGGATTTTTTTTTTTGATTGTAAAAAAGATTATCATTGAATGATGTTGGCGTGCTGCTGACGAACGTTGATTAACACTCACTGGCTTGAAACAACATGCAGACGCTCTTCTTGTTGAATATTTTAAGTTGGACGACAGATTAGTAGTAAGTGGGAATGAAATAAGAATTTAAATGAAATTCGACGAGCCAGGAGTGACAGTGGCTACTTGCACATCAAGATCATCATCAGCTGCGATGACATGTTCATACTGGGACAGTTCAGCCAGCCGTTCGTCAGCGTTGCATCTATAATTGAATTCTTCGCAAGCAACAAACTGCCCATCAAGGGCACTCGCCACATCCTCCTCTCCCATCCAATCTCCCACCCCCACCACATCAGCCCCAAGAAAAACTGCATTGAAAAATAATTGTTCCCGTGTGATGTGGCCTGCTTGGGGATTCGCTTGTTTCCATTCGGTGTGGACCTGAGGTTACGGAATGTTCAGTTAGCTCAAACAAACAAACTTTGTTCTTGACAGCTTCATTCCAAGTTTACGTGGTTCTTTGTTATTCTCTCCGTCACAATTTATCAACCTGTTGTTGAATTGTTCAGTCAGTTCAATCACCATTTCGACGTTCATCAAATTAATCATGTCATTTGTATATCTATGTTTTATATATATATATATATATATATATATATATATATATATATATTATAATTATAATATATAATTTGTTTATATAATTATGTATATTATATATATATATGTATATATATATACATGATTTGTTTAATTGTTTATATTATCTATGAATGGTTTTTTTGCTATAGTATTTTATTATTTATTGAGAAGTTTATTTTAAGTTACATTGAACTTTAATTTAAATCTTCATAATGCTTGATCACGTCTTGAATGAAACGCCAGCAAGCATTGAAGATATATGATGTAATAGAACAAACAGCTGAACTTCATATAGCAATTCGTTGCATGTATCGCGAACTACTGGGTATGTACATGCTATGAATCTTCGTGGTTGAAAGGATTCTTAAATTGACGTTCAATTTCTTATAGTAATGACAACACAGCACAGCACAAAGCTAGACATTTCCAGGTTGCATCTTTTACTAGTGAACGTTACCGCTATGCATTTTTTAGAGTTTAATCTCTCGTTTTATTTTATTTATTTTTTCTTAATATCACGTAAGTTCATGTATCGATGTAAAAAATCGTTTTGTGTTTCGATGGTAATGTCATTTTTATTATTAAAATCGTTTGGCACACCTTTTTATTTTGATTCCACGTCGTCCCTTAGTCGCTTATTTTTCTATGCATTAAATACCTCTCCATTCATCAGTATTTTCTCCTTTACAATGTCGTGCTAAGTGTTGACGATTACAAAGTTATTTTACTTGAACTGTATAACTAGAAATAAAAGTACGAACTATGCATGTCTACAATTTTTGTTTGTATAATAATTTATTAATTGGTGAAAGATGGAAAATAAAATCATTATATTCTATTCAGTTGTCGTTCCTTAAATGAACATAAGCTCGACCAAACTACAATGTTTATATCCATTGATGTTTTACTACTATGCACATCCAATGTTGGTCCCGCACCGTTTCTGGGCAAGGACCTTAGTTTTGCTGTTTGATATCCAAGAAAAAGTACGACAAACATCAAAAACCCCATTTTGCTTAAAATAATGACTTCGATAACCTATTAAGCATATTTTGGGGGCTTAGGCACACATTCAATTTTCGAAACCATTGGAACCAAAAGAATACCAAATAGCTCATGGGTTATGTCGAGATCGCCACAGTTTTGGAATTTTTGCCCAGAATCTTATAAGTAATCTAAATTATAATTAGAATCTAATTATATGTCTGAGGCATGATGCCCGATATTTTTAAAGTAGCTTGTACGCCTTGTGCCGCTGTGCATTCTCGCCACCCGTGTTAACTTCGTTCGATACAATTTTAATTATTTTCATCGTGAAAACTCGACAACGTATTTGTTCCAAAAACATTTTCACCGCCAAATTAATAAAACTGACAAATTAATTTTTGTGGATAAAAATATTATATAAAATAGAAATAAGAAAAAGGCAAATTATGTAAAAAAAACGGTCAAACGGCAAACTGTGTGTAGTACAACCAATAAATGAGGTTGAAGATAACGAAACCGAGGGGGAACGCCTTTCTTGCAACTTTATCAATCGAACGAGCTTTCCTCCTGCTCTCCTCGATGTCTCGAGACTTGTCACACGATGTTGCGCCGTAGACTTCCTTGTTTTCCTTGCTCGGTTTGAACTTTGAAAAAAAAATTAAATTTAAACTTATGCACAATTTGTCAAAAAAATCTATAATTTTTTAAGCTTCTTCACCGACCAAAAAATGTGATAATAAGTTTTGTTCAAATATGGTTTGGTAATTTTTAGCAAGCGTTCTTTTCATGTTAGCAATTTTATTTGTCCTTTTTGCATTTTTTGCGTCAATGCTGATATTATTATTATGATATATTATTATTATTATAAAATTGTGAGACGTTGCTGTTAAATTTTTTATGAATCAACAATTTGTTTCAATGGAAAATAATTTGCTGCTACTAGTTTAGTGGGTTTAATGTGAAAATAGTACAGTTTTCAACTGTTTGGGAAATTGTTGAACGGTTAATCCAGGTTGATGCAAATTATTTGGCAAGCTATTGTAAATCATTGGACCTGCGACTAAAAAATGTAATGGATCATCGCACATACACACGCACAGACACACACACACATAAATAAATAAATATATATATATATATATATATATATATATATATATATATATATACGCATACACACGCTCACAGCTGTTACAAAAATTCGTGTTAACCCAATCAATATTTCCGGTGCTGCTGTCGATTTATGGATATCTGTTAAAAATTTGGGTATTCCATTTGATCAAACAATGGACCAGCATATCAGGGCACTTACTAAGGAATGTTGTTTTCAGCTTCGAAGACTTAGATTAAAATTGGATTACTGCTAGCATACTCCATTCCATTTTATGGAGTGTCCAATAAACAGATAAACTGATCGATCGTCTACAGTCTATTCAGAATCGAGTGGCAAAAATCATTTCTGGAGGATTGAAGTTTGACCATGTAAGGCACACTTTGACCTTCCTTAGCTAACAATCAGAAAAAGAATATTGTTCAAGATCGCCATTCTGGTGTTTTAATGCCTAAACGGTTTAGGCCAACACTATCTGTCTAGAAACAACAACAGCTCATCGTGTTTCGACACGTTCAGACGACAATTCTTTTTTCGTCGATGCCGGAGATGCGGTTGGTGGCGACCACTTGCGGTTTTGCAGTCTGGAACAGTTTGCCGGACCAGGATTGACTGTTCAACAATTTCGTAAGGAACTAAAAACGTTTTTCTTCATGCATCTATTCCACTAGAAACGCCTCTGAGTAATATTAATGGGCGCTGCATAAATTCTCTAATTATATATATATATATATATATGTATATATATGTATATTTATATATATATATTACAGACGACGTGTATATTACTTTGTGTATGCTTTAAATGTCACGCATCTGTGTTATTATATATGTTGCATTGTTTATGTATATCCGGGTGGCCGCAATAAATCACTCTTCGAATTAACATCAGGTCACTCTCCGCCAACGTGTTCATTATTGTGTTCATTATTTCCTAGTAGCCGCGCGTAGATCATAGTGATTGCAATATTTATTTGCTTGAAATTGTTGTTCCATCAAACCTATCTGTTGATAACGTTGAAATATTCTTGCCTATATCTCCCACGACGAGCTTAGTGAATATTTTTTTCCATTTTTTCTTTGCAGATGCACAGCGTCGTATAATTCTGAATAATAGAAAAATTTACCTTTTTTTTCATTTTGCGGATATATTAAAACTTTTGACTCGTAGCAGAAGTTTTGTCGCCTATTGACTAAAGATGCAACGAATTATGAGTTTGACAGAATAGTCAGTTGATTGAGCCAATATTCGACCGAACACCAAAAAATTTGCAATTATGAAAAATTTCATTTTTTAAATTGAAAAACATGCTACAGAAAAAACAGTCAATGATTCACGTCTGTCCAACAATTCTTTATCGAGATAATATTCAATCCCTCGTTCAAATTCAGTTTTGACAACTACGATGGACAAAATAAATTTCCCGCTAATAATAATCAATCAAACTTTTGTTCTGGAAATTTTAAATGTGACGGCTTAAACTGAAATAGCGCTCTTTGACTTTTCGGCTTTTAAAAATGGCGTAGTCGTACGCCCAATTTTGGGCGGATGGTTGCAAGCCGAGTGGTACGTCTCTACTATCAAATCCTTATTAAAAACAACAAACTTCATTAAAAAAATCTGAACTACATCATTCTAACCTGGAAAAGATGGGCAATGTAATCCAGTAGATTGTGACACTGTAATGAAATATTTCAACGAATGTAATTTAAACTTTAGTGTTGAAACTTAGCGATGTTTTGAAAGCTTATGTAACTTATTAAAAATGTCTCAAAAAATAATATGGAAACATATGAAAGGAGCAATATTAACTTATTGAAAAGAAATAAAAACCAATTTTGAACGTGCATTGTTGTTTGTACTGTGGCAAAATTCATCGTTCGCACCGCTACTCTGGTTGGTTGCCCTGAAAAGTGACGTCATAGTGTGGATGTGCAAACGATTTTCATTGGTTGATGAGGGGCGAACTGATCTGACCTTCCTGGAAACAACGTTGACCACTGCATACTCGATGAGTGAAGCGAATACAAAAACAAGACAGACAATCATCCACACATCTATGGCTTTTATGTACGACACCCTTGGCAAAGATTCTCTAAATATTTGTTCAATAAATAGAAATAGCGCTTGCATAGTGCATACATTTGAAAATATGAATTCAGTAAAAAAACGTTGAATTATAAAAATTGCTTTCATAATTTTAAATTTGAAAATTGCGTTACAACTTTCTAAACTTCTGAACACACCTGGCGCCCCCACTCATTGTTGTGGTTGTTAGGACAGTGAGGAGGCCGAGAGAGACGCGGGCAGGCGAGGCATCGATGTTGATCCAGAAGGACACCCAGGAGAGGATGACGATCAACATGCTGGGTATGTACACCTGGATTATGAAAAAACCAATGTCCCTGTGCAATACGAACTCGAGAGAGAGACAGGAGAAAAATCCTGCAATGATGAAAATGCAGCAGTTCACGTTTATTGTAGAAGTACCTTAATTAATGAATTAATTAATTAAATCAAGTAATGCATAAAAGTATTTTTGAAAAACCACGTTGAAAAATGAAGTTGATCTTATGTTCAATTGAAAAATTTGAATATAAATTTTTCTTTGTTTGACTTATTTTAAGCATGTTGGAGTCGGTCGAAAAATATCCGAATCCAATCCTCCGGCCCCTCAGAAAAATCCGACTCCAACTGCGGGCAAAAGTTTTCCGATCCCGACTCCAGAAAAATTCCAAAAAATTTTTCAACTTTTGCATTATAATTTTACCTTATTATAAACTACTAAATAAAAAATATTTTAAACAAACAGTTCAAATTGGTCAATTTGATTGTTTTTACTAGTGAAATTAGTTTATTTTTATGTTTTACAACAAACTGAAAGAAAATTATGTGATTTTATTCACATTATAGCATTTATTTTCAGTACTGATGACAATTGTTTATCGCTACATATATTTATCCTCTAAAAAAACACAATCTTAAAAAAATTTAGAAAAAAAAATAAAATTTTTTAAAAAATAAATGACATTATCCGACTCTGGAAAGTCGGCAAAAATCTGCGGCTCCGACACTCAGCTTATTTTCATCGTTCTAAAACAAATTAAGTTGAGGCACGGATAACGAAATCTAAATGGGTGATGATCGAAAAAAATGTTTGGAAATTTTTGTCTAAGTTCTACATTAGTTATAGTAAGAATCGCAATAAAAAATTATTGCGATATTTGAAAATTATTGATTAATTTACAAAAATTTGACTCAGGCAACCATTCAATAGAATGGAATATTTTTAGCGGAATTAAACGACTGAAGTTGGTAGACATCAACAACTCAAATTTGCCAAATTAACTACCAGATTTTATTTTAAAATTAATAAAATTTTCAAAATCAAATTAAACTTTTTATTAGAACAAAAATAACTATTGATAAATCTAACGATTCAAACAGAGGAACTCAAAATAGGTTACCAAATTCAATGTAAGCCTCTCAAACGCACACACTTTTCAATTCATCACATTTTTAGCTTGTTATTGAAATACTTTATTGAAATTGTTCTTCTATATTCACTATAGATAAGACTGGAAATGTTCGATTACTTTAACCTTGAAGGCAAACAACAATGGTGTTATCATTTGATGGAGAAACTCACTCTAAATTAGCAGTTTGAGTTGGTTTCCTTCTCATTTATTCAACTTACTTTTAAAAATTAAGTTTCCTTGACGTGTGTGCATCAATAATGACACAACAACCGCTTTAAAATTTTGAAAACTAGAGATAAAAACAGGTTTCTTCACTAATTTGATTTCAGTGGGTCGAAATTGTTAATTTGATTGTTGAACTAAGCAACACAAAGGAGTACATTTTAATAATTTCAACGAAGCAACATCAAATGAAAGTTTCATTCCAGCATGAACAAAGAGAAAAACATAATTTGACGACGAAATGTTGGAAGAAAACCTGCAGTATAGTTTTGCGAACAGTCGTCTTCCAATGTTTTTATAAGTGAGAACTGTGGCAATTCGAGATTTTTTTCAATTTCGATGGAGTTGTTGAACCACGTGTAATACATGGTATCCATTGTATTGCCAACTGTTTAATATTTCCGACATCAATCACAAAAAATAATTTTTAATTGAATAATTAAATTACAATTCAAGATCACATTTCTAATTGAAGAAAAAAGGGAAATAATTTAAAATCGCAGAGCTCTCCTAGCATGGCACTCACTCCAACTTTCGCATTCTCACAGCGTATACACGTGCGAGCAAGGCACCACACAAGTGTATTGTACACCGGTTGGCTCGGTTTACATTTGAATGACGCTGAGACCAGGCATCCAACTACCACTCCATCTCTTCGCCCAAGAAAATAATATTTTATTAATTTACCACCAAACGCGGAGCTAATAATTTTATTATTTAGAAAATAATTTTTAGCCCATTTTTAAAAAAACTTAAAAAAAAGCAGTTGAAACTTAAAAAGAACATTTTTAAGTTCACTTTTTTTTTTCAAAATCTAACTTATATCATATTCTTAATACATTTGTTAATTTTTAACTAATTTAAAAACTGGCTTATTTGTTGAAACATTATAAACTTTGACATTTCTTATCTATTTATTTTCATTCACAAATTTAGCAAAATTTCAAAAAATTGAAAGCCTCGCTTGTTTTTTTTAAAATAACTGTAAAGAAAGTATTACATTGAAAACGTGCAATGCTGCTTGTGTTAATCTTACAAAGTGTGGAGACATCTCACTTTCGAGAAATGTGCCGAGGTTGCATTTCTGCAAAGAATGCAAACAATCACCTAGAAGCAATAATTAATCACCACACCCTCCTTCATCTGGTCCTCTGCTCTGTGGAATGGAATGTTATTCGAGTGGGTGTCGTCAATGCCACTCTGGCTTCCGGCTAATGTTTATAATGAGAAGAACACGATAGGACAATTGCAGTATAAAATTTCACGGCTGAAACACGCGTTGGTTAGTTACATTTGAAAATGTTCTGCTAGAAACGAGAAGCAGACTAACAGCTCTCAAACATCATCTGACACGTCTGCGTGTCCAGCGGGTACTTCTGCAGCTTCATCATGCAAGACAGGGTGGCTGTTATCCTGCACGTGGATATCAAAGTTAGAAAATTACATTACAATGTAAAAATGGCTTTGTATAAAAACGTTTAAATAAAAAACAACAATAAAATATGGAAATGTATTTTCAGCAAGATTAAAAAAAACAAAAAATGTTGTTGTTTCATAATTGCGACTTAAATGACGAAGACAATAATGATAACACTCTATTAATGCGTTGAACAGCAACATCGTTTCAAGAAGGACATGACGCAGTGGCGTGTGACTCCTTAAAAGCATTCCTTCAACGTTTGGTAATGTTTGAACAGGCAAGCAACAAATTTGTGTGTGTGTTTTTTTTTTGTTCAGAAAGAGCAAAACTTTTTAAAGCTAAAAGGTGCACATTAGCAATTAGCATTGACTTACAGCGATGCCAAAAGTTTGAAAGAAGAGAATAAATATCTTTCCTCACAATGAGAATGAAATTAAATATAATTAAAATTGTTAAAATCGGTAAATAAATAAATATAATATAATTGAATATATGATAACCGAACTGAAAATTTCTTAATATAAGAAAATACTATACTGAAAAATTAAAAACCTAAAGACGTGAAATCCATAGGAGGTCCATGATACACACACACACACACACACACACACACACACACACACACACACACACACACACACACACACACACATATACACACACACACACACACACACACACGCAACACACACGTACATTCATACATAGGTACACACACACACACAAACACACACACACCAAACTTCTTCAGACATTTACATTCACGACCGTCCAACTGCATAAATTTCAATCATCTCATCTCATCTTCCAACATCAATGCATCTCATCCGGCATAAGAACGACATCCTCACAGACGACCCTAGCCTTCCAAACGAGAACATCAAGCCAAGCATCTCAAAATGATTGCTTATGAATGGAATTTAATCATGGTTCTTGTGATTAGGAACATTTTGTCCAAACAATAAAAAATGAATTTGAATTTATAAATTTTTACCTTAATGGCTGAATTGAAATATTGAATTAAATCTAAATAAAACACAAATAAGAAAAATAACCAAATAATTTATGATTAGGTTGTTTAAATACTTGAATAAATGAAAAAAAAATAAAAAGTATAACTATTCACTCAGCACATCCACTCAACATATTCATACTTACTATAGATCAGAAACTTGGAGCGACATTCACCAGAGTAAACAAACGTCTATGAGATTGTTTACAAAACAACACGAACCGAAAATCATCCTTACGAGTGAGTTTATTTTAGAGCAAGAAAGAACGAACGCTGGAAAGAGACCGACTTACTTGGTGACGTACCACATGTAGCCGGTTGTGTTCAGCCTCAGCAGGCGATTCTCAACTGTCACCTCGTGGAAAGTGGCTCGCTTTTCGTTGCGGATGAAAGTGTCGGGTATCCAGATGTATTTCCACAGACCGTTGCCCAGCCTGTCGAGTTGTAGAGTATTTATTTGCATGCATCGACAGGAGTTTTCACGCCGCACACGAGGAGCGACGCTTTCGCACGATTGACAAAGTGGCAATTCATTAAATTGCTTGAAGAAAACAAACTAAATCTGTCTGCTGTCTAATAAGGATGTAAGAAAGTTGGAAGGATTATTTATTAAGTAAAAACATCCAGCCAGTAACTGATGAATAAGTAATACATGAACAAATAATTGGAAACATTTCAATATTGGTACTGCGCAGTTTGTAAGACAAGTTGGAAAAGTTTGACTCGTCTCCAGCCTAACGACTTTTGTAAATTTTTAAATTTAATAATCTTTCAAATGATTTGTAAAAATTGCTCAAATTAACTTGCGACATTCGCGCTAACCATCTTTGCAAACAAATTATAAAATTCGCGATAAATTTAATGGAAGCAATAAAACACTTTTTAACGTTTGTAGGTGTTAACGAAAAAAGTGCACAATTTGACCGCCCACCTGACTGAGATAGTTTTCCTCGAGAGGGGGATATAGCAGAGCCTGGGGTCCCTCCAATGCTGCCTCAGGTACATGCTCACCGAGTAGTCCTACGTAGGAGGCACCATTAATTTATTAACAAAGTTAAAATTCCATAAGAAACGTAATGCTTCTAACTGAATGCAAAATAAAACAGGAGTCACAGATTGGTGTTCTACAGCACCATATTAGTATTATTTCTCCATGCTGATAAACCTTGACCCCTTCACGTCACAACTCATCTAACAATTTAACAGCACGTGAAGGTTTGTAATATTACAGAGCTTGCAAAACTAAAAAATAAAGATTATCTCTATCAAACTTTAAGTCTGTGTGTTCATAATGTGGTGCCTAGCAAACAATATTATTATTGCCTGGGAGTGAAAGTGTAGAGTTATTCTCACCATTCTTCAATGTACACATTATGTTTTATTACAATAAATTTATTAGTGAATTAAAACCTTTCAGAAACATTTAACTTGGCTTAATCAGCGTTACACAACTCCAGTAGCACTTTTTGAATCGGACAGCCAGTGCAAGAAGTACGGACCATCGCGATGCAAGGAGCAAATGACATCATGCAGCATGTTGGCACCCAACCTGGCTTTCCAATAACAACTTCCGATGAAAAATCATTTGAAACATTCCGACTATTTAGCGTTGCACGTTAAAAATACATAGCACTGTTTGCGTATTGTGCTGAGTATTTTTAGTGACACTTACCGAATTGCAGACGCTGAATAGCGTAAAATAAGTGCAAAACCGTTAACAATCAGTGCGTGGCTTATAGTTTTTGGTTACTATTAAATTTGTGATGCGCCCACATAAATTGATTGCAGATGCAATGAGTGAATGATTGAGAGATTGAGAGATTGATCATCACATTCCTTGAGGAACGTCCAATCAGTTTTTGGCGGTCATTCAACTTTTTGCATATATATGAGACATTACGCATAATAATTAAAATAAATGTGACATTCTCATTTTTTTGGAATATTTTTCAGAAGTAATATAAATGGAATATATTTTGTCATTTAATTGCAGCTAGTTGCCAACTGGTTACAATTTATACTTAACATAAATACTCAAAATTGAATCATGAATGTCTCCTAAGTTATCTCATTAATGCAAATAGCAATGTCTGTCGTCTAAAATAAATGGAACACATTTCCTGGCGCAAATGCAAATCGTTAATTGATTTCATTTTAAAAGAATTAAGCTAATAAAAAAATTTAAAAACGTACTACATAAACTACATAAAACAAACAATTGTTTGCGTTTTAAATGCTTCTCGTTAAACTCGTGCACAGCTGTGCAACATACTTGAGCATTTCTCGTCGGATGTTGCATTCAAACAGAATTGTGTTTTCGAATTCTGTAGAAAAATTTGCTTGCACTGAAAAGCGGGCACTCGATAACAAAATGCCAATTGCACATGCTATCATAAAAATAACAAAACCAGCATTAAATATAAAATAAAAAGTTATCGCAAACTTCATCGATTCATACATAACTCGTACAAAAACTTTACCAGCTGACTATCGTGCAGTAAACTCATATTCAAACTATTTCGAACTGAAGATCATACACCGTTCGAAACTATTCATTAAAATTTTGCAATCATAAAGTATGTAAAAAAATTTGCGATATATTTTGAGCAATTAGAGCACCCAATTCTATACAGCTGCGCGTTAACGATGGCTGGCTTCCTATACACTCTGTCTATATATTTGTTCCATATTGTACATGGATTTATGATGCAACGCTACTTTCAAGTCCTACAATGATTAACGATGCCTAATAAATTACGCAACCTGCTGTGGCCTTAAGGGAATAAATATTTCTAATCTTTTAATCTCAATATGCCTTATTTGTGCATTCAGGGCTACGTTCAAAATACTCTTATCACAAAATCATGCATAGCAAGCGTGAAACATTTCAGTGTTTCACAACACGTCTCTGAAACATCCCAATGTCTCCCAACACGTTTCTGAAACATTCCAATGTCTCACAACACGTCTCTGAAACATTCAAATGTCTCACAAGACATCTCCAAGAACGGCGCTTAATACGAGCTCGAGCAGCTTTCACGCGGGACAGCATTCCTAATAAAAGTGTCGCAACGGATTTTGGTAGATGTTGCTAACAGCCCTTCGTATCAGAACATTTTTAAAAGTAGACACTTTTTATTTATTTCACTGAGATGTTTTTCGAGTTTTTTAGTCCCAAAAAAGTGTTCAATTTGGTGCTCTTTTGTATTAATTTTCTTGTCATTCAATTAAATTTACAATTTAAAATTGTTACATTAACTATTACGTATAAACATCAACAAAATATGGAGTCGTCGCAAATATGTTTGAAAACAAAGAAGCTGTAGTGGGTTGAAATAACCCGGAGTACAAACGCCAAATTCAACAATATGATTTGTGAAGGTAAATATTAATTTTCTTTTGTCTGTGCCCCAAGGCATTAGAGTTTTCAACCAAAAGTTGCCAAATGTGATCATGCAAGGTTATCTATTTTTAAATTTTAAAATGTCTGTAATTGTTGTCAATTAATTGAAAAATTTAATTCAAAATATTTAAAAACATGCTTGCTTACTAAAATTAAAATTAAAATTCCAGTAGGGTTGTGAGTTTTGGAAATATAGGTGACATGAAATATGGATAACAAAGTCGGGCACATAATTGATTTGTTTCGGACTAAATAGATAAATTAGGCAATACAACAAACAATTAGGGCAACAAAAGAATTAAATAGGCAGAAGCACAGAACGTGTAGTAACCATCGTCTGCTCGCTGATGGAGAAGAAACTGTTGATGTAGATGCCGATGTGCACTTCAGTCGGTCGATCTGGCAAAATAAATGTTAGTTCGTTAGAGTCTGTAAGGTGCAAAATTTCAATTTAAATTATAAGAACAACTCCTTTTTGCAAAATTTGAAGTAAAACAGTGAGGCTTTAAAACATGCATTAATTTATGAAAAAAATTCGTTGGAACGTCAAAAATGTCGATTGCATTCAGCGAAACCTTTCATCGGGGGTTCGTCGGCCTTGTACCCGCCAAGAAGCTCGTTGAAGAATGTTGACATGCTGTGGGACGGTGAAATGTCATTAGGTAAATTTGAGAACAATTTGTGAATTGCGCGCTACCATTTTGAAAGTTTTATTCATTCTCAACTGACCAGCTTGTATGATGTAATATGCTTTTTTCAATTGAGTGACAATCAAAATTCGGTTTATGGTAAACATAATATGGTAAACATTTTATCAGTTCGTCGTATGTTATAACATTATTAATTATGTTTTGATCATTCAGTTATTTCTAAATGTAAAGGTAATAAAAAAAACACCAATAAAATAAATATCAGAACAGCTAACAAAAGATAAAATAAAAAAAGACAAAAAAGAGAAACAAAAGCATGAAAAGTTGAAATTCCAACTGAACAAATAAGAGCAGGAAAACTATCTAGTGCTGTTTTAAATAGTTCACGAAATGTGACCGAAAATTTGGAAAACTGAAAATGCTAAAAGGATAGATGCAAGTCAGTACGATTTCTAAAAATGTTGAACTGGGAAACATTTGTAGGGTAATAACTATTATTATCATTATATAGCACACTGTCATAACTTCACGAAGTCTAAAAAACAATTAAATATTCGCTTTATTTATTATTTTTAAAACACGTCACTTGTCTTGCATGTTGCCAAAAACGCCGCACGTTTGCCAATGAAATTAAATGAAATGAAAACTTCAGCGAAATTATTTATTTGTTTCCTATTCAATGTTGTAAAACTTTTATGATGAGACTTCACATAATTATTGATGACTATTTAACCTATATTTATGTTAATGTATTGTTGGGAAGAATTTATATTTTTTTAAACCTTTTCGAGCAAACATTCTATTTATAACTTAACATTATCGAGAAAATATATAATCAGGCGAATGTTTGCGCGAAACCTCTGGCAGGCAAAAACTTCGCGTTTAAAGTCGCGCTAAATTATTGTTTGTACATTTTCTTTTTAATAAATTAACAAAAATTCCACAAAATGTCAACAAGTTATATATTTCTAATGGTAGTTTTAAATCGGGGATGGTAATTAATTATTTTTCTTTTAGAGCCTTTCGTTCTAAAAGTTTTCGTTGAAAGAAATAATAAAAAAGTGTTAATGAAAGTTTTTTTGTCTGGAGAGATTTGTTTGAATGGTTTTGTCGCAGATTAGTGTCCGGGAAGCTCTTGTTTCAGAACTTCTTACAGCAGCTTAAAATATTGTAAGCACGCTATCCGACGATAGACAAATTTGGGGATTGTTTACTCTATTACGGGTTAGAAGAAAAACCAAGATGATGGATTGAAAAAGTTTTTTATATTTTAAATTCTTAAGTAGAATTTGAATTACAAAAATTTAATTTGGTACTGAAAAAATATAAATTTGAAATGATGTTAATAAAGCTGTAAATTTCTAGTATATATATATATTATTTATTTGTTTCTATATATATATATAAATTGATACTAAAAATATTGTAAAACGTCACGGAGTTTCGATAGAAAAAGGCTGTTGTTCATCACACGTTCGACCATTCACGATGTTGTTATATTGGAAGGTAAGCATTGGCCTCATCTTGAAGCAGCAATCAATACATGCAAATCAATCTCGGCCACCAGCTGGCATCTGTTCAGGCAAACAGAAAGCACAAGTGCACCAAGATGCTTTCTAAAGCAAATTATTTTTTGATTTCTACGTATTTTTGTGGTTAAAATGCTATTATGCTATTATTATAAATTTTTGTGCTATTATGATGCAATTTTTTATAAAGTTCTATAGTTTGTCAATTTTCAGCAACATGCTCTTCCAAACTCTTAGCAAAGAAAAGATTTAATTAAGCTTGAAAAGTTAGATGAATACGGTGAATGAATTCAATTGATGGCCAACAACATCTTTCTGCAGTTATAAAAGTCAGACAATCAGCGTCTATTTCATTAAAAATGAATAAGTATCGAAAAGCAAAAATAAGCCAACCCACTTAGAACATTAATTAGAATAATACAAAAATGATATTTGATCTAATTTTAGCTTTTTTCCATTCATTTTCATGCATTTACAGTTATGCTACAACATTTATAATTTGAAATTTCAATAAAATTCAGATAAGCGATTTTCAACCTACTCAGTCCCGCGATCCCTTCAGTACCATGAACGTGGTGTGGCAAACCACTTGAAAACAATTATTTTGGTTCATAGGTTTAATTAATGTTGAAACTCACAACCTCGATGACGATTCCAACAACCACAACCTGTCTGCTCTGTTAACTTTTTTTACGATTTCAACAAAGTTGTTTGTTCGAACTGATTACAAAGACAATCATTTATTTTTATTTCAATATACATAGATTTTTTTTGAAAAATGTTCAACCAGATTATATACACATTTGGTTCATGACTTGCTTCAATCAATGGATGAACCAAAGAGAGTTCAAGTTCCTCTTCAGAAAGTTATTGCTGGTGAACTAAAACCGATTTTAATGCTTGGTTTCAAAATTGCGTCAATTTTGCTGTTTAAAAGGCAATTAAAATTAACTGGATATGTAAAAATCTATCATTCCTTTAAAAATTTATAACGTTGCATTTTCATTGCAACTTTTTTGGTTTTTTTATCAACTTATTTCTTTGTTTTTTGTTTTTTTATCATCTTCAATAATTAAATTTGTCAGAAATTTTTTTGTGCAATTCGAGTTTGTGTCAATGAATCTGATCGTGCGTATATAAAACCAATATTGTTTTAAACTATTATGATTACTATATGTTTTGACTCAATGAATTTATCATTAACTGTTAATCTGTGTTTTGAATATTGTTAATATTTTATAATCATATTCATTCACTGTGTTGCGCCGTGTTTCGTTGACAGAATATACTAGCGTTGGGAATCGAACTTTTTTGCGACTCAGTTCGGTTCAGTTTGGCTAAATTTAATGTTTGAGTTCGATTCGTGTTTTGATGGAATCCCATTTTTAAAATGTGTCTCACTCTGGATGTTTTTTCCAGATGGAAACATTTTTGCTTCCTTTTTAAAACAGTTCAACCCTTAACTTCAGTTAACGTTTATGATCTATTGGCACTTATGACAGTTTGTTTCTTTTTGTTAGTTAGGTGGGTCCTACAATCTTTGCTTTCAGTTAAATGGAGTGAAAAAGAAATATAAGCGTTGAGATGAAAGTAATTGTGAATGTTTGAATGAACATATAAATAAAAAAATACATGTGTAGTTGACGAATGAACAATTGAATGAATGAATGGATTGAATGAATGAATGAAAAAAATTGAATGGATTTAGTGAATGATTGAATAAATTGAATGAATGATTGAGTTAATTAATTAATCAATAAACGAATGAATGAATTGATAAAAATTTGGTTAAAAGTATTTTTAATAAATTAATATTTTGTCTTATCGAAATTGAAAAATGAAAAATAAATAGATAATATTAATAAAAACCTCTTTTTCTCTCTGACAGAATGTCTCTTCCTCCAGTTGTTTCGTTGCATATGAGATGGTTTGACTATCAAGGAAGCCAGAAGGTAAGTATTCAACAAGATCCTAATAAACATCATCACATCCATGTTTCAGAAGGAAGAGGAGATATGCATATGATATGATGGAAAGATATTTTCATCGCTGTCTCTACATTTGCTTAAAATTAGCTTAATGCAATCGTTTGAAGGATGCCCGAAAACTAGCACGCAGAACCACTAAATGATGTTTGGTAATTTTCATATATGTATTTTGATTAATAACCCAATTGAAAATTGTTATAAGTGTTATTCTTAATTCTATTTATGTCTTGATTAAACGTTACGTTTATTAAATTAATTTTTTTTAATTTAAATTTCTCAACAAATTAATTTTTGCCTTTTCATAAAACATGTTGAAAAATAAATTCGGTTAAAATAAAATTATCCTGAAAGAATTCAAATAAATTTCCTAGCAACTTGATAAAACAATTTAAAACATTTTATATAAGCGACCACTCGTGTACACATACGTGAACAACTAACTGTGCGTATACGCAATCCTTCGTATGTTACGCGCCGCATCGTGTTGTTGGAGTGCTTGTACAACGTGTACGTTATTGTGCCCAGCAAGCATCCTCTGCCGAAAATTTTTCGTTTATTTTGATACATTATTCACTTAACTGTTTTCTAACATTTTTTCAACGATTTATATATATTACTATATTATTATTACTATTACTATATTAATATTACTATTAGTTCTTGGGGTTTGCTCCATATTTTCATGAGTGTTTAAGCGCTATTATGGAGTTTGATTTCAATTCAATCCACTTGAATCATTCAATTTATTTCAATCCAATCATATCCAGTTCAATTCATTTTAAAAATTATATTAAAGTAATTTGAATCAACATGTTTCATATTCAACATTTCTTCTTCACAAATATTCCAATGAATATTCATTCGTCAAATCAACATTTCAATGTTCATGTGACGTAACGATAACTTTCATTCGTTAGACTGTCAAATCAATTCTGAAATCGTATTTCATTTTTAATAAAAATTTATTTCATCCTTAATTTAATATTTAAATTTGTGAACATAAATTAAACAAAACGATTAGTTAAGATTTTTGTCACACATTTGTAGACGACGCTACATTCAGTGGTTCAGTTTACGAACGACACTTGCACGTGTGTACGCTTTTAAGTGTCAAACTCTTTCCTGCTAAATTATCTGTTTAATTGTTTTATTTTAATAGCGCATTCAACTATTTTTCACAATTATTTTGTCTTGTAAATTAACAGAGTTGAATTATTCGTTGTATTATTCAAATTTTTGTAGGACTTGCATAAATATTAAAATTATTTTAAAATTATTTTTATAAACAAAAACGATTTTAATATATTCATTTTACAAAGATGGTGAGTTATTTGAATGGGAATTATTTCAAAGCAGAAGAAAACTGAGAGAAGAGTTGAGCGGCGACACACACGCAGGCAGCACCAGCTGACTGACTGACGGACGTGTGTCACGAGAGAAACATGCACCCACCCACCCAACCTGCTTGCTGTGTGCTGTCGCTCTCAACGTTTAAATGCATCATTCAAATCTTTTGAATTTCACGTCGTCCTTGTAATGTAAGCATCATTTCTACTGCTATTATCTGCTAATTTATGTCCAACCAAACGCAACGTCTGCAACTTTTTAAATATGCTTCTTCTACTGACATTTAGTTTGCTGCATATTTTATTTGTAATGCGAACGTTTCTTACTCCTTCCCAAGCTGACGGCGACTATTTGTGCTGCGAATGTGAAACTAATCGTACAGATTTGTGGTTCATTGAGCCGGGAAATATTAAAAGCATGAAACTGCAGATAGATTCGGATATTAAGAAATTAAATTATAGGAATACTTCATTCACCGTGAAGCAAATTGACGAGACGAAGGTTGTGCGCGTTCTCGCCCTGCTTCCGAGCGTGAGGACAATCAGGACGACCTCCTTCCTCATGGCCCTGCAGAGGATCGCCCCTGCAATCGATCTCGCCGTACAAAATGTCAACACCGGAGTGCTCCCTCCCTACTACCAAGTAACTTCCATTTCACAAATTTTTAGATTAGATGTTTTTTGAAATTTTCAGCACTTTTTTTCAAACAAATTATCTTTCAAACATTTTTTATTTCGGTCATTATTTTTCCTGAGTAACAAAACAAAAATTATAGTTTATTTAGGCGGATATATATTTATTTAAAAACTATTTAATTTATTTATTTATTTAGTATCAATTACACGAGTTTTCCATTCCAATATTTTTGCTAGTTGCACAATCTTCATAACTTTTATTGAATTTTACTTTTACGAGATGTTGTGTTCAGTTTATTTGTTAGAACTATATATCTACGACAAATGAAATTAGCTCACAAAGGAGCGCAACGGAAATATCAGCTAGGGAGTGCAATTAAATTTCTACAGTAAAATAATTCCGTATAGAGATTTTGTATAAAATTAATTTTATGTTATGATGAAAAAAGGTTGCACTAGTTGTATGATCATAGCATACAGCGATCATAACGAATGGAAATATATTTCATGAAATTGTCATTCGAGAAATTTACATCTGAAATCTTCGTTATTTTCATTAAATGTTTCAGTGACATTTATTTCTTTTTCATATATTTTTTTATGGTTGGTTACGTTGTACCGTAGTTAATCTGAGATTATTTTTTAATTTATTTAAAATATTCAAGTAAGAGCGGATCAGAATAATCTCTAAACAAATTTTTTGTCCAGTTCTTTAAAATCTCTTCCATATTTGTTTTGTGTCATCCACTTTGTTTCGGTTTTACTTCATATTCTAAAGTTCTTTCCGCCCAATTTTAATCCTATGTAAACACATTTTAGCGACTTTAACTTTTCACCATCAACGACAAAATTTACTCGCGATTTTTATTATTACACGACTTTTCTGGACTATGGTATCACAATGTAACTGTGATAGCCATGTATATGGACATATATTGAATATTATGTCCATGGTAATAGACTGTAACGTGTTTCCTTTATTTGGGTAGTTTAAAAATAACTTGAACTGCTCCAGCAATGAATTATAATGAATTTTAAATGTTGATGAATTTATTATAAATTATAATAACAATAATTCAAATATATATTTTTTTATTCCTTAATAACCCAGCAAATAGATTTCAATTATATATAATAGATGTAGCGAGAATTTAGCCTTTCCAGTTTTATTTATAGAAGAGGATCGAAAAAATCAATTTTATAAAATTCCTTTAAATTATAAACCACTCATTCAAAATAGATTGTATTTAAAAATGTACGGATCGGATTTGTCAGCAGTTTGTTGAAGCGTTTGAAGACGGGCGGGTTGTTTGCAGTTAGATGCTCGCTCAGCCAATACAAACATTATTCGCTTCGATTGATAATCTCTGTATCAATTTTGTTTCGTGTGTTTAATGGTTTCAGATACAGGTACGGTGAAAAAAACTTACTGTTGAATTTTAGAAATGATTAAATTTTTGTGCTGTTTGACGCTGGCTATTAATTTTTAGTGCTCTAAATCACGGCAACTATATTTTTTAAATAATTCGACTTCGATCAAGGTTGCACGTGTTAGCATTATATGCGTTTAAGCTTTTATTGAACTGAGTATTTCTTGGTAGAAATGTTGTCAATTTTGATTTTCAAAAAAATTGATATTTCTTGGTGTAATTCAAATAATTGCGAAAATTAAGATTTCATGCTATCTTTAACATTTTATCATTTATAAAAAAATATAATGAAAATTAAATAATTTGTAGAATAAAAGTAAAAAAGATCTGAAAAGTTTGTTCAAACTGGAAGTCGTGTACCGCGATGATGGCTGCCAGGGCGCCAAATCTCTCAACCATGCCGTTGAATTCTACAAATACGGTTACTAAATATTATATATCCGTTATTATTTCTGAAATATTTCTGAAACATTTTTCAATTTTTTTTTTAAAGTCGCTCTTTAAAATAGTTACTGTCAATGAAATGTGTTGTGTAGTTAGACAGGACATGGACCAAATAATGCCATTACATATTGCAACGCAGGATTGTGTTTTCATGTAATTTATTCCAAATATTGTATCTTAATAATTTAATTCGATGATCATTGTAACTTATTACCAGAATTTTTTCAATTTTTTTCATATTTTTGAACTTTTAAAGTTTTTAAAATTTGGTTCGACAGGTTTGAAACCAATTAAACCTTATATCTTCTTAACCGATTTTTAATAAAAGCTGGATTGTCGAATTTGATTATCTATTTATATGGCATTAATTCTGTGTGGCGAAGGTATCTCTATTTTATATGGACGACTTTACACAAAACAAATTAGAAAAAATAATGCTAAAAACTTCTAATGTAGATATGAAAATTCAAAATAGGTTGACTAACCCAGCAGACTAACAAGCGTGCCTGAAACGATAAATTGCGGCAAAATTTGACCTCAAATCTGTTATTTTCCACCTTGACTTTTCTACCATTGAAAAATATTCAATACTAGTTTGATTTATTTTTCAGTATTATTTCTCGGACTGAAAAATCTACCAAAACTTTTTTCTTTCATCGTGATGGTCTGGTAGTTAAGGTGGTCTGGTGTTGTGCCTGCAGTGACCGGGTTCGATTCGATTATGATAAAAAGATCCCCATCTATCACATGCTTCGTGTGTGATGCACCGTTAAGCACGTATTCATTTGTTGTTGATTCCTCTAAACCTATGAATAATTGACCTTTAACCTTTAACATCTTCCAATGTTATTATCTCAAAAAATTGCGGACAAAAGGACAAAAAAAATTTAAATTTGATGACAAAATAAAATTTGTAACAAATCTTAGTAATCTGATCTTTATCATAAATTTCCTGAAGGAAAATTCAAAATGTTCCTAAATCAACCACTTTGAAAGTGAAAAAAAAAACCAGAACAAAACAATTTTTAAAAGATTAGAGTTTTTTTTATAAGATTTAATAAATTTCTCTGTTATACATATTTTTTATTATATCTTGTATTGTTTCCTAAAATCTAAAACATATAGAAATAATTTTTTATGCAAATTTCATAAAATTAACTCGAATTTAAACTGAGTTCTAATTGACGTTGTTAATTCGTTAAGTAAAATTGCATTCGTTTTCAGATCCTGTTAACGCTATAATAGGACCAGCCTGTGATTATGCAGTAGCTTCAGTTGCCCGCCAGTGCGTTTTTTGGAATCTCCCTGTTTTGACTGGAAGTGGATTGGCCAAAGATTTTGGAGTCTCAAGATTGACGGAGTATTCCACTTTAACGAGATTGGGTCCAAGAATTGACGAAATAGCTTCAATAGTCCTGTCAATAATTAGATATTACAATTGGAACAAAGTGGCAGTTGTTTATGAACTCGTCGGATTTCCCGATATAACTGACAAATTTTGTCACTTTGCTGCTGCCGGCATCAAGCAGCTGATAACCTCGAGTGAGGTGGTCAACCATTCTTCGTCTCCAAACCACCGCCATCACGACGCGGGCTCTCACAAGCAGACGTCTAAAGACTCCGAATCGAAAGGAGGAATTCAATATAACCATTATGACATAGCAAATATTCACAAATTTTTCAAGCACGATTTACCGTTTATTGGAAGCAAATACGGAAGTTAGTTTTTTTCTCAATTTTCATGATTTTGTATAAATCAATAGATGTATTTTTAAGGATAACTCTTGTATGGAGGTGAAAAAAATGTATTTAAATTCAGTTTGCAAAATAAGTAATTTAAAATTTTCCCAAAAATTCAAACCTGCACCCAGTCGTGGTATTCAGAGTAAACATTTAAATATAAAATTATTCTATTTAAATGTTATAATGTATGGTGAAAAATTAGGAGCCATTATTATAAAATGCAATTTACGTAACTTTAAAATTTTTTTCAAAGTTTTCTATTCTCAAACTCAGTACAAAAAGTGCTGACGTTTAACTCGAGTACTTAATTTTGCTGAAACTTTCTGAAGGCTCTGATCTGACCTGCAGCTTTGAGATACATACTCGCCATTCAAATGTTGTTGTTGTTGTCGTTTTAGTTGTTGTTGTTGCTGTAGTTTTGTTGTTGTTGCGGCTGTTGTTGGTGTTGTAGTTTATTTGGTTGATGAATGTGCTGTAGATTGATTGGTTGTCGTCATCATCGTCATGGTGTGTGTTGTTGGTTGTTTGATGGTAACTGTTGTTGTCGTAGTTGTTCTTAGCGTTGCTGTTTTCCTTGTTTCTTCTACGTTGTTGTTGTTGTTGACATTGTTGAGAATTGAGTTATTGACAATTATTTTGTTGATTGTTTCGTTCGACGTTGTTAGACATGGTGGTTGTGATTTTTAATATCTTCTTTATTAAGGTGGTCATTAATATCTCTTTGATTGCATTGTATGTGTTCTTTAAGATTTCGTCAACCTTCTGCTTATTGATTTCATTCTTGTTTGGTAAGTTGAGAGCCCTTTAAGGTTTTCAACAGTAACCTACAGAATCTTTGTTTCCCTTTTCCTTTAGTTATTTAAATCAATTAGAGTTAGGCTTAGGGCGGGTGCAACAGATAAAAAAGTTAAAAAAAATGTATAAAATTGAGATAGTAGAACGCCATATTCCATGTTCCAATCATGTAGTAATGGTGTAATAAGATTAATGCTGTTTTCATGTTAAAACGAATGTTACTTTGCACGTATGCGTAGTACGTGCTGATGTATTCATCTAATGGGTTTCATAAAAAACTCACAATGCAAAAATTCACACAGCAAATTTGCATAGATACAGACGCAAAAACATGTATAACCCAAAGGACAAAAAAATAGCATCATAAATAGCATCAAGAAAAAAAATCTTAGAGAAACAAAACCCAAAAAAAACTCTAGACTGACAAAACCTCACACAACAAACTCCAACACAACACAATCCAACAAACTCCAACACTACAAAATCCAATCCAACAAACCCCAACACTACAAAATCCAATCCAACAAACCCCAACACAACAAAATCCAATCCAACAAACTCCAGCACTACAAAATCCGATCCAACAAACCACAACACTACAAAGTCGCTCACTCACTAAAGCACACGCAAACGAAAAGCACACACACACATTAACAAATTTGAAGGTCAGTTATTCTAACCTGATAATATCGAACTAGGCTAGCAATAAAAAGATGCCACACGACAGAGCGTTGATGTTCCTCTGACAAAATTCATTCATTGCACAGAAAAATGAGAAATAAACTCTCTGAAATGCACTCCTGTCCACGAGTTCATCTCTCGTCAGCTCTTTCGTCCGTCTTGGCGTCTCAGTAGTTTCTGAGAGTAGTTTCGAGTATGTTATTATTAAGTTCTTTTATCCTAAGTTTCAAAAAAATTTAAATTAAAAAATTTTCAAAATGGTTTTTGGCAATCATTATAAAAACAATAAGATTGAACATGCAAACATGAAAAATTTATGCACTTCTTCATGTATTATAAAAATTTATGTTCAGTTGATTTAGTGGTGGTCTTATCAAATAAAATAGACTAAAAATAAAAGTGAATAAAATGAATCAAAGAAATAACAAAAACAATCTTCACAACATTTATCAAATAGTCTGAACAAAAATATTGATGATTAATGTTGCTCGTACTATGAATAGAGTAACAATTTATTTGAATTAAATTCGCTGCATTTAAAATTTACTGAAATGCGTTTTGTGTGCATTTCGATCGGGGGCTAAAATGTTTTTTTCCTCGCTTCTCAGCTTTAGTTTTTGTGGCTGTGTGTTCACTTTTATCGCGTGAACTTTAAGTTATTTTAATTTTTTCTAAATGTTGTCAAGTGCCGCAAATCATTTAACATTGTCGTCTTGCGAATTAGGGTGATTGCTTCATTGATAGCTACAAATGCCACTTTACTTAATAATATGTTAAAAATTTCAATTTGCCATTTTATTTCATTAATTTCAAAAATTTCATTAATAATATTACATTAATATATCAGATGCATCGTTTCACATGTAGTTGAACGTAAAATTACCGTTGAAAATAAAAGAAGTAAATAATAAAAGTCCGACAACTTTTTCACTACGTTTGGACACAATATATCTGCTCGAAATTTTTATAGAAACAACTTAACCAGGTCGCTTGCTTATTTTCAAAAATTATAAACAACAGCTGAAAGCAATTTTTTCCTGTAAACAGTCAAACAATCAAACGATTTAGAAGCTATCCTAATTTTGTAACTTTTAAAATGTGTTAATTTTTTGTTACAATTTGATTGAAATTTGTACTCTGCATGCCTTTCTTTATAATGAAGACATTGAACAGCAAGCGCAGGTAAGCCGTCATTATTCTACCTGGCTTTTCATTTATATGTTAATTTATATGTTAATCGGAATTTAACTTTTACAGGTTGTACTACATGTGTTGCGCTCATTCATAATGTTGATCTCAAAACTTTGTCTTGTTTTGTTTGCTGTGTTATTGCAAAATTTTTTTTGTAAAATTACCGTTGAAAATAAAAGTCCGACGACTTATTCACTATGTTTTAATAATAACGATTATTTAAAAAAATCAAATTTAACTAAAATATATGAAAATTCTTGTAAATATAATAACTATTATGTTAATACAAAGAAAAAACGCGATGTAACCAGAAATTTATTCATCAGTAAATATACCAAAAGTAATGGACATGGATTAATCGCCTCTTCAAAAAACGCTTTACTCGGCAAAAATAAACCTGAAGTTGTGATAGCTATACTGGCTCCAAACACTACAAAACACATTTTTCGGTTAAATTTAGCGCATATTGCTGTTGATTATGCAAGAAACACGCACCCGTTGGCCAAGAAACTTTTCAACGAACAGTGCAAATTGACCGTTAAACTGGCGGATACAGACTGCAGCCAAATTACCGCTCCCATATTGGCATATAATTTCTATAAAAAAGATAAGATCCACGTGCTGTTCGGTCCAGTTTGTGAGTACAGTCTCGCTCCCGTGGCTCGCTATGCCAGGTACTGGAACCTCGCCGTCATAACTCCTGGCGGGATGAGTGGATTTTTTGGAAGAGACAAAACTAAGGCCGATCCAGAATTTCCTCTCCTAACAAGAATCGGCCCAACTTTTGATGGCGTTGCAAAATGTTTGCATACGATCATGAAAGAATTTCATTGGGACAACGTAATTATGTTGGTTGAATCAGACGGTGGAGCGCATATAACTCCGCGATTATGTAATTTAGTTATGACTGATATAGTTTTTTTATTCACACAAGAATCTATTCGGTACGAATTATATCAAATTGATGTCCCGGAACATGTCCGCAACTATAGTCATATTTTGGCTCGCGAAATTGGATTAGAGCATTCTAGTGAGATAAGAATCACTAATTATTATGTAGTTGATCGAACCATTTTTTTTCAACAGTAATCATTCTATGCGCCTCACCCGAGACCGTACGAGAGATAATGATCAAAGCAGCCGAGATGCACTTCAATAACGGCGAATACGTATTTCTTAACGTCGATCTATTTACCAAGTAACATTTGGTCTTCATATTTTACTATTTTACATGTGTTGATTTGTGGTGTGCATTTTTGTTTATGCTGGCAATTTTTACATACATGTGTGCGTGCATGCATATTATATACACATATTGATACAAATTATCTATGGCTAAAGATTATCATAATTTATTAATAGAAACTTTTAATATTGTAGTAAAGTATTGTCGTAATATTGTTGTTTAATATGGGAAGGGAACTAAAAATTAATTTAATTTGCTCGTTTGTTGCTGGTCCTTTACTTTCAAATTAAATTATAATTCTTCTGTCATCCTTGTGCTGCTGCTGTTGCTGTTTCAAAAAATCTTTCTGCCGCTAACGAGAATCTGCCAGGCAGACCTGTCATCATTCTTATATATGCTTGAAAGTTACAGAATTTAGCAGTGGTGTTGGTAATGACATTCGACTTCTAGAGAATTGATACGTGATATAATTCTGTCCTTTTGATGTTTTTTACTTCTTATATAATAAAAGTTATCTTTATTTTTGCTAAAAATGGTACAAATAATTTTTTTGGATTTTGTTGAGTGTTTTGTAGTTTTTTTGGTTGTCATTTATTATTTTGTAGAGTAATTATTACTGTGCTAAATGTAGCGTCCTGCCACTGTTGTAGTTCATTGCCGTTATATTTTACTTGGGAAACCCCGGCACTTTTTTTGTTAAATTAGGTTTTTTAATTTTAACACAACTTTGAAAAAATCCAAAAAAGACAATAACACTAATGTGGGGAAGTGTCGATGCAAACTCGTTGGAAAATAAATAAGCAAGGTACGGACAAGCGAAAACCGGTTTATCTTATGTATAGATGTATTATTATTTTTACAAAACAATGAAGATAAAGATTATTTAGATATTGTAGCTTTCTGTTTATTTATTCATTTTAGCTCTATAAAAGTTTTCTCATTTTTTCAAATGTATTAATTACCCATTGCCTACCTATACCCTTCTGTCGTTGAACAATAACAAATAACAGAACATGGCGTTTTTACTGGCTGAGCCAACACTTGACATGTTTATTCATCCAAAAATATTTTTTTAAAGTTTCAACCAAACTATTTTCCTTTTAATTTCCATAACTGGATGCATGGTGGGAAAATATTTTAATTACGATTTGATTTACGACTAAATGAGTAGAGAGATTGATCGATTATGACTTCGACTGTTTAAACTGGTTTTCCTAGTACTGGTACCGCGTGACTGTGAGTTGTGGTGAGGGAATCGATTTCGTGTGCGTCTTGCCGATAGTCAATATTTTTTTTAGCTTTTTCTGTTTGACAATCATGCAAATACTTCTACCTATTAAATAATAAATGGTATTTTTATTACTAATCCAGCATTTGTATCTATTTTTAAAAAAGCATATTTATGGCCGTTGTTGTTCACTGCTTTTGTGTTGTAACTCTGCTTTTGTGCTTTTTTTAAAGTTGTCGTTGATGGGTTTGGCTTTATTTGACACCAATGGTTTTTAATATGCCCGTTTTTTGGGACGTTAATATAACATTTATTGCTTTGTGAAACTCTTTTTTCAAAAAATGTTTTTTTTGAAAGTGAAAGCATTCGACAATCACAACTAAACTATAGTTGGTAATTAATTTACTTTAAACCTTCCTAACCTACAAACATCTTTCGTTGTTTCCTGCTTAAAATTATTTTTATTGATCAAACCAGAATCATCAATTGATTTGTGGTTTTCTAGTTCACAAGTAAGCAAAGTAATTTTTGGTTTCCTGAATTTTTTGAATTTTAAATTAATCCAAAGTCTTGTGATTCACTTTTTTTCGTTATTGTCTACCACTTTGTATCAGACACTTCTTCTCCCAACATTTGCTACTGCCAGTGGCGGATTAACGCACAGGCACAACAGGCACCGGCCTGGGGCGGCAAATTTTGAAAACTAGTTATTTAAAAATATTCAAGTTGAATAAAAATAATTATTAAAATTGATACTTTAAAAGGATTCAAACCAGAAACCAAAAACTCGTGCTGAGGATAGAGGAATTATTTCTAATTTGAGTTTTCTTGAAACTGGAATTATGGTAGAATTGTGGAGTTTTGTTTTAAAATGTCTGAACAAGTCTAACGTCAAACTTCAAAAAGTAGACATTGATCTATCGACTGTAATCGAAATTTACGACTCACTTTTAACGTTGTTCGAATCACTCAAAGAAAGATTTGAAGATTATGAAAAAAAAGGAAAAGTCCTGTCTTTAGTTGATGACTATAAGGTACCGCCATTAAGAAAACGGAAGCGGCATTACGACGAATCAGTTGACAATGGAACAGAATTTACCACTCGAGAAAATTTTCGTGTAAACATATTTTTGGTAATTGTGGATAACTTAAATTCTGAAATGAACAAGAAACGAAACGCTTATGTAGAAATTAATGAAAATTTCTAAGTAATTGTACAGTTCAAAACATTGTCAGTGGGTGAGCTAGAAATTGCAGCGGATGGATTAAGATCTTTATTTCCAAACAATCTAGACGACACCTTAAATACTGAACTGTTACATTTAAAGTCTCATTTGGCTACCTTAGACCAAAATGCAGTTCCACACAATCCAATTGATTTGTGTAAATGGATAAGATTGAATGACTTGAATGACTTATATCCAAATGTAGACATTGCACTTCGGATGTACACTTGTACTCCTGCTACAAACTGTTCGGCCGAGCGATCTTTTTCTTGTTTAAAGCGCGTTAAAAACTATTTGCGTTCGACAATGTCCGAAGAAAGGTTAAATTATCTTGCAATTCTATGCATCGAAAAAACAATTTTGCAAAATTTAGACATTAATTTCGTTATTGATGAATTTAAGCACAGGAAGGCACGTCGTAAAGTTTTGAAATAACTTTTATAAACTGCAATGAAAGAAAATTTATTTTTTAAAATTGATAATATTACATTACATGAATATTATTAAAGAATGTACTTAATAAAAATGTTTTAAAAATATTGCGTTTATATGAATTTAATTTCTAAATTTATTATAAAATTTAAAACTGGGGCGGCAAACCACGAGTGCCTCTAGGCGGCAAAAAGGTTAATCCGCCACTGGCTACTGCTGATTCTTAGGTCTCAAAAAACAACCAATTTATAAAACTTTCAGTTTTCCCACTTATGTTTTTAACACAGAAAAAATGTTTTTAAAAACAATATCAGCTAAATTTTGAAAAAGTCTGGTGAAAATTTTGATTTGTACCAATTTGTACTTGCATGTGTACCAATCTCGGCGTCTGTCAGTCTAAGTTTTTTTATTTGTAAAATAATAATAAAAATGAAAAAAACAGAAAACGACAGTAACAAAAAGATATTAAAAAATGCCTACAAAAGGAAAAAATATTTGCACAACTTTCCAGTGGCCAATACAGGGGAGTGTCGGGGTGCAGAGTAAGAAATAAAAAAAACATTGAAGATTCTATGCAAGGACTTTTATTTAGTGAACAATTTGAAAATCATTCCCGAACAAAGCTGGAATAAGCCAAAAAAATAAATCATTAAAAAAGGTCATGACTTTAAAATTTTGAAAATCGTAAAATTATTTTTCCCACCGCCAAATTTTGGATCAGCTACTGCAAACCTCTCATATGCTTTCGTAGACAAATTCTTTTTAGGTTTTTGCAAATTTATTATTTTTATAGATCCATGAGTTTAACTAACTAAAAATATGTATGAATAAATAATCTTTTTTTCGTTATTTTGTACATATTTTTTATTTAAATTTTCTTGTTATAAAATATGTTCAAATAAACCTCATAGTTACCTAAATAACTCCCTGAAACCTTGGCACAAGAAAGGCGAAAGTGAAGAAAGAAATTTGTTGGCAAAAAAAGGCTTTGAAACATTATTAACAATCACAATGAAAAAACCAGAAAGTAATGAGTACAAAATATTTTCAAAAGAAATTAAAAGGAAAGCACACGAGCAATATGGAGAGCCTCTGTTTGGGAAAGAAGATGTAAGTTACTCTCATTTTTTTCTTAAAGTCGTATATATATTCTAACTAATTTAGGTCAACAGTTTTGTTGGTGCTTTCCATGATGCCGTTATTTTATATGCCCTGGCTTTGAACGAAACACTAGCAGAGGGCAAGAACATATCAAACGGCAGCGATATCACCCGACGCATGTGGAATAGAACTTTTGAGGGTTTAAAATGAGAAGATATGATTATATTTTCGTTTCATACAACCAAATATTTTATCAATTAAAGGTGTATCTGGCACGGTTACAATCGATGGAAATGGCGATAGGAGTGTTGATTATTCTCTTCTTGATATGAACCCCGACACTGGATTTTTTGAGGTTAAATGCTAATACTTTTCCAATATTATTTTTGGTCGAACGTTTTCAATTTTTTAATTTTCATTGTTTTCAGGCAGTAGCATTTTATTTTGGTAAGAAAAAAATTTATGAACCAATTGAGGGTCGCGAAATTCACTGGACTGGAAATTTAAAGGTACCTCCAACGGACACCCCAAAGTGTGGGTACAACAATTTTGGATGCCCTGTTATAGGTAGTAATAGTTTTATATGGTAATATAGCCGATAGATTGTTGTTTTATTTGAAAAATTTTTTATAAAACAATTTATTTTCAAATTATCCAATTTTCAAAATTATAGTCCCGTTTCCGTCGACCGTTTACATAGCGGCACTCTCAGGGCTGCTGTTCATCTCCATTCTACTAGCCACATTTTTCATTTTAAGGTAACTTTTTTAATAGTTTTCACCATTTCTACGTGCAAACATTTTAAACCCTTAATATTAATTTTAAATAATTTGTATTTATTAGTTTATAAATTTTAAAATTAAAAAAAACCGACATATTGGGGAAGTATTAGCATTTAAACAAAAACACTAGTGACATATTTGAGAAAAGATAGGTATGATAGGATATTATTTTATCACAGATTTTTTATTTTATCTCAATTTTTGTTACGATTTTTATGTGTTTATTTTTCAAAAAACTTGAGCAAACTGTTAATACAAGCCATGCCTTTACAATGGTTAATTCTGCCATCGAGATGAACCCACCTACCTGGTAAGAACCAACCTGTAATCATCAATTAAAAATTAGTTGAGGGCTGTCGCTATCTGTAAAAATTTATTATTTTTCGTATTTTCTATGACATCTGCCACGTTTTGTCATCGTACGTCATCAGGCCTTTTTTTTATAAACTAACAACTTCTTTCAAAATTTCATCATCATGATGTTTCGTTTTATTTGAGTTTATTGAGGTTTCAACGTTCCAGCTCTAACTCACCCACGCGGCTACTTTGATCAAAACCCTTCTTTTGACTATAGATGTAACGGTGATGTTATGCATATCACACTATTTTATAACGACAAAATATGTTACAGTTTTGAATATATACTTCTGACCGTTCGTTCAAAATTATTGCTGAGGGCCTCCGTTCAAAATATTGGGGATGCGAAAAGTTTATTCATTAATCCCTTGGAATGAGCCAATGATTTTCGCTAGTTTTCATTGGATTTCCCAATGACCCTAGTAAGACTGGAGTGAAACCTTTTGAAATTTTTTTGAGGCTGCAATAGAATAATGTTATAACTTTTTCGAGATTTTTGTTGAATCTTTCCAATACCTTTTCAGAGCATTTCATCGAATGCTCGCTCAATGTTTCCCAAATTTTGGCCGTAAAGTTCTTGAGCGACTTAACGGAGAGTGTTTATTAGCCATGGATTAAGCAAGCCACAACAGAAGTATGACGCTGAAGATGAATATTATTACTAGAACTAGCAGTTCTAAATTGAAATTAAACTTCCTTAATAAATTATAATTTGTTTTTACGCAAAAAATAAAATATAAAGTTTTGGAAAAGATTATTTGCAACTTAGAACAAAATAATTTGAAGATGATAAAATTGTTTACACCTAACCGCCATGAAACCCGATTTATTTATAACAATCAATCGATCAATCAATTAATCAATCAATCAATCAATCAACCAACCAACCAATCAACCAACCAACCAATCAATCAATCAATCAGTCAATCAATCAATTTCTGCTCATTTCATTCTCAACATTTGCGACATTGTTTCTTTTGAAAGACATTACCGGTTAGAGACTGAACTGGCGGAAATAAACTGGAGGATAAAATGGGAAGACATCATGTTTGGCGCTCCTGAAAAACGAAGATTAGATAAGATCAACAGCCAAATTAATTTTGCCAAGGTTGTTATCAAAATTCATCGTCAAAATTTTTTAGTCTTAAACAAACAAATAATGACTAGAAAACATTTTTATTAACAAATCAATTTTAAGAGAGAATCATTCGCAAGTTTAGTTTCAATAGATTCAATGGTTGGTGTGTTGAACAATCTTGGCTGCAAACAAATCTTCATCAAAACTGGTTACTATAAAGTTTGTGTTCTTGCTTGGTAAAATTGAGTTTAATTTTAAAACTTCATCTAAAACGTTTTACAGTCTACACTGGTTGCCATAAAAAAAATTGTGAACCCTATAAACATTACAAAGCCACTGTTGATAGAATTCAAAAGGGTATAATTTCTTTTTATTATTTCATTCAATTTTATGAAATTATGTTTATATCAGTTAAGGCAAATTTGTTAAAAAATAGCTAATAACATCTTTAAAAATTCGTAAATAAGTATGTATATGTATACATGCATCACTTAAAACTGACTCCCACCAACAACACTGCCATTCTTCTACATCTAGTTTATTAGAAATGGAAATTAATTGGCCTATCTGCACAATGAACCCATTCCAATTTAAATAAACTAGATAAAAAATCTCAGTGAAAAAAAATGAAAAAACGAACTAACTACAAGCAAATTAATGGCGTTTATCATCACTGAGTTTGTTAAGTGAGGTTATGCATTGGTTTAGTTCATGTTCATGTCATTCGAAATATCTAATATATTTTTACATAATTTTGATCGAAAAAGCAAAGAAAACCGTTTCTTACGTAAGTATATAGTGGAAAACAGAATCAATGCTGATAATAATTTGCATGAATGAATTTTGAAATATACCTTTTAAGCCACACTAAAACATTGTTTGTCTTTTTGATCAAATTAAACTCAACTCTTAGAAGAGCTTTGGCTCTAAAATCAATTGAAACTTTTTTGATTTTTTACTTATATAAAACTTCATATATATTAATTGAGGGAATTTCACAACCCAAATCATTTGTCATGTTTTCAATATTAAAACACCGCTTTAAAAATGTTTTGTTGTAATATGTTGCGCAACTACTTTCTTTGTTTCTACTGGTGATGATTCTTTTTCCTTGTCGCATACAACACCCCAGAGGTATTGGTGGTGTCATGTAGGAATGGTTTTTAGTTTTTTTTTGTACAATTTATTTATTTAACAATTTTTATTCACACCAATAATTGTAATTTCCGATTAAAATATTGTGAGCACGATTTTTATTGCCTGGGAATGACAGTAGAGCAGAGTAAAGTTGCTTAAAGAAAATCAGCTCTAATTTAAATAGCGAATCCAGATATAAGATATATGGTGCGTCATACGTGCAGACAGAATTTAACCCTGCAAACAAACCATCCTCGTTTACTTTGAAAATTTTTTGTTAAGTCGTCAGTTTATTTCGGTGGCGGATCTAGATAACGCTAACGATAGGGCTTCGATTTTTTGAATATTTTTCTAACGTATACTGGAGGAAAAATTGCAAAATGTTTCAACGTGTGTAAATGTTGGGTGGGTTGTCAACTTTTTGGCGAGGAATTTTTTAATGGCTTATCCCATCATTGTCATTTTTTGGTCAGAAACGGAAACTTTTTCCGTCAATACAATGGCTTCTACTAACTTTCAATACAAAGACTGCTCACGGTCCGCCACTGGTTTATTTTCAAACCATCAAACACAAATTGGATCTACGCTGACCGAACAATTTAACAATAATCTTGTTATTTGAATAAAATTAATTAGCTTTTGCTAATTAAAATTTTCAAATAAAATGGTTGGCTTGGCCTCCCCTGAAACTTTCCCTGGGAAGGCCGGCCCCACAGGTTGGGAATTCCTGGAACGGACTGATTCCACTTGATGACGAACAATCCGCAGCATCCGTAAATATTTGAAATTTAATCGCCTGTGCAAGTTTAAAAGAAAATAATTTTTTTTAAATTATACCATAATTTGCTTTTCATAAATGAAGAAACTCTTAAAAGTCGAAATGAAGCCTTGTTAACTAAAAAATTGCCAAAGGTGGTTTTTTAAATCATCAGAGAGAACAAACACTTTTTAAAATATTTTTGACATATTGGTAGCCAAACTACATAAAGTCATAAAACCTCAAAAAATGTGTTCATTTCAAAACCTTGAAAGGCGTTCTTGCATTGGCCGGGTGTAAATCAAGCTATCAAGTTGACACGTGTCATCGTTGAGAAACTCGTTGAAGTTTATCAAGTATAAATTAAATCAAAAATCGAAACAAGGTTTGACTATCACTTTTTTGTATAAATGAGTCTTACAACTTTTAACAAATTGTAGTTAACTTTCATAATGTGAAATGCCTACTTGTTTTTGAAGATGCGAGATTTGCAAAACGACCACATTGTCCGATTCATCGGCGTTTGCATCGACCATGGCAACAAATGCATCATCACCGAGTTCTGCCAAAAAGGTAGTCTGCAGGTTAAGATAGTTTATCTTAATGTCAAACTATAAACTACTTAATTAAAATAATATTAACGCAACAGGATGTTTTGGAAAACAGCCAAATAAAGTTGGATAACATGTTCAAGTTTTCATTAATGCAAGATATAATACGAGTTAGATTCAGGATTGAATTTTTATTACATTTTTGTTGTTGTGTTTTTAGTCGGGCATGATTTGGAATGGAAATGCGGGGATGGAAATCTCTGCAAAAATTTAATAAATTATAAAATTTAAGCCTGACTTCTTTTGTATCTTTCTGGCTGATACACTGCTGCATTTAAGCAAACCTCTCTGTGAATGCTACAAAATATATTTTGGATCGTATCGAGGTGGAAGTTCTTTCTGTGGTTTTACTGACAGCAGTTGCATGTTAAATGATTAATGATTGAACTGTATTTTATAAATTAGCTGGCTTTGCATCATTCAGGGATATCTTCTCAAGAATTGATCCTTAATGAATTTTTGTTTAACTCCAATCTCAGGTACCTTATAAATTCATATAATTATTAACACGCAATGAAACAATATATGGCAAGCAAATCTAAAAAATATTCATCCTCATTTAGCTTTGATAAAATTTTCACACTTAGTTTTGTTGAAATAAGTATTATTTAAAAGGTGACATGTTTGTGTTTGTAATTTTTAGACGAAAATAAACAACGATCACATTTCGTTAAAACAACTTGAAACAGCGCATGCGAATATTCAAATGAATTGTGCTGAATGCAAAATAAAATATGTGCAATGAGGAAAATTGCAATGGACTTTCAGATAAACACTATTCACATGAACTGGTTATCGGTCAATTGAAGTTATTTCTTGGTAATGCTGTAGTTGTAAACTGCGCGCGCACGTCACAGAATCGAAGGCCCTGGCTAATTTATGCTTGAGGAATCACGAAGAAAAAAATGGTCATCAAATATTTTTGGACTTTTAGCTTCCACACTGCTTTTTTATGGTTTCGCTTCAGGCATGGCTGAACACACACTGTGACATATTTTATTTCACTTTTTCCAAGTTGAAAATACTTCAGTTCTGCTGGTCGGGTTTTCAAATGATGGCATGTGCCCATATTTAATTCAAAATTTACAAATTTTTATATTTTCCCTTCGAATTTTTTTTAAGTCAATTTCAATTTTTTATGGTAAAATTTTATATTATTTAACTAATACTTTTATTCATTCACGTTCTATAACCATTCGTCTTCCAATTTAAATAGCAGCGGCTTGTTAAGGAAACTTTATCCTTTAATGAATTAGTTAAATTAATTAAATTTAATTTGACGTCATAAAATAATTCTCTAAAATCATAGACGAGACAATTCTTATTACACTTTTTTACAACCCTCCCCGCTGTTTCATTTTCCCCAAATAAAAATCATTGTCACATTATAGTATGAAATTCCTTATTATAGCTAATGTTTATTAAAATGATCACCATGAAATGTTTGAATTCTCCTCCAAGGGCATGTCATACTTGCACAGTAGTGACATTAAATTCCACGGCAACCTCAAAAGTTCCAACTGTGTGGTCGACAGCAGATTCGTCCTTAAGATTACAGACTTCGGTTTGCAGAGTATCAGGGAGCGAGCGTACAAGCAAGACTGTGATAACTACAACTTTCATAAAAGTGATGTTAATTTACATTGATGACGGCCGAAAAATTTTAACATGATTGAAAAATTAAAAGGTAAATTGTGGACCGCCCCGGAGTTATTAATCAACCCTGAATTAACTTGTGTTGAATCGCTACAAAAATGTGATGTCTACAGCTTTGCTATCATCTGCCACGAAATCGTCTATCGGAAGGGAGTCTTCTGGATTGAGAATGAAAAGTTCAACGCTATAGGTGATACATTTCCTCATTTATGAATATTCTGAAGTAATTTGAACATTTTAACAGCAATTAGTATGAATGTTTGATTAGCAATCAACTTGTATGTTTCACTTACGAAGAGATTTGCCGTCGAGTGAAAATGAGATCGAAACCAAGCTGCAGGCCAACGCTCTCTGATCTGCTCGATAACGAATCCTACAGCGAGGATCTCATTAATATCATCAAGAAGTGCTGGAACGACGAACCGTTTGAAAGGCCGGACTTCCACACATTGAAATCCGTCATTAAAAAAATAAACAAGTATGGTGACAGCAATCGAATGCTTTCAATAAAAACGTCACTTAAAATCACAAATTGTTTGTTTAAAATACCTTCATTTTTACCTTAAAATACCTTCAAGTATTTTTTTAAAAACAATTTTTTCCTTCTATTTTCTTATATGATATCGATGTTTATTTTTCATTTTTGTTTAATAAACTAACGCTTACATTTTCCGTTCTGCTGTTTGATTTTGGATATTTGAGGTTGTGTTCCGTTTAGATGGGAGGTCTGTCAAGAAAATAAATAATAAATCAATTAATCAATTAATAATTTAATTAAATTTTAATTAATTAACTAAAATTTAATAAATAAATAAAATAATAAATGAAATAGGGAGGGAAACACGGGAGGGAACTTACTGGACAACCTGTTGTCCCGAATGGAGCAGTATGCTTGCAATTTGGAAGGGCTCGTTGAAGAGAAAACATCCGACTACTTGAAGCAGAAGAAGAGAGCTGAAGATCTGCTATACATGATGCTGCCCGTGTTGGTTCAAATTAATAAATATGATACGGTCAAGTTTATGGATGATTTTATATTCTTTTTTGGAAGACATAATTGTGTATAAAAATTTAAAAAATGGATGTCATTATTTATTTGTAGTATTTTTGATAAATGAGTGTTAATAATTGAAGAAATGACTTGCAATTCTGTAATTGACACAGCACGGAGCATTTTTTTATATTTTCACAATTCTCCCTTCTAATTTAAACTTCCAAGAAAATATAGCCAGCAAAATTACCTCTTAAAGCAAACAAAGAGTAGTCCACCAAAGTCATTATATTTCAAAACGGATTAATGGTAATTAAACGGCCTACAAGTCAACAGCCTATTGTCATAGTTTGGAGCATGAAACAAAATCTTAATTATTTTGATGTTTTATTGTTCTTGAATTTTGAAACGTTCACCACTAAAACTCAATTTGTATTAACTTTCATTTGCATGTCTATAAAATTTAGCTTAGTTTTTGCATTTTTTTCATCTTATTTTCTAAAAAATATTTTAATAAACTTCACTACACATAAGTTTAGTTTGATAATAAAACGCTAATGCCAAGAGGTCAGTAGCTGAGCAGTTGATGGAAGGCAAAGCCGTGGAAGCTGTCAAATTTGAAAGCGTCACAATCTACTTCAGCGACATCTGTGGCTTCACGCAGCTCTCCGCCGAAAGTTCGCCGATGGAGGTTTATAAATTTCGCAAAATATTTTATGAATTTAATCCAAACTCATTGTATGATTAGCGCCACAAAATATTTACCGCTTCTAAAACATTTTAGCCAAGAAAAGATATAAGAACTTGGTAGTGAGCGTAACCGATGTGCATAAAAAATTATTAGCAATTTAATAAGACTTTATGCTTGTCTTATGAAAGTTTTGTTACAACAATAAAGTAGATGAAATATTATTTATCGGTTATCAAAATAAGATCTTGAAACAGGCAGTTTACAAAAAGCCGCCAAAATAATTTTGTCATCATTAAATTCAAGTGAAATACAAAATGAGAAGATTAACGCAGTACGTCGCACAATGCTGTTACACGAAATTGACTGGTCCGTCCGTTTCAAGTTTTTACTTTTTTTCAATTCTCGAAAGAGTTGAAATGTCTTTTCAGTTTTTTTCAAATTAGCCGAGTAATTATTCTGATAGAATTTGGCCAACAGGTGCGACTTTGTAAGCAACAACGTTTTTCAAAACACCACACGCACTTCCATCGATGAACTGTGTTTATTCCACATTTCATCAGCTCCTTTTGTCTCATATTTTCAAATTAATCTAGCTAATACTTAACTTTCCGAGATTTTATTTTTAAGCATTTTTTGCATAATAAAATTGACTACATTTATCATCGTCAAATCTACGTAAAAAGGTACATGACTTCGTAGATACAATGAAAAAGTGCATTAGATGAGATTTGTTGACGCTGACTAAACACAACATTTTACGTTAATATGTTTTTTGACAAACATTTTTGAACGAAATTTCAATTAATTCACAATAAAAATTGAAAAAACGCAAAGCAAAACTGGATGTCACACAAGCTTCTACCATCCTCCCCTTTTTGCAAAAGGTCACAAATTTGTTGGCCCTTCCTTCCCTCAAAAAGTGACATCCTTCATGGACGACTCTTATTCAAATATCTATAACCCACAACGTAATTAAACATGTTTTGGTGTTAATTTGGTTGAGTGTTCTATACCGCGAATATCGGCACTATCGAAGAAACATTAACTGATCAAATTCCATCACACTTTGTTTAAAATTTTTTTTTTCGAAAATTCACTTGAAACTACAGACTGGTATTTTTTAAAACTTACTGGAAAATTAAACGCTGTTTAACATTCAACTTGAGCTCGCCGTGCATTCGTTTTAAGTTTTATGTTGCACTGTTGGCATTATATTTGTCGAGATGTTTTTATCATTCTATTTAGCTTTTCAAAAAACTGTAAATAAAGTGTTAAGATGAAAAGTATGCTTGTATTTAACGTGTTTTTTAGTTAATGATAAGTTAATGATACTTGGGTGCAATTAAGCTTGGAAGTTTTGACCAATTTCAACTGAAACAACGCCGGCATAACAAATGAATTTAATACATTTAACAAGAGCTAATGCCAGGAAATATATTTTTTTATTTTGCTAGGCTAACTTTAAAAGCATTTCTAATGTTTTATAACAAAAAATGAATTTGTATGAATAATGTTTCTTTTGAATTCAAGGTTGTGGATTTACTGAATGACCTGTACACAACATTCGACACGATCATCGAGATGCTGGATGTATACAAAGTAATGTAAATTCGTTTACCTTTCTTAAATAATTTCTACCTTACTTCAATGCAAATTTGAAAATGTTTTTGTCTGATCACCAATGCATACATCATGAATTTTTAAAACACTTTTCAAAGTTTAACAAGAATTAACAAATCTAAGAATCATAAGTCGTTTAGAACATACAACTCGTTTTAGGTAGAAACAATAGGAGATGCATACATGGTTGTGTCCGGATTGCCGCAACCTAACGGCAACTTACACGCCAGGGAAATATCAAGGATGGCGTTGAAACTCCTGGTTGCAGTTAGAAGTTTCAAAATTAGACATCGTCCGAAAGACCAATTGAATTTAAGGATTGGAATACATTCAGGTTGATTGATCAGTCATTATAGGTGTTGAACATGTGGATCATTTATTTAGGTAGATCAGCCATTAAAATAAACTATCTGAAGTTTATCCTGCTAAACTTGTTAAACTACTAAACTAAAACGGATTATTTGTATAGCGCCTTTTATCTCAATCTCGATTCTGTATAAATCATATTCCGTGATCCAGAATTAATGATAACACTTACACCATCCAGCTTTTGGTAAAACATCAAAAGCTATTTAAATTTATTAATAGAAATCTACTTGAATTGAAATTCTATAAATGTAAGTGTTGCATGAATGTTCCTCTCCGAAGGAAACCCATGTTCATTCGACTGAAATGATAAAAAAAATAGGTCCCGTGTGCGCCGGCATAGTTGGCAGGAAGATGCCGAGATACTGCTTGTTTGGAGATACAGTCAACACTGCATCCAGGATGGAGTCCAACGGAGAACGTGAGCATTTTTTTTGGTCTCAAAACAACACTTGCTTTATAGCTCTCATAAGTTTCATTGCGAATCTTCCTTAATTAACATCATCTCTCATTTCAAAGCCATTCTTAACTCATAACAACAAAATGGTTTAGTGTAAGTAGCCGTATGTATGTAGGTATGTATGTAAGAAAGTTAATATAAAGAAACCCTTAAAAAAATGAATCTACCATAAAATCACAGCTTTGAAGATACACGTCAGTCCAGATACAAAAAAGTTATTGGATACTTTTGGAACCTTTCAGTTGAAGCTGCGTGGATCTGTAACAATGAAGGTGAGAATAATTAATAAATGGTAAATTTAATAAAACATAAAATTTTACAATTATCGTAATCATATCATCATCGCTTGATGTCCGCAAGTGACAGTTTGACAGTATTGAAGATGTGAATGCAAATTATTTTATCTTTGATAAAAAATTTATGTAATTTTATGTATACAAACACAGTTATGGAAACTGTGTATAGAAAAATGTGGTTTTGTGTGTTTGGGTATGTTTCAGCATGTATGTGTATGCATATGTATATATATATAAATAAATTGTCATGTGATGACAATCTAAAAAATAAGAGACAAGGTTGCGGCTCACTTCAACAAATGTGTTTCGAAGATTTATGAAAGTGCTCAGTTAAACCATCAACTTTTGGAAAAAACCCAGTTTAGATGTTTTTATTCTTTGAATTGTTAAATTTGAAGAAACGAAAGATTCTATTGTTTATTAGTGTTAAAATGTTTTGTAGAGTGTTTGTTGGTTGTTGGTCGGATGTTGGATAAATTGTATCAATTTTTGTGAGGATCAATAAGGTAAACCCCTTTTCTGTCACGAACACTCCCTTGAAAATCTTGTTATAAGTTTTTTTGGTTTGTCATTGCATTCTGTTGATAAAATGAAACTATATCATCGAAAAGGCAAATATAAAATCTGAGAGCCCATGTGTTTCTTTTTTCCTCCCTCTTTGAGTATTGTTAACAACCCTGCTGCATTTTTGTCGGAACAACAAAAGATTAACTTCCTATTTAAAATCGTAGTCATCAAATTTTTAAAAAATAAGAATCCATTCAAATTCATTCTTTAACAACGATTACCGCGAAGTTTATCGGATGTATTTACGAAACTTTTAGATTTTGATGCTAAACTCCATAAAACGACTTACAAAAGATTTTGACAGTGATTGGAATTAATTTGTTATATTTTATCATGGTCCATGGTCATACATCATGAGAGGTCACACAGACAACCGACATTAAAAAGTCTGACCCAACCTTTTTTCACCATCCGTCACAATCATAAAAATCAATTTATCGTTACTACAATCTCAACTTCAAACCATGTGAATAACATACTTCGAGTCAATCTTTGCGTTCGTTATTTCAATAAATTTGTGACTTTTAAAATTATAAAAGCAGTTTCATGACACTGATTATGATAATAATTATACTATTATTGTAGTGATAGTAACAACATCAACAACATAATCCATAATAATAATTTTTAATATTATAACAAAGTATAAACTGAGGTACATTAATTATTCCCGTGAAATGTTGTAATTCCAAACTTAATTTATTTTATTTTCTTTTATATATTATTTTAATATCTTTTAAATTGAGAGAATTATTAAAAATTTCCACAGGGCAAAGGTGATATAACGACGTGGTGGCTACTGGGCGAAAACACGAACGATTATCCAGAACTGGCTTCTAAAGATGTCATTTTAAATAAGTGATGTCCTGTCACAAACTCGCTTCATTACCATCATAGAAAATATTTTTTAGGCAAAATTATCATCGAAAGATTTTAGCAATAAAATGTTGTGAATTTTTTTAATTTTTGTTGCTGTCAGTCAGTAAATATTTTTACAATTTTTTCAAATGCATTCGTTTGCTACAACATTATGATCGTCTTCAATCTCATGCACATTTATATCCAATTACATTAAACTGTTATATTAATTATCACGTTATAACAACTTGAACTGCTTAAATATTATCTGGTAAGTGAATTTAACAATCAAGTTTCACAAAGCTGCTAAACTTCAAAAGTAACATTTTTAAGAATATCTAGAGAGTAAGTATTTATAAGACTTGTCAGCCAAATATTATCAGAAGTTTCAACTAACCAAAAATTTTGGCTAGCTGAGTTTCATTCGGCGGCGACCAGTAGAGAAATAATTATCTTTGGCTGACGCCAGCATACAAAATACTTGTTTAATTTTTTTTTATTATTCTTTAAAAAATTAGAATTTGACAGACGCGGAAACTGTTACAAAACGCAGGGCAATAGTATATAATGATAACGACAAATAAATAACGGAGTAAGAATGTTTAAGCATGAGAATATGAAAAAAAATATTGATTTTAAAAATTGATTTAATAAACTTATTAATTAATTGGCTTGTTAATGACTTAGTAAGTAAGTTACGTATTCGATAAGTATGTTTAAGTGGTAAAAATGTTTAACCATAGTAAACAAAACAACGATTTGAAAAAACAAAAATACATGGAATCATTAATTGACTAGTTAATGACTTATAACGTAAAAATATTCCTGTTCAATTAAATAAAGAAATGATTAAATAATTAAAAAAACTTGAATGAATAAATTATTAATTAATTGAATAAAACATTAACGAATAAATAAATAAACAAATAAATAAATAGAATAATATTGATATATATTCATTTGTCTATTTATCTATTTAGAATATTTATACGGCGTTTTTTTTAAATATCAATATCACTTACAACCATATAAAGAGCATATCCATATACAGAGTATATTCAATATATATATATATATATGCTTACAACTAAAAACCCCATAGATATATATATAACTTGTTATTCCATGGACTTTTTATTACTAACATTACTACGTTCATATATATAAAATATAACATAGAATATATTCTGTATATATGACTATATAGGACTATATATTTATTTATTTGGGGTTTTAGATAGTAAAATTACATTATCGTTCTACGGAAATAGCTTGGGTTGTTTATACTTCGTAGTTGTGTTGTATAAATTTAGTTAGCAGGCACGGCATAAAAAATATATAAAATAAAATCGTATCTTGAGGGAATGTGTTTCTTTTTTTGTCTAAGCACATTTTTACTCCTTGCTGACCGTCGTCAACGTATCGTACGTTTCATAATTTTGTCTTAGGCTACATTTTTTCGCCGTTTCTGCATACGGTTGTGTTGACTTTTAATTTAATTCCACGAAACGATGGAGTTAGGAGAAGGAGAGGAACAACAGAAAAATGCAAGTAAAGTGGTTGTGTCAAAGAATTTGGCAGATTTACAAAGACTGAAGATTGAAAAACTTATGAAAAATCCAGTTTGTATTTATTAGAAAAGTAGTTGTTTTATTTAATTTTAATTAATTCTAATTAATTATTAACATTTAAAATTATTATTTCATATTTTTAAAAATTATAATTACTTTAACCAACTTTTAGCTTTAATTAAAGTTTTATCGTTTTGTTATGTTAGAGACTGTTAGGTTATTTAAAATTTTAAATTAATTAATTTAATAACTCTTAGAGTCTTAGCTAGTCTAAACCTTTTATTTTAGCTTTTCTATTATAATATTATATTAGACAATTTTTAAAAATAAGAATATCAATTCCTTACTGCTTTGGTTGACTGAATTGAAAGACTTTGGTGGGTAACATTTATCTATCATGCTCAATATAGAATTTTGTTTATTTTTAGTCAATAGTTTATTTCTTCAGTTTAAGAAACTTCATTTTTAAACTTAAAACAGAAAAAACTTTAAAATTTCAAGATGAAGATTTGGTTTATTATTTTGTGTGATGAAATTTTGATTTTAAATTCATCAAGTTTTTACCTAATAACAATGATCAACATTTTTTCACATAATTACTATTTTGTTAATTTTTACCCTTTATATATTTTTTACAAACTAGGATAAATTAGCTTATATTCCAGATAAAGGTAAAGAAAAAATACCTAGAGCCTTCAATCCTCCTGAATTCGTTAGAAACATTTGGGGTAAGTTTTAAAATTATAACATTGTTTATTTTACTTTTTATAAGTATTTTCAATTTTATTTGCCACCATGAAGAGTAACTTATTTTCCTGGACTGTCTTTTCTTAATCACCTTTCTCATTGCTTTCCGTCTAATTTGGGCGTGATATTTTCATGCTCAAAACTAGCTCATATTTTCATTTTTTCAGTATTCTAAACAATTTATATTGCCTAACGCATCCATCCTTGCACTGTGTTTTATCTACTTATATTGTTTTATCCACTCTCCAAACTCCACTTTCCAAATTTTGCCTTTCCTCTGCAACAATTCACGCAGCACAATTGTTGATGTTGTCATATATCTGCTACTTTTTATCCACTACTGCCTTCACCACATATCTGTTACATACTTTTTTGCATCAACCATTACAATATCATATTTCTACTCTTTTCATTTTTACTAGTAATGTGTAGGTATGTGCATATGAGTGAGGGTCATTACTGTGTGAGTTAAACATTTCAACTTCATTTTAACTTTTAAGCACCATGAATTGACATTTTGATATCTGAATTTTGTTGGTTTTAAAAAATCATATTATGGCAACGTACCTTATAATTTTGCATGTAGGATAATAAAACTTCTAAAAAAAATCTGCACTGATCTACTTTAATTTGAAACATTTATTCACAGTCTTGTGTAATTTTTCACTACAACAACAAAACCATTTTTCCATTCGATTAAATGGACATTGGAACTCAAGAGGTTTTGTTTCTATGTATTTAATAAATTTGTGAATATATTTTATTCAGGATCAAGTGCTGGAGCTGGTAGCGGAGATTTTCACGTGTACAGAGGTGTCAGAAGGCGAGAAAATATCAGGCAAAAATATTTAGAAGCCAAAGAAAAAGAGGTAAATATCTTTTTGTTCACAATGCCTGTCGATGGTTGTTTATGATAAAATTTGTGCATGTAATTTTGGTAAAAAGATTGATACTAAAACATTCATATTAACCCTTGGAAGACTGGTGATCATAGATCAGTTGACGTTTCTATATAAACCACATTGCTTAGCCATAATTTGCTTGAGTTGACTCAGGTGTTTGTTCCACTGATCTATATATTATCTGCTTCATCCAGTTCTTTTTTGGCACAAACTTTTTCAGTCTCAGTTGATACTTATTTATCTTAAACAGATAAAAATACTTAAGTCATCATAGTTCAAGTGTTTCTTTAAATGGTTGATTCTTTCAGACGTTCAATCAATCAATCAATCTTCGTTTTGCGTCCAGAGACCCAGTTCCCCCGAGGTAGGACGTTGTTTTCTTTGCCATCAACTTTTTGCGCCAAAAAGTTGATTCTTTCAGACGTTGACTGAATAGTTTGATTAATAAGACAGTCTTGCAGAAAGTAAGAGAATTTTTTTAAGCTTAACACTTCAAATGCCTCAAGATGGTTTATATCCGTCATATATATATATAAATATATATATATATCCTTGTGTCGGAATAGATTAAAAGTATTTGAAAATTTTTTGACTTCCGATTCACTGAAAATATTTTCAACTTTTACTTTTTATATAAATACCACCATCATCGGGGAACCGGGTCTCTGGACGCAAAACGAAGATTGATTGATCATCAGCCAGCCCTTTTGTTTTTGAATTGAAGCAGTAAATAATTATTAACTTTCCAGTAGCATCATGGATGCTGCTAAGTTGATACATGTTAAAAATCGCCAGTCAGCAAGACTTGACATCTGGAAATTTCTCTTTATTTAGCATGCATTAAACAATGGTTTGAATAGTTTTTATTTTTCACTTTGGTCGAGAAGACGTTAGCTCCTTGTGGACTTTTATAATGTGGTGTTTGATTTAGTGATTAAATTATTACATGAATTTTATAATTTTTACATGAAAATTCTTCAAATAAATAGGAAACCTTGAATAAAAGGTATTTAGAAAAATTGGAGAATAATCGTTTGGAAGCAGAAGCTAGAACTGCAAAAAAACGACAAAAAAGGTTTTTTTTAATTCTAGTTTTATATATATATATATAATATATATATATATATATATATAATATATATATATAATATAGTTGTATTTAATATAGTTATATATAATATACATAATATAGTTATGCTTTTAGTATATGAACTTTATGAAACAATTTATTTAGGCTGAAAAAAAAGATCAAAGAAAAACAAATGAAGAAACGTAAAACATCCGAAAGTAAGCAATAATGTTTATGTCTGTTCATTTGCAAATTTCAATTCCTATCTTTGTCCGCTCTTTAATTACATTTTTGAGAAATTGATTTATTTTTAGCTGTTAAAATTTCCATTAAAGATTTGCATTTTAAAATTTGAATTTAGAATCTGAAGGTGAAGCTGTTGAAAACAATTGCGATGATCATATGGAATCTGATGCAGAAGATGATGACGATTTGAATGTGGAAAGAACCGAGAATATTTCTGATTAATCTATAATTTTTGATCAATTTTTCTCTGTTCTTACAAATATTTTCACTTGTACACTGAAGAGTGGTTATTTTTTTACACTTTAGTTTTGTTTATTATGCACTTACACACCCGGAAACATGTCATTGTAATTAGAAATTTTAGGCTGTTCAACAAACAATGACCTTCTTTCAAATAAATCTTATTATTTTTCCAGGAAACAACCACAATTTACAAATAACAATAAATATGTATATACATTCAAACTTGGGTGACGAGATCCGGCTCAAATCCGAAGTCCGGCCTATGAAAAATTTTATTGTGTATAACGAAATTTTTCAATTTTGAATATCAAAAAGATGTATAATTTTTGTAATTTAGCAAAATATTTTGTTAATGAATTATTGTATGTTAAGTTTTTGTTTAGAGGGTGTTGACCAATCAATCAATCAATTAGCTCGTTAAGCGCTATTCCCGTGCTTAGTGAATTTTGCAAACAGACGCGTTTTGAGATCCGCTCTGAACTTTGTATAGAGAAGTAATGGATGTAAGTAAGTGATGGAGATGAAGTCAGAGAAGGAGATAATGATTTCCAGAGAAAAGAGCCAAAAAATGCAATCCCAGATTAAACACGAGTTAAGTAGAAATGAGAACCGTAACTATGTATACACGCGAGAAATGTGCGACGTTTTGATGTGCGGCCCATATTTTCTTATTTTTAAAAGTTTCGGTTTTTGCCAAGACTTGAATCATGGACGGAGACTCAAATTCAGTTTCGGCCGAAATTCCAGTTTCGGTCTGACACTTATTGTGGTGATCATGGGATAGCATAAATGCAGTGGCGGGGCGGATCTGCAAAACTTTGACGAAGGTTGGGCAAAATTTGGAAATGATTTTTTTTTACAAATACTGCTTACAACGCCTCCACGGCCCCCGTCTAGTTCCACCAATGCACAATTGCAACCCTAAACTCTAGTGATGGTTTTGTTCTTACACTAAAAAATCGTAAATGTTTTACATCATCAAATTATACTGAAGTGAAGTCTTGATCAAAAAGCATTCGCGTTGTTTTATTATTGTTTTTCGCACGTTAACATAATTATTTATATGCTATTATTTTCTGGGTTTCTGAAGCTATTATTTGCTATTATGCTATTATTTTCTGGGTTTCTGAAGCATTTTGAATAAAATTAAAATATCACGAATGTTTGACGTTAATGCTGCATTTGCTTGCAGCATTGAATTATATAATTCAATATAGTTATATAATTCCATGGCTTGCAGTAATTTTAAATTTCTTTATATGCGGTTGAAAAAATACTTCGTTGTTTCCCACTTTTTCACTCACGAGTCCTGTTATTTTATAGTAAGTATGACTTTCACTTTGGGTAATAATAGGTTAGGTTAATTTGACTTGGCACCTTCACTAACTCCATTCGCGTCAGGACTGCCCTAGTTTACTCTGTTTTTATTATTTATTTTAACTGTTAGACTTTTAGAGTTTGGGATGCAATCGTTCAAAACGTTTGTCTTGAAAACATTATATAATAATTTTTTTTGTCCGCAAATTTCATTTTTTTGCCAAACGTCTGTGAAAAAAATAATAGATGAACGGCCTGTTGACAAGATTATCAAAGTGAAGGTTAGTTTATTTTAGTTAGAAGTTAGTATAAAATAAATATATAAAATAAATAAGTATAGTTATATTATAATTATAGTATAAATAATTTATTATTATAATATAAATAAGTAATTTTTTTATTTATTTATTTTTTATTATTAGTTTGGTAATTACTGTTTGTGTTATTATTGCATAATTATATTATTATACAGTTTTATACAATTATATTGTCTTCGTGTATTGCTGAATTATTATAATTAGTTTAATTTAAACCTGTGTTACATATGTTGCACACAAATGTTGCGTGCACAATTTTACATATTATATACAAGATAGATACTGCGAAAGTCGTTTTTGATATAAATATTAATAGCGATGCTGCAAATGTGTGTCAGGTTTGGTGAATCAGTGGCAGATATAAATAATTTTACGATAAATCTATCGGGTGTGCGGGCCGCATGCCGACCATGAACTTGTTAGACTGCTATAAAGCGTGCGTACGAAAAAATATGTTCAAAAATTATTTTTTATGTCGAATATTATTTTAAAAAGTATTTGTAAAAATTTCCGTTACTTACAATTGAAAATAAATTAAAAAAATTTTTTTTTAAATAAATTTTTATTTGCGCGTCGTAATACTATTATTTATTATCTTTGGCAAGAGTTCATTTTTCTTCTTCTTTCAGTTGTGAGCGGCGAAGCTTTTAAAGATTCGCTTGATTTTTATTGTTTTATTTCATATAATTAAATTAAATTAAATTTGTTATTTTATCAATCTAATTTGAGAAAATGAGTTCCGAGTCATTAAAGTTAGGAGATGGATTTGTGAATTTTGAAAAACCCGTGATGTGATAGAAAGTTTCCAATGAAGCATGGACAAAATTAGAAAATAAAATGTAGTCAATTGGACAAAATTTGTATGTTTGTGTTGTTTGTAGACATCACTCTGGAAGAGACAACCAAACTCCTACTTCGTGGGTGCAGTGTGATGGCTGCATAAACTGGTACCATTCACTGTTCAATGAAAAGGCTACCAGAAGGGACATAGTTTTGTCGACAGTGTTGATATAACAATCTTGGGTCTTTTGGTAACTGTTTCGTCTTGTAATGTGTAAATATGTGTGTTTGTCTGTGTGTGTTACTATACGAAACTTGATGCAATAAATTTTTTATTTTAAAAATTGTCATTCTATATCAAAAATGCTTTATGTTGTCTTAATAAACGTCAAATTTTGCGCTTTGACTGCGTCCTGTATCGTCAAAATAGCGTCAACTTCGGCCATCTCAACGTCGATTTCGTCGTGCGAATCTCACGCTTTTCATCGTCTAAACGTCGTATTCGCCCACTCATGATTCGCACGCCATTTTGACGTGCTGGTTCCTCACGATATATAACTTCGTGATTCACACGCCTTATGGCTTATAGCATCTCAAAGTCGACGTGCGGGTTTCTCAAGATTTATGATTCGCACGCCTTATAGCATCTCAACGTCGAATTCGGCATGCGGGTTAGTTAGGGTTTTTTAATTTTTATCTTAACGTCAAATTCGACGTGCAGATGCCACACGATTTATAATTTCAAGCGTCGTATTCACCTGCGAATCGCACGCCTTATAGCATCTCAACGTCGAATTTGCCGTGCGGCCTCACGCCTTATAGCATTAACACGTTCAATTCGCCGTACGGATTTTTCACGCCTTATAGCATCTCAACGGCGTGTTCGCCGTGCGAACCCGCACGCCTTATAGCACCTCTGCGGCGTATTCGCCGTGCGATTCCGCACGCCTTATAGCACTGACCATAATTTTAACTTGGGCGGGCCAAAATTTGTAAAACATTTAAGTTTTGAAATTTTTGATTGGAAGGCCAAGATTTGTGGGGATGTTGCCAAAATTATGCTGGTAGACCTTTTTTGCTAATCACATCAATTGCTGATCAATTTTCTGTGCAAAAACTGAGTTTTACTAACTTTTAAAAACAATTCAGCTGCACCATTTAGTTTTACTTAAATTCAAAATTCTATATAAGATTTTGCTGTCTGTGTAAATAAACAGAGCCCAAGGCTACATTAGAGTTAAATACTACAGCGTATAGTATGTAAAATTACTATAGTTGTGTAAACAAAGTCACCTTTCTTGAATGTTTTTTTAACAAATTGTTTTATTTTTGTGGGCAAATAAATAAAACAAGAAAATAAATAAACAAGATAGAATAAGTTAAACAAATCTGCATAACTCACAATTAATGTGGGGGTACACTTTTGACACCACCCAACCAGCTATATATACTAAAGCATTTTTTGTCAATGCCTTGACCGAATTTGGCAAAAAATGGTACCTTAAAAATGTAAACACTTTCCATAAAAATTTCATCTTTCATAAAAAACCGAAATAAGTAAAAATAAAGAAATTACTTTTCAATTTTATCAATAGCCTCAATAGTAACGCGAAATTGGTCTCATCAAAGTTGATGGCATTACCTGAATTATCTGCTAAAGGCCTGTAGTCTCAGTGGGATCTTATGCCCCTATTTCTTTCGTGTAGCGCCATTTTTATTGAAATTGTTCAACAATCGTTCGTTCGTTCAACCAATCGCATTGGGGTCATTAATTTGTTGCGAAGTTATTCAAAAGGCAAAACTTGAGAAGAATTACTTTCATTTTATTGCAACGTTGCAATAATAATGTCGTTTAGTGGAAAAGCAAAAAAGGGTAAGGAAAGCTCGAACGAAACTTCGTTTTTATATACCTAAAGTCAGGATGTTGCATTTCAGCTTGTGTAACCAACGATGGTATAATCATCGGTACCATTGAAATTTTATCCCAGCTTATTGATTATTTTATAAGTTTTTCATAGTTTTTTATTCTTATTAATATAGGGATGGGTGAAGTCCATAAGACATCACAAGAATAGGTTTTTCCTTGATTTCAATGACGGATCTTCATTTCAACACTTACAAGTTATAGCATCTGCTGCAC